GGACCCAGAGTCCTAGAGCCTGGGATTAGAATGAGTTGGTGCTTACCTAGGAACAGAGGTTTATTTAGTTTGGGTAGAGAGAACTTTCCAGGAATGGACAGTGGTTTTGGCCTGGCTGTGTGCCCACTTGAATGTCTATAATGCCACCAAACATCTTAAAATAGTTAATACGGTTTATGTTGTGTGTCTCTTACTCCCTTACCACATAGTTCAAAACACAAATTGAGTGAAGGATGTTTAGAGAGGGTATGTTTTCTTCTCTGTTTACTGATATTTCTTTAAAAAAATAAGCAACTCTATACATGATCACTACAATGAAGGTAATATACAGCAGGGTTACTCTGAGAGCACAAAGAGAGATTATTTTTATTTTACAGGGAAGGATCTAACCAGAAGGGAGAGGCTTTCTGAATGAAGACAATGACATTGCAGTCCATTAGCACCATGCACCTAGGCCTGGACTAAATACTAGTCTCATGTCCTCAGGGACCAGAGCTTATAGTCGTACTCATGCTTACACACTGGCTGTGGCATCTGCTCTCCAGGATGGAGCTCCCCCCTTCAGCCTAGCTGCACACAGCAGTATGAATGAATAGGCTTCACTGAGATGGCTTTCCCACATGATAGAGAAGTCAGCAGTCTCCTCCTCTCTTCAGCAGCCAGATGAGCCCAAATCCACAGTGGGAGAACTAAGAGTAGGAAGTTTCTGCACACAGCTATGGTCTGAGGGCTGCAGAGGAGGTTCTTAAAGTGTAGGTGCTCCCAAGCTGAACACCCATGCTCTTCCTGTTTGGTATTGCTCCCGAGCACTCACTCTGTTTCAGTTGTATGTAATACTGTGTATTCTAGAATGCTCTGCTTTCCCCAGGTGCCAGCAGAAGTCTTTAGGGATTAAAAACACATTCAGGGTAGTTGAACTGAGTCACTGGGTGACTAGGACCCTGAGGGGCCAAGGCTGGGCTGAATCCTGTCTCACCCATCTGTCCATACAGCATCTCATTTGTGACTTAGGAACCTCAGTGACACTGAGCTACCACACTCTTTGGCATTTACTACGTTTTCAGAATGATGGCCTGAGGCCCATGTGTCACAGTGAGAAGCTGGGCTAGGATGATTCTTGGGGGCAGTGGGATTCCACACTAGTTCTCTTGGGTCATGGTGTCTACTCTAGGTGCCTCTTCCTATTTATAGGTCATCCCCTCTTTCTTCCCTGCTCCTCACCAAACAGTGTGGGTGAGAATATAGTGAGAGTATGGGTGTAACACTGCCAATGAGAAGCGAGCACTTAAGCATCTAGGAGTCATAGCCTCAGCGGTTCTTTGAACCTAGCATGCAGCCCACACTCTTTCCTGGCCACCTTAGCACAGGCTGCATGTGCAGTCACTTAAGGGCTTAGGACCCACCATTCTGTCAGTAACTAACTAGGCATGGGAAATTGGGGATGGGTGTAGGCATTGTAGTGAGGTTCACTGTTGAGCCCACCAGTGGTTCTGTTGGATGGTACCAGTTGTCACCAGGATTAGAATGACCTAGGATGTGTCTGCCTCACCTGAGAAAAAGAAATGTCAGACCAGCTGAGCGGTGGTGGCATACACCTTTAATCCCAGCCCTTAAGGCAGAGCAGATAGATCATTAAGAGGCCAGCCTGGTCTACAGAATGAGTTCCAGGATAGCCAAGACTACACAGAGAAACCCTGACTTGAAAAACAAAAATGTCGGGCCCAGCTATAACATGATCTCTCAATTTCTGCTTTTGGGGACCTATGACCTGTCAAATTGAGAGTCTAACATTGTTCCCCTCATTTAGAGATGGGCGTGTCTTGGGCGTGCTGGAAGTATCCCGTTCCATTGGAGATGGGCAGTATAAGCGCTGTGGGGTCACATCTGTGCCGGATATCAGACGCTGTCAGCTGACCCCCAATGACAGGTAAAAGCACATGTCACCAAAAGTGTTGGTGTACATGCATAGGGGCTTGTTTCTCTTGCCGCCTTGACTCCAATCTGTGTTCCATCTTTCCGGGGGGGAAGTTGGGGTGAGTAGGCAATGTGCCTGGCCCTGGGGGTGCAGAGACAGACCGTGGTGCCAGAGAGCAGCATCTTGTGTGAGTGGGTGGGGAAAATGGAGTCCTCCTTGTGGTACAGCATCCCACCCACAGCTAAAGGGAGTTTTAGCTTTCTTAATTCTATTCCTTTAAAAAATAAATTTGGCCACTGAGTTGTTGGGCAGACACAAAGTAATTGGTTTGATTTTTGGGTTTTTTTGTTTGTTTGTTTTATTAATTTATTTTTATTTGTTGGTTTGTTCGTTTCTGAGACAGGGTTTCCCCGTGTGGCTTTGGAGGCTGTCCTGGAACTAGCTTTTGTAGACCAGGCTGGTCTCGAGCTCACAGAGATTTGCCTCCCTCTGCCTCCTGAGTTCTGGGATTAAAGGTATATACTACCAAGCTCAATTGGTTTTGGTCTTTTGAGACAAGGTCTTCTGTAGCCCACCTGGTCCCCAACTTGCTCTGTAGCCAGAGTGACACCTTCTCTACCTCCAGAGGACCGAGATTACATATGTGTGTGCCACTGTCCTTTTGTTTTTGTCTTTAGGGTGCCGAGTCAGGCAGCCAGCCACTCTTCCACTAAGTTGTCCCTGGATTACCTCCTTTTCAGGGTCTTGTGACTGAAACCCCCTTGTTTCTTCCTAATACCTGTAGGTTCATTTTGCTGGCCTGTGATGGGCTCTTCAAGGTCTTTACCCCAGAGGAGGCTGTGAACTTCATCTTGTCCTGCCTTGAGGTAAGACATCTTAGAGGGCATGGCACGTGTCTCAGCTGCGCTTTACTTCTGTAGCCCTGTGTCAGAAGCCTTGAAGTCTTTCCAGCATAAACCCTGCTGGGGGCTCACCAGTCACTCTCCTGCCAGCTTTGTTAGGGACAGAGCAGGCCCTAGTGTCTTGGGAGAATGACAAAGGCAGATGTCCTGGTCACTCAGATCCCTTCCCTTTGGTAGGATGACAAGATCCAGACCCGAGAAGGGAAGCCTGCTGTCGATGCCCGCTATGAAGCTGCATGCAACCGGCTGGCTAACAAGGCGGTGCAGCGGGGCTCCGCAGACAACGTGACGGTGATGGTGGTGAGGATAGGACACTGAGGGCCTGCACACGAGCTCTTGACTTGCGGGTTCGTCTGTGCAGTGCGTGTGTGCTCCTGTGGGACTTCTATGGTTGTAAATAAAGGTTTCTTTTTTTCCTAGTCATTTGAGTTCCTTTAATTTGCTTTGAGTGACTGGTCCTGAGTTAACTGTTTGCTTTAGAATATACTCTGGGTCTATCCTGGTCAGAATCATCCCAGGTTTCCTGGACAGGCCCATGATGGCTTGTTATGTAGTTCACGTGTTCTCACCCTCATTGTGACTGCTTTGGGGAAGTGGGGTGATGGAGTGGCACTCGGGCCCTGTTCAGCCTTCTGTACAGAACACATGAGCTTTCCAGCAGGAAATGCTGGAGCACGGCCCTTAGATGCGGTTACCACATGGAGTGCCATCCCACCGTTTCCTAAACAACTGCATTCAGCTCACTCTAAAGAACTGTGGGCCGGGTGGTGGTGGTGCACGCCTTTAATCCCAGCACTCGGGAGGCAGAGGCAGGCGGATCTCTGTGAGTTCAAGGCCGGGCCGGACCGACAGCCTCCGAAACAATACAGAGAAACCCTGTCTCATAAAACCAAAAAAAAAAAAAAAGAACTGTGGGCCTGGCTTCCACCCAGATGTCACCACCCCACAGCATCAGACTCACTGCCAATCTCAGGACAGTCGAATCCTTGGTTCCGTTGCCTGAGGTGGACGTGGCGGGGAACCTCGGGGCAAAGGGCAAGAGCATGATACAGCCCCTGAAGAACCCTTAACCGCCTGCAAACACTTTCCATGTAGGAAGTCAGTGCTGGGGTCATGCTCTTGTAGCTTTCTCTGTAAACACCTGGCTCTGGGCTGTTAGGGTTGCACAGCCACCTTCCCAGACCTGTTTTTGTAAGAATCCCGCCTTTCTCTTCCCCAGCCATACAACCAACTGGCCAGTCAGGGAATGTGCTGTGGGTGTGGATGCTACAAGGACCTCAAAACACCTTGTCTAAACTATAAATGACTTCTCAGGTCTGTCATGGAAAAGCCATGAGTAGAAATTAAACAGAACTTTTGTACATTCAAACATTCAGGAGGCCAGCTTGGGTTACATGTGACACCCTGTCTCAAGAACCCACTGAGGGCTGAAGATGTATCTTAGTTGGTGAGGGCTTTCCTAGCATGCCTGGGACCCTAGTTTCTACCCTGGGCACCACAGTGTGATGTGTCTTGAGATCCAGCACGTGAGAGGTAGAGGCACAGGGATCAGCTGCATGAGACATTGTTCCCAAAAAACAAAGTGAAACACTGCAGGACCAGAGAATAGGGTGGGTGGAGCTGGAAACGGCTCACTTGGTGAAAATGATCCCCGGCATCCACGTAAAAGGCCAAGCCTGGTCAGGTGGTAATGGCGCACTCGGGAGGCAGAGGCAGGCAGATCTCTGAGTTCGAGGCCAGCCTGGTCTATAGAACGAGTTCCAGGACTGCCAGCAGAGTTGGGAACAGGCAGATCCTTGGGGCTTATATCTGGGGCCTGGTGAGACACTACCTGCATAAAACAAGGTGCTTGGCTCCTGAGGAACACCACCCTAGATCAACCACCCACATTCACATGCTCACACATGAATACATGCCTGCACATACTACATACAAAAAAGGGATAAAACCTTTTTAAAATAACTGGATGTGGGCCCAGTAAGCTGGCTCAGCTGATAAATGTGCTTCCCGGCAAGGACCTAAATTCAGTCTCTGCAAAGTGGAAGGAGAGACCCTGTTTTGTAGGCTGTCATCCGACCTTATCTACACCATGGTATGACACTGCACCTTCCCAAACAAGTGCAGTGAGGCAGCAATCCTCCTGTTGGATACTAGGACCCGGATGTCCTGGCATATGAAAGAGAACACCACCTCATCAGAAAGCATAACAATTTAATTCAGCACATTCTTGGAACCCAGGAATCCTTCAGCGTCCCAGAGGCTGTGACCCTTGTCCCTAAGTGCCACTGTCTGTCTGGGAGACACTTGGCACTATGGCCTTCCTGCCAACTTCAGGGGGAGTGCCAAGACTAGAGGCATCTCTCCCTCTCTTTCCAGAACTCGCCCCTCATGGTCTTTGGTGAGGTGGGCTGGAAAGAGATTTTGAGCCTCAGGTCTGCTCTTCATTGTCGTGCTGTGTGGGATCCATTACATAAATACGTTCTTCCAGGCAGTATGACACAATAAATACTTTCAAGTTGCTGTGTAGCACAGTTGTTGAGATACGCACTTATGTGGCTTTCGCAAGGGCAGAAGATAACTTCTGTAGCATGTCTGTGCCCACTGGATACAAAGTGAGATCCAGAGAAGGGTGTATCTACCCCATGTCCTTATCAAAGTGCCAGGGAGTCAGGACCCAGGCCAGTACAGTGCTTCCTGGTAGGGTGGGTACCAGCCCTACTGAGAATCGGGTCAGGGCTGCTCATGGACAGCCCGGATCCCCTGTTGAGCTGTGTGTTGGCAGCCTGCTTTGGGGAGAAGTTTGATTATAGACAGGCATTCAGGCTTGCTGAGGTAACCTCATCTTGAGGCTAGCCAAAAGATGAAGCAACTGGCAACTATCCACCCGATCCCAGGCTTGAGTACTGCTAGGCCAAGAGATCCCAAAGCAGCTGGTGGGATGGCTGTGCTGGTGTCATCTCCTAATCAGCAGGTCCCAGTCATCTCCACTGCCTGTGTGGGGCCAGTCCAACATTTTGTTAAAAATGGGGAGACTGCATTGAGACAAGCTGTAGGCTGGCAGCCCTTCAATTTCTCATGGGAAGACCCAGGAACCTAGGTAGACAGGGTGTGCAGTCCAAGAAGGCCTGGGCTCCCCTCATTTCCCCATAGCCCTGCCCTGTACAGGATGAGCTGTTCCAGGTAGTAGCCTGGGTAGAGCTCCCTACAAAGTACTGAGGATGCTGGGCCATAGGGAGGAATTTGGTGCTGTATGGAGACACAAGGCTACCAGCTCTGCAGCTGGGGACATAGCAAGTGCTACCAAGTAGGCTGGATGGTCCCAGAGGAGCCAAGCAGGGCTTATGATGCCCACAAAATGCTGTTGCTTCTGGGAGAGCCTGCTTCCTTCCATCACCTTTTCAGGGATGTCTAGGATGGTTGTGCTCAGAGGCGATGCAGTGACCAGTGTCTGTAGAGGTGCAGTGGGCTTCCTCCTGCACAGAGCCACTGTCACCTCACACCGTCGACATCAGACCACTCTGCCTGGTGGGGCTAAGAGCCCACAGCAGCCACTCACAGCCCCAGGAGGATAGCACTGAAGTGGGAGCCGCTTCGTACCATGAGGGAGGAGCCGCTGGCATTGTCCAAGAAGACGGAGGTGTAGTGTCCTGTCTGTAGGGAAGGGCACGTGTCAGATAGCAGGCTGGCCCTGCAGCAGAGGCCCTGGGCAGCCTGCGGTGCTCACTCAACATGGGTCATTGTCCACACTGGCCTACTCTGCCCCATATGGAAGAAGGACAGACCTAAGTCCAGAGCCAATGTTGCCTAGTCCTGTGCCCAAAACTAGTACATCTGGCTCTTACTCTATTGTTCTCCAGTGTTTCATATCCGGGTCTATGGGAGCAAGCTTCTGCCCAGGACGGGGGGCGCGGGCTTTAAGAGGCTATCAGGTCCCTGTGTCACACAGCTGTCTCCTAGGCCTTCCTGCCATGGCCTGCAGAGCCATCGTGAGCACTGCTCTGACCTTGCTGCCCCACTGTGGTCCACATGTCAGTGACATAACATTCTCTGGAAACTGCCGGAATAGGGACTGAGATCCACCTGGGATAGTTGCCCCTGAGGACCCACGTGGTGCACACACCCTTAGAATTCAACGGAATTCATGCTTCCAGAACTACAGCTGGCTTGAGCCAAACCACCCATCCTGCAGCTCAGCAGAGAGCTATGTGAGCACTCCCATCGTTCCACATACCTCTCTCCACTTTCCTTTTTAGTAAATCCACTTTGACAGCTGCATCCTTACCACTAGGCAGATCCACAGTGGCAAGAGACTGCCACTAAGGTTCCATGTACAAAATAACTGCCTTGGGTCTCCCATAGTCCCAGAGGGCTCAGGCATCAGGTTCTGTGGCCACCTTCCTCCTGGCCCCACGGAGGGCCTGGGTGGCTAGAAGCACCTGTCACATTATCAGATTCTTGGAAGGTCTGAAAGTGAGACTGTTGCCGCCCAACACGGCTGGAGGGAGAATGGGACCTGAAGCCTGGCTCTTCTCAGGCCAGCATCAGCACTTGGGTGTGTCTAAGGATGCTATCTATGCCCAATGGCCCTGAACAACTCCCAGCACCCCCCATACCTCCTGCGTGGTCGGCACAGCCCCACACACCTGCAGATACAGGACACCATTTACTGAGATGGTGAAGAGCTCGCTGCTATTCTCCAGCCCCATGACAGTCTCCAGGGAGCTGCGTCCAAGACAGAAAGACGGTCAGCCCGTCTCCAGGCCTCACCAGCTTCCCCCACAGTACGCGCAGCAGCTGCCACTTAACGATCACCACCACATGCAGTAAAGTACTAGGTGCAGAGCCATCATCCCTAGGAGGGGGTGTTTGAACTGGGTCCTCAGGAGGAGGACAGACAGGAGCCATGCATAGGGCACAAAGCCCTGGTTCCCCAGTGGGAAACAAGTACAGGCCAAGATGGAAGGCGGCAGGTGTCACAGGAAGCCAACAGGTCTAGGAAGTCCGAAGCCAGGTTAAATCTGCAACTTTCTCTATTCATCCACACACCCTCCAACTACACAGAGCACATGCCCTGCATTCCAGGTGCCAGGCAAAGATGTCACAGTCCCTGTTCTCCTAGAGCAAATGAGGCACACGGGGTGGATACCACCAGCGATGAGCATCTTAAGTCATCAGGGGGAATTTTCTCAGGTGAGACGTGGGAGAGTGACTAAAGAGGGGCGCTTGTGGAACTCCCCCAAAAGCCCCTCCAGGTAAGACACTCCCTCTGTCCTCTGAATGAACGTCCTGGTGTCAGGAAGGGTCAGAAAAGGCAGAACAGCCAAGGGCCTGTCTCATAGGTCCTGGGAAGGAGATAGGGCAGTATGGGGTCGGGGGTCCCCCAACCCCTATAGTAGTAGGAATGGAGAAGGCTCTCCCCACTGGCAGGGCCAGGCTGCAGCGCCCACTCACGCGTTGTGCTGGCAGAGAGACTGGATGCAGATCAGCAGGCGTAGTCGGTCCCGAGGTCGTGGTGGTCCTCTTCTTGGCTGCTCTGTGAGCGCTACAGGGAGGACAAGTCCAGGTGATTGGTCACATGGGTGCTGGCAAGGCCAGGGCAGTGGACGCCCCGCCACCACGCCCCGGGCCTCACCCACGTGCAGAGTGGCAGCTAGGGCATAGAAGCCAGCCACTGGCGCGGTGTACTGGCCGCTGGTCAGGTTCAAGCCTGGGCCTCGGCGGAAGACTCCCTCGACATCGGGCTACGGAGCACACAGAGGAGGTCATGCGCGGGGCCCCGCCCTGCTCCACCCAGCCAGGTGCACCTCACTCACCAGGTAGTAGACCCCGAGCTCATGAAGCGCACGCCGCTCCACCTGCGTATCTCGGCGCAGGCGACAGTGGAACGCGGCTTCCACGCGTGGTGCTCGTGGGCCCTGGGCCAGGATGGCCGCCAGCAGTGCCAACACAGGCCCTGGGTCCTGGTCGTTGTCACCATCCTGGGCGACCAGGACTCCGGAGGCGCTGTCTGAGGCTGGTGTGGTGAAATCGCTGGTGCAGTGCTTGGGCTCCGCGCTCTCCCGCTGACGCACCGCTCCTGATGCAGAGCGGTCAGTGGATCACTCTGCCCACCCGCCTGTGTCTCTGGAGCCTGCCGACTGAGGCTGGCAGCCCTGGCGAAGTCCTGGGGACACTCCTACCTAACCCTGCCAGTTTCCCTTCACACCGCCTGCCGCAAACTCCAGCAGGTGAATGTCCAGTGCCCAGCACCCTTGTCCGCTAGTCTCTCCTGTCACACCCATATTTTTGGAAAAGTTGTGCGTAAATACCTCCTGTGACTACACTGGGGTTAACAAAGGCTCTCCAGGCCCTGGAAGTGTATTTAAAGTAAATGAGCCGTGGATGGAAGCAGAGAAAGGGCTCCTAGTAGTTCTCTCTGGCACTGTCAACTCCAGGAGAGTGTCTGTCACTCTCCGGCTCTGGAATGGGCTCCTAGCGTGGAGATGTGGGTGATCCCCAGTGAAGAACAATAAAAGGCAGCCTGTCTCCTTCCACAAGACCTCTGCCTGCCACATTGCTCTCACCCCCAATGTGCCCCATGGCAGGTAGGGCTGCCAACTGGAGAGCAACCTAGCAGATGTTCGCTCGGTGCTAAGCTCTGTCCTCTGGAGATGCCCCGCGGGCTTACCACAGAGCATGTGCACACAGGGTGGCACCCTTACCTTTCAGCAGTAGCTGGAACTCCTGCAGCAGAACTTCAGATGGGATAAAGGGGCCTGGGGGGCCCTGAGGACCTGGTGGCCCCGGAGGTCCTGGCAGGCCAAGCTGGAAGGCAAGGCAGGCGGTGAGAACATTTGAGGGAAGGGCATGGGGGACCCCTCTGCCAGGTCTTGCTAGAGAGAGGCAGACAGGAGAGTTCCCCCGACGGCTCTGGGCTCTTCCCTTCTTAGTGGAGGTCCTTTGGGCTCTCGTGTCCCTCTGGCATCAAGCAGGGAACGAGAACCACAGGCCTAGAGAGCGTAAGGACGGAATTGTGCAGGTGTGACGTTCACTTGGGGTGGTGCAGGGCAGGGGAGGCTCCGAATGCAGAACACGGCATCTGCCGCTCCTGGTGTGATTCCCGGAGAAAGGACCACTCCGGGATGCGTCTGCATCTCTTTCTGCCATGGGACACAGCAGCAAGTCTCCACTGCACGTGATCCTGGGGACCCTGAAGGAGTTTATACTGGTTTGGGTGGGGCCTAAGAGAAGGGAGGCCAGCTGCTGCACAGAGAAGCCTGGAAAGGTCAGATGGCTAAGGGTGCAGGGCCAACCCACCACCTCTCAGGCCCAGACCCTGGGTGGCCAAGGCTGACCTCGGTAGAGAGGGCCAAAACACAGTAATGCCCAGCCTTGATCCAGAGTTACTCTGAGTGTCGTCCCCCGCACCCCCCCAAAAAAAAACAAAAAACAAAAAGCCGGGCATTGGTGGTGCATGCCTTTAATCCCAGCACTTGGGAGGCAGAAGGAGGCAGATCTCTGTAAGTTTGAGACCAGCCTGGTCTACAGAGTGAGTTCTAAGACAGGCTCCAAAACAATGCAGAGAAACCCTGTCTCAAAAAACCAAACCAAAACAAAACGAAAAGCAGAGTTTCTTTGAGGAGCTCAGCGTAGGAATCATCCATCAGGTCCAAGTGCCAGCGCCCTGCCCAGGCCAGGGCCATACTGAGAGGGCCTCCCTCTTTCACTCCATCATTCTGAAGCTATCCTGACTCCCAGACACATGTCGGGCAAGCGTCTCTCTTTGGACAAGAGGGAAAAGCTAGGGAGGACCTGGCATCCTAAGAGGACAGGGTGGATGACAGGACGCAGGCTCCTGACTCCGATCTGGTTCTTTGCATGGCATTTGCTGTTGGAGACAAGGGAGCTAGGGGGCTGGTGAGGGTGTTTGCTCAGGCTGCTCACCTTCAGCCGCCTGGCCTTGGTCCTGCTCCGCCTCCTGCTGTTGACGCCCTTGTCACTCTGCCTAACAAAGAGCATCCAGGCATCACGGGGATCCACACTGTGTGCTTGCACCGTGGTGGGCTCCTGGAACACAGACGGCCTCAAGCTGGTTGGTTTGCTCTGTGGCGTTGCTTCGTGGCACCCTGGGCCTTGTCACCTGTGTTCTCAGAGATACTGTCATCACCTCCTCCCCCAGCCCTAGCCCATGGGGATGAAACCTCGCTGCACTCCTGGGAGAGCCCAGGCCACAGGAAGGTGGGAGGCAGGACTCTGCAGCAGGTACTCTGGGATACATCTTCCTGCTCTTCCTCGAGATATGCTAGAACAATCTCACGGTCATTGATAGCCACTGGCAGGCGGTGACTATGAATATGTGAATCCTGGTTCTATTTTCTCTCCCCATAGTCAGAAATGCCAAGGAGACCAGCCACTGGGGTCCCAGGCCGCGGTGGGCAGAGGGGTCACTGCATGGGGCCTTTATCTTTCTCAGCGCTTTGAAAACACTGGCCCAAGGAGCCCAGCTCTGAGAGCAGCCTTATTTTCTGGCAGAGGCCTTTGGCAAATAGGACAGTCAGTGGACCTCAGCAGTCTGGGTTTCATGCAGGGCTGCCAGCTGGGGAAGCAATGGCTCAGGGCACCTTAGAAGTCATGGGCACAGAGACAAAGAGTCAGGATCTCAGAACAACCCAATGAGTGCCCTGTGGGTCGCAGGCCAGGCTGCTATGCTGGCAAGACAGAAGCTTCTATGCTTCTTGCTGGTCTGATACCCTCAGTGGAAATGCAGTGCTTCCTGTCATAGGTCATGATGGGTGTGCTGACCCTTTCGGGGGGACCAGTGACCTGGGTATGGACTCAGACCGCTGTTAGCCATGTTATCTGGGGCCTCAGGAGTTGGCATGGGGGCTGGGCAGATGCCCGGGCCAGTCAAGTTCCAGCTGTCAGGGAGCTGGTGACTCCTTGACACTCCAAAGAGGGTCCACGGGTAAAACCCCACTGGGAAGTTCGGGCCCACTCCCCGTTTCCCATTGATTATGACGACCTCATGAAAGTTTCGAAGTTTCATATCTGAAGGGGGGCGGGGGACACCGACCGAGTGAGGAAGCTGGGTGAGGCAGGATGAGGTGGTGGCAGGACCTTGGGATACCTTGGGGGCCCAGAGTTGTAACCATCTCCAGCTGTTTTAGTGGATGCTTTGTTGGCCTCCTGGGTGCTGAGGACAAAGACCTCTGGCCTGAGGTCTCCTTGTGCCTGGCCACAGACAGAGACGCTTTCAAGAGCCCTAGCCTCCAGGGTTGAGCTGCTCTGGCGAGGGTTGCCAATCCGCGCTCCCCAGGCCTCTGGCCACACCCTCCCCAGCCTGCATCCCTCTCGCCCCCCACCCCGCCCTCCCACCAGCATTTCAGGTAGAGATCCTGGGAGGGAAGGGGCCTGGTTACATCACTCCTTTCTCACTAGCAGTCACCTAACAAAGTCACCCAACAAAAAGAAACTAGGTTTGAGAGTCCTGCTCTTCTACTAGCCTTCCAGTTTCGCGAGGAGCACGTTATCTGTATTTCACACCTTTCTCAACTTCTCTCACTGGCCTAGTAAAATTCTGCCGCCAAAGCCACCATGCAGAGAGCTCATCCGCACTACCCTGAGCCACTGAAAGGGGCGTTTGGTGGTGTTGGATGCTGCGTGGCCAGGAGTGCCACCTTCCTGCCTTCTCTGGCCCCCTAGGACAGGGAGGTCTGGGGCGCGGCCGCATCTTACCGGTGGGCTGTCGGGAAGCCGTGGACGTGCCTGGTTCCCCACCGGTGCAGCGGCCTCCGGGATACCGAGGCCCATGGTGGCGACTAGGCTGGAGCAGGTGAGCAGCAGGAGCGCTCCGACGGGGCTGCGGGACAAGGCCATGCTGGCGGCGGCGGCAGCAGCGAGAACAGCGGGTCCAGTCCGCGCTTTATAACGCGCTTGAATCCCCCGCCTGCCGAGCGCCGCCCTCGCTGCCGTCGCCCCCTCGCGGCTCGGACGCGCGCAGCAGGCACAGGAACCCTAGAGAAGGCGGGCACCGATCCAGTTCGTGCACCCCTCCGCTTGTGGCTAGCATCTGACCTGCTCCAACCCAGGGCCAATGTCTCCTAGTCCTGCTTCTTGCCCCCCCCCCGGACCCTCTTTTCTCCAAGGACATCAAAAAACCTCCATTCCATCATTCCGAGTGTCCTCTGAGCGCCCCAGGCTTCCTTCCATTTCTCCTGGTGCCCTGCGAGTCCCAGGTTTGATGACTTGGATTGAGTGTATGAAGGCCCTGGCTCCTCCCTTTCAAGCTAGTGAACCCAGAGCTCTTGTGAGGTGTTCCTGCTCTTCCCCACGGAGCCTCTCAGACTCCATCTACAATGCTAACAGCTACAGAGCACTGACCCAGCCTGGCTGGAAGGACAGACCCCTCTTATGCCCTAAGCCAGGTGTGGGGTCATCCAACCAGGATAGATGTGGCAACCCCTGAAGACCTGATTTGGGAGCAGGCCAGCTCTGCCTGAGTGGCTCTCCTCCAAGGAGGCGCGCCCACTCTGCCTAGAGCTGGTGTCATTGCAATGGCTCGAGATAAACCAGGACACTAGGCTTTCTTTGTGTGCGTGTGTGTGTGTGTGTGTGTGTGGTGTGCATGCACACGCACGTACATGTGAGTACAGTACAGGTGGCCTTAAAGGCTAGAAGAGGGAATCTGATGCAGGGAGCCTGATCCTAAGATGTCAAGTGCCCCTTACTCCCTTCACAGAGCTGTAGGGCTGACATCAGGGGCTGCCATGTGAAAGTAAGTCTTTTTCCAGCGGACCGTCCTAGTGATGTCATGGGTTCTTCCAGAGGGCTCAGATCCAGTCGGTTCTGATACTGGCATGGCTCGAGGTAATGACGCAGCCCAGTCCAGGCGCATGGTCCCGGAACTCTGGGCTTTTGGGGAAAGCTCCTGTCTGTTTGCAGGGTCCCATTAGAGAGCCAGGTCCTCTGGAGGACAGGCATGCGCAGCAAAACACACAGGGCACTAAGCATGGGGTCCATAGCCCACAGCCCCGAGGGAACAGCACCCCTTATTCAGAAGTGCAGCCCCTGCGGGTGGTGCCTGCGTCTGAGCGGAAGCACTGAACTAGTGGCCAAGGGACTGGGCGGGCGGGGCTAGGAGTGACCTCCCCATGTGCCTTCTCGCCTGGCAGAAATCTAATCCTCATTCTTGGGCCCTCATGTCATGGTGTTGTCCAGGCTTCCTGGCCGTTCAATGAGCCAAGCCTTCCCAGTGTCCCACTTCCTCCAAAGGAAGGCTGTTGGCTGATGAGGTCATCGGGATGAAATCTCCCTTTACTCCAAGACAATGGGAGCCCGCCTGAGGCTGGCTAGAATTGTGACCTCTAGAGCACATGCAGATAGCTGTGGTGTCACCTGACCTACCTACCACATGGGTGGACCATCAGTGCTCAGATCATAGGACTGTCCCCCTCCCATAAATGAAGAAAAGGGGGCCTAGAGCTTGGGAGTGTCATGGAGTCACCAGGTGACTCCACGGTCCAGCTGCCATGTCCTGCAGTGAGCACCTCTGTAGGCTCTGAGTGCTCCTTTGGGCCCTGAATGCTCCCAAAGGCTCTGAGTGCTCCCAAGGTGTGGTGGTTTGAATAAAAATATGGCCCCATAGGCTCCTGTATTTGAATGTTTAGTCACCAGGGAGTGGAACTGTTGGAAAAGATTAGAAGGATTTGGAGATAGGGTCTTGTTGGACGAAGTGTGTTACTGGGGGTGGTGGGCTTTGAGGTTCCAAAAGCCCATGCCAGGCGCAGTCTCTCAGCCTGCAGATCATGGTGTAGCTCTCGGCTACTTCTCCTGAAGGCTCAGTCTCTCAGCCTGCAGATCACGGTGTAGCTCTCGGCTACTTCTCCTGAAGGCTCAGTCTCTCAGCCTGCAGATCACGGTGTAGCTCTCGGCTACTGCTCCTGAAGACTCAGTCTCTCAGCCTGCAGATCATGGTGTAGCTCTCGGCTACTGCTCCTGAAGCATGCCGGCCACTGTGCTCACTTCCATGATGATAGTGGACTAAACCTCTGGAACTGCAGGCCAGCCCCCAACTAAATGCCGTTCCTGTGTGAGAGCTGCCGTGGTCATGCTGTGTCTTCACAGCAATAGAACAGGGACTAAGGCATGGCGTCTCTGTGTGTTTCTGAGGGCTCTGAGGGCTCTGAGGGCTCCTGTAGGCTCCCCGTGAGCCTAAGCACGCTATACCCTCACTAGAAGCCCTCACTACCTTCAAACATCTGGTCCTTGTTTGCCCGGGGACTCTGAGGAATGGCTCTTGGGCTGCCTAGTGGACTTCCCCTGCATTGCAGGCAGGTCTAGCTACAGGAAGATCTCATGAATGCCCAGCGTGCCAAAGATTCTGCGTGTTGTGCAGGTGGCTGTCCCCTTTCCCACGCACTCTGTGTCCTTAGGGTGGCTTTAGTGGAGTGTACCAGCACCCTGTCTCCCCTCCATTGTTTCTGGTTGGTTAGGCCAGTAGGTGGCCCTGGCAGGAGATGGGGACAGGGGAGCCGGGGACAGCTCCCCTGCCCAGCAGGCACTGCAGCCACAGCTGTGCTCCCCGGCGGCTCTCAGCACCATCTTGAGTGTGCATCTGCCACTTCCCTGGTCCCTGGAAGCTGCTGGTGGTTAGGGTATCCCGTTGTTGCTAGCTCCCGGCATTTCCACAGCCCTGCCTGGATTCACTGGAAGCTGGTCCCCAGTTAAAACCCCCTTTATTAGACTCTCAGCTCCCTAGCTGGAGGACCTTTCTCCCTGGAACACTGAGCATGCCACTGATCCAGTCAGGCCAGGTGAGGCACAGCTGAGGACCACGCTGGACAGCGTGTGTCCCCATTCCAGGACTTTCCCACTCACACTCGCCCAGCAATGTCTGGCCTTTCCAGCTCTGCATTTCTGATTAACCCAGCTTCACTCTTTGAACGGCCCTGGAATGGCATGCTTAGGAAACACAGTAGGACATCCCTGTGGGGCTGAGTCCTCACAGTGTTTCTGCCAAATCCATCAGCTACGGGATGAGAGCTACATCCTGATCTGCAGACGGGAAAGAGATTGTACCTGAAATGGGCTTTTGAAACCTCAAAGCCCACCCTCTAATAAGGCCACACCTCCTAATCCTAACCCTTTCAAACAGTTCCACTCCCTGGTGATCAAGCATTCACATAGAGGAGCCTGTGGGCGCCGTTCTTATTCAGACCAGCACTCTCTGGGAGCACTCAGGACACAGGTCTGGGTTCTGTCCTGTTAGAAGTAAACACCCATACACCCTGTCCCATTTGATCTGAGTCAGCTCAGTGGTCCCAAAGCCAGGCGTGACGTAGGGCCTAGGGGCAAAGTGAATCCTGACTTGCAAGAGCAAGCTGGAACTGAGACCCGTCCTCAGAACCCAGGGTGTCAGGAGCTACTCTGGTCCCTTGGAACCCTGGAGAAGGACTCTGTATGTAGTAGGAGCTGGGGGCCGCTCAAGGCCTCAGTGGCTAGTGGTTGGCAGTGTCCCAACCAATTCCCAACCTGAGGTCTAGGTCCTCACCACTCTGACAGAGAGAGCGTGCCACTCACCCGCAGTGAGAGAGAGTCCTGTATTGTTTGGTTACTGGTCTAGTGCCCTCTTCTGGAGGAGAGGAAGAAACAAAGGAAGAGAAGGGGGGAAGGAGGGAAAGAGACACAGAGAATATGTGGAGACTGACCCCACACACCCTCCGTGGGACATAAGTCTGAGCCACTCCAAACCCTATCCCGACGGACAATAGAGTCCATCAGCTAATACCCCACCCCAGCCCAGCAGATCGCTGGAAGCCAGATTCTGACACACCCAGGAGCCATTCCCAGAAGTCCCTGCAGACCAGGGTGGAGGGACCACATTCAGATATTTACATTGAGATACACAAGAGTAGCAATGAAATAACTTTATGGTTGGGGGCCCCACAACGTGAGGAACTGTATTAAAGCATTAGGAAGGCTGAGAGCCGCTCTCCGAGGGCACCCTCCACTGTCTCACTCCCCTGCCTGTGCCACAGCCGCCTGCCTCCCTAGTGTCTCCTCAGAGGCTGCCTTCCTGGTGTCAGAGGTACCCATGGTGGGACGGCCTTCATCCCAGAAGCAGATCTGTAAACACAGTACCAGCATGCAGAGGCTAGGGACGGGGAGAGCCTGGCCCTTATCCAGCCATCCTGTGTGGGGTGGGGTGGAATCCGAGGATGGAGGGGAGGGAGGAAGCTATGGGGGCACCCAAGCCTGAGGCCCTGGCTCAGTGCTCTGGGCACCCCATCCACCCCCTCATTGTGCAGATTCCCCACAAACCACGGGTGGGTAGAGCAAGAAGCACTGACACTACGGAGACTGCTTGGCCGGTGCAGTTCAGGACCTCTCTTCTCTGAGGTCTCCAGGGACAGCGGAGCTCTCTGCTCCGCCATGCTGGTGTCAGGGTCTCACTCTCACGACTGGTCACAAAGTTTGGTAGCACCCGAGACCGGAGCTGTGTACTCAGCTGTGACATCTGATATCGAGCCCAGCCCAAGCCCTGGAGAGGGCATCAGCTCCCAGGGAACAGAAGACAAGCACAAAAGGAGCTGTTCTGCAGGGCAATGAAGAGCTGACCCCGGAATGCCTGCCTTCCTAGTGCTCCTGGGAGGCATTGGGGCTGAAGGGCTTCGTCCATTTAGAGATGTCCAGAAAGATAGTAGAGGCCCCATGGTAGAGCCAGAGGCGGGGTAGGGAGCCGTGGCGGGCCCAGGCGTCCCTCACAGTGTCGTAGGCCTCCATCTCCACGTGGTAGTCGCCATCCATGCCCTGCCAGCGGCCACCTGTCACATACAGCGCGTCACCCAGAGACACCAATGCGCCGTTCTCGTGTAGGCTGTGCTGAGACTGCACCTGTGGATGGCAGCTGTCAGGGCCCAGTGGTCACTGGGGGATGGGAGCAAGGGTGTCCTTGGTGGGGCTGGGGACAGCCACCTGACCCTGAATCCCAGAGCTCATCTACTGCCCACTGTGGTTATGCCAGACGCTTTACCACTGAGGCCCTGGTCTCTCTCCAACCTACATCTAACAGGATGCCTCCTTCAGGCCCTGGAATCACAGGATCCAAGTGTGGTGATGAGATCTGAGCCCAGAGCCTCCTCCAGTGGGGTCTAGGTTGGACCTTGGCTCCACCGCAGCTCTCTTGGAGGGGACAGGTGTGCCAGAGAAGGCCTGTGTTGCCTCTGCATGAAGAGGACAGCAGGCAGCTGTCCCGCCTGCAGGCCCAACAATGTCCAAGTAGAGCATACTCTACTGGAAGCCCAGATTGGCCCAGCTGGGGCTCAGCTAGGAGGCCCAGAGAAGCAGCCCCTAGTAGGGCTTGCTCTCACTGCTGTAGTGGGGCCTCCAGAGTAGGACACAGTGGGCCCGCTGTCCCCAGGCTGGCTGGTGACTGTGTGAGTGCGGCGGGGGTGAGGGGCATCATTTCATCAGGCTCCTGGAACTACGGATCCAGAGACAGGTAGACTGGTCCAGAGCATCCAGCCTAGGACTGAGGAGAAAGGCTGGGGCTCTGGGCCCTTGCGATGATGTCTGGACACACCCACCTCCCGCTGCTTCCTAGGCCCGATGACTAAGTAAGGGGACAAGGTGAGATGGTTCTGGGGAGCTGGCTGCCGCCACACTCTCAGCTCAGAGTCTTGGCGTGATCTTCCACAGGGTGGGATGCTCATCACCCCATGGCTAACAAATGAGTCTTCCTTTCTTTTTGGGGGGGGGTGTTGAAGGAAGGGTTTTCCTCTGTGGCTCTGGAGACTATCCTGGAACTAGCTCTTGTAGACCAGGCTGGTCTCGAACTCACAGAGATCTGCCTGCCTCTGCCTCCCGAGTGCTGGGATTAAAGGTGTGTGCCACCACCGCCCGGTGTGATTCTTCTTTTCTATCCACGGCTGCCCCAGGGGCACTCACCCCTGAACATGGACTTGATCCCTGAGAGGGATCAAAGAGATTGACAGCGCCCACACAGCTGTGGTCTGTGTCTCCATCGTGCCGGGCACTGTGGCCGCCCTATCTTCTGGAGAGAGCCTGCAGGCCTGGCCCTGCTTCTCTGCTGGCCTCTCGGGCACTCTCCCACACCTCCGTTCGGTTGCCTCTCTGGGGTGTCAGGAGTCCATCGAGGCTTCACCAGGAGCGGGCGTGGGGGAACTCACCTTCTGCCACAGGTTGGCCCCTGGGTCATACACGTAGACCTTCTTAGTGTTGTCACCAATGAGATAGAGGGCTCCGTTCAGAGCAGCGCATCGTGGAGAGGACAGGTACTTGGGCAGGAAAGGTGAGGCGATCACACTCCATGCATCTGCAGGGCACACGGAGGGACAACCTCACCAGGAGGAGGGGGCAGCTCCTGGCTGGGGAGGGTCACGAAGGGCTCCACTCTGAGGGCTCTGGGGCCCGGGCACACTCACTGCCAATGGAGTGAATAAGCCTGAGGCAGTGCGCTGTAGGGCCTCCACCCTGCCTGCCTCTCGCTGGGCCGTGGAGGGGAGGTGCAGGAGGGGCTTTGACCTGGCCACCCTCCTAGTTCATTCCCGAAGGCTTCTGGGAGTCCCTGGGCCTCTGCATCTATCCAACCCACACTTCCCCCACATGGCCATCAGGGAGGCCCTCCCACCTGTCACAGGGCTGTAGCACTGGAGGGCCAGCATGTTGTACTTGCAGGCACTGGAGCCCACCAGGTAGAGGCGGCCCTGGCAGCTGGCAGCCGAGAAGTTGCTGACATACTTGAGGGCCGGGCTGACAGAAGTCCAGCTGTCTGTGTAGGGGTCATAGCGTTCCACCTCTACAGCATCCAGGGCGGTGCCTGCGGAAGGATGTCCTTAGCTGGGTAGGAGCTGGGCACTGGGGTCTAGGAAAGGAGAGGGTCCTGAAAACATAGGGCTGGACTCTCAAAGGTGGCAGGGACGGCTCTGGAGCCCCAGGAAGGGAATGAAGGAGGTATAACCTGTGGAGGTAGTGAGCTCAGTCACCTTCATAGGCAGAGCCTTCCCAGGACCACACCAAGAAGTGGTATGCCCACGTGATGGTGGGCACTGGTCCCTAGGGCAAGTCCTGGGAGAACAGGTTGTAACAGCATTTTTAACACTATGGTACTAGCCCACGGTGGAATGGATGTGCCTGCCTATTGTAATAACTTATTATGGGATATGTGCATCTGTGAGACTCTGGGGACCCCAAGGTAATGGGACTTGGGGTCTTTGTGTGCTCTTTGCTTCCTGGCCAGAACCATAGCAATTATTAGAGAAAAGAGGACCCCCCCCATCACGGAAAGTTAGGCATTAGAAATGGCTTCAGGGCCAGACTGCTGACTGTGACTCTTCGGGGACACCTCTGGGTCTTATTTTAATAGTCATCTAACCAATACACTCCCCAGAGAAACTCTCCACTGGAGTGTCTGGGCGATGAGATGGTCCCTGTGTCAGGCTGATAGCAACACAGAGGTCACTGTGGGTCACTTACCCTCAAGACTTCTCAGTGACCCTGTGCTGAGGTCTGAGTCCCTGCTTCTAGGGTGTGTGATCCCTGCTGGCTCTGGGTTCTGAGTCCTCCAGGATAGGAAAACGGGCTGACTGGTTCCTAGTTACCCAGGATGCTCCAGTCAGGGGTTCTAAGGACTGTTTGCCTGGGGCTCACTGACCCCATAAGGCAGAGAACTCTCCCTAGCAGCATCCCCAGGGAGGGTGTGGGTGGAGACCTGTGGCTGTAGGGTGACGGGAAGGGAGGCCTCACCGCCTATGGCATAGATCTCTCCGTTCAGTGCTGTACTGGCGTGATTGGTGCGGGCTTTCAGCATGGGCGCCACAGGCTTCCAGACAGCTTCCTTCAGTGGGAAACACCAGGCTTGGGTGGTCGACCAGGTGTCTGTTTTGGTACCCCTTGAGCCACCTGCCAGAGAGAGGTTTAGTGTGCACAGGGATGGCTCCTAGCACCTGTCAGTGGGCTCTGACTTTTTATTCATGTGCTTTAAACCTATTCTGGTTTCTGCTTAGTTGAGTCAGGCTGGCCTCAAGCTTGCTACATAGCCAAGGATGACCTTGGGTTTCTGCCACCACCCCCCACCTCTGGAAATTCCTCATTTCCAGATGCGTAGAAAGGTCTGGAAGGTCTTAGCAGACCTTCCAGGATCCTGTTGGGTAGGAGAGTTGGTTTGAGGGGCCAGGGCTGTACCAAGTTGATCAGGGTGTCCCTAGGAGCTCTGGGTCACCCACCTGTGACATAGACATCACTGTTGAGTGCTGCCAGGGAGAAGCCCCACTTGTGGTAATCGGGGAAGTCCGGAAGTGCCATCCACTGCCCTGGAGGGGAGAGAGCCAGACGATCAGAGAGGTTGTGACCCTGCAGGCCTTCTATTCCCACACCTGCCCTGGTGCCTTCTTTCGGAAAGACTGCAGAAATACGCCCCCCACACACAGTGATGAAGAAAATGGGGTCAGAGACAGCCTAGGGTGTCCCAGCTCATCACATTCCTACAACACCCCTTAGAGCCGAGGCGATGTCCAGAGAATGAGATGTCAGCCTTTCAGCAGGTAGAGTGAAGTTCAAATTCCGACTTGCACACACCACTTATGTGAACTCAGTTAGACAAGGCCCAGCCTCGGCATCCCTCTGTAGAATGGAGGCTCATTGGGCCTGAGCGATGGCCCAGCCAGTGAAGGCTCTTGTCATCAAGGCTGATGATCTGCGTTTGATCCCTGTATGTTTCCACCTGTGCACCGTGGCGCGCGTGCGCATTGTGTGCACGCACACACACACCATATGAAAGTAAATATAGGCTGGGCGGTGGTGGTGCATGCCTTTAATCCCAGCACTCGGGAGGCAGAGGCAGGCGGATCTCTGTGAGTTCGAGGCCGGGCTGGACCGACAGCCTCCAAAACAATACAGAGAAACCCTGTCTCGTAAAAACCAGAAAAAAAAAGAAAGTAAATATAGATAGACAGACAGACAGATAGATTTAAAAACTGTGGTATGAGAAATGAGACACATGGGAATGCCCACCAGTCGAGACTGTTAGGCTGTTGTCGCTGTTGTGAGGGACAAAGCCATGAGGAGGGCTTTGAGAAAAAGCATCATGAGCTCATAGGCGTGGGAAAGTTGAATCCTGTGAATGGACTTGCTGCAAGTGTTTGTGGGAGACTGGGCCTTGGGGAAGTCCCCTGGAGTACTGTTGACTGTTTATGACAGTCTGGGAACATGTAGAATTCTAGGACTCATGATGAGGCGAGCCTGGCACCCTGGACAGGAACAGAGTGTCCCCTGATTCATGTCTGTGTCACCCCAGAGTGAGGATGGCCCAGCAATCAGCAGACCGTTGCTGCCAGCCAGCTGCTCTCTCCTGACGTCAACCCCAAATCCCCAGTCGTCAGCCTCTGACCTGGACTGCTGGCGTTGGACTCCCTCCAGCCCGCCAGAGCTGATGCAGCGGGTGCTGGCGACCTGCCCCAGTCCTGGAGCCAACCTGGGCACATCAGCACTTTCCCAAGAGCTCTCCTGGGCACATGGCCTGTGGGGCACCCCTCTACCCCATCCCCTGACCCCTTTACAGCCATGGCAGGAGGCACCAGGAACCCATTTCACAGATGAGAAAAATCAAGACACATCCAGAGACATTAAGTGACCTCTAGCGTCAGACTGGATCCCAGTTTGGCTGGCCCCGAACCTGAACTTTAACTCCTGGACTGTCTGCACCCTTTTAGCTCCCATTTTCCCCGCTAGAGCCTTGGTTTTTACACTTGGTGCACAAGGCAGAGGAACCTAGAGCAATCAGTGGGTTAGGAATCCACCCTGAGTAGCACTCTCTGGACTGCGGGACCTTTAATCCCAGCTCCCGGGGCCTAATAAAAACCAGAGGTGAGGCTTCTATCAGAGGGAGAGTGGACTGAGTACTGTCCAGTTCTCTGCCAGTCCCCTCCCCGTAGCCACCAGGCTCCTCTGCAAGCCTGGTAAGGTCTGACACTCAGCCTGCTGGAGACAAGGCTTGGCAGGTCCCCCTCCCTGGCTCCACCCCAAGGTGACTGCGTGGCTCACATCCAGGACAAGCAGGACAGGTACTTACTGGCCTTGGTGTTGTAGAAGGCAAAGTTCCCGGTGTGGGTGCTGGGTTCTTCACCACCCTCCTCGTCCTCCTCCAGCGCCCGCCCTCCTACGACCACCAGCACCTCCTGCATCTTCTGTGGGAGGCCAGGAAGCTCCTGCAGGTGGGAACCAGGTCAGGGTGGCCAGCCACTGTCTGCCCAGCACAAGTCCGTGGGTGTCTGTGCGTGAGGTTAGGTGGGTCTTGGCATGTGTGCATCTGTGAGCATCTGTACATGTATGTTTGCATGGGCTGGACATGGTGGTGCACACCCCATGACCACCCCTACCCCACCCACACCCATAATCAATGCACATGCCTACCCCATCCACACTCTTACCCAGTGCATAACCCCATTTCATCCACACCCCACCCCATTCACACCCTTATCAGTGCACACCCCACCCCATTCACACCCTTATCCAGTGCACACCCCACACCATTCACACAACCCCCCCCGCACTGTGTGTCACATACTCAGTAGTCACAAATGGGTTCCCCAGGTGCTCTGGATTACCCTTGGGGCAATCACAGCTAGGGCTGTCACTCTGTCAAGACCTGCCTGCTGCCAGCCCGTTGCCATCACTCTCAAGGATGGAACTCCACACAGGCTCAGTTAGAGTCTCTCAGGAGCACTTAGAGACAGTTTCCAGGACCCACAGAGCAGCTGTTTCTCTGTCCTGGATGGTCTTCCCTCATCTTCCTCCCGTCCAACTCCTATGCCTCCTCTAAGGCCCAGCTCCAATGCTGACTCCTCCAGGGAGTCCTTCCTGACTGCCAACCCTTGCCAAGATGCCCCTAGCACCCTCCCTGGGCAGGCCTTTCCAGTGGGCATCAAGTCTGTATTCAGGCTCAACCTCACTCAGCCGCAGGCTTATAAAGATAGAGACACTTCTTGGTTCTTCCGCTGGTACTCAGAGCAGGGCACACCGGAGAGCTGAATGGGGACGCTCTCTCAGGAGACCAGCCTTCCGCAGGGAGCCATACTCAGTCAGGCACTTCGAGGGTACACACTCTTTCTCTTCTCCCTGTGCAGGTGGGAACTCCAGAGATCCTCCTCCACCTTTTAGGTAGAAGTCCCCTGCCCCCCACTCACCCTACTGTGGCCCTGGGACAGGGCCTCCTGGCATGCCTCTGACTCCTGGATCAGCGGCTCTGTGGCCAGCAACTGTTGCACGCAGGGCCTTGGTACGGCATCCAGGTGCACCAGGCTGAGAAGCTCGGGCAGGTGGGCAGACCGCTCCTGGGGGTCATGGCGCACCCAGCGCAGCAGGGCCTCCAGCCGACTTTGCTCCGGTTGCACCTGCAGCAGGTCACTGGCCAGACAGGTGGCCAGGCGGTCTCTAGGCAGCTGCAAGAACTCATCTTCTTGGGCCACCGCCTCAAAGTTCTCCCGCAGGAAGGCCCAGGCTTTGGCGGCCACACCTAACAGCCCCTGCTGCTCCCCAAACTCGCAGATGCCCAGGCAGTTGGTGGCATCCAACTGCTGCTGGAGGTATCGGCCACAGACCTTCTGCACAGTGGGGAAGTGGAGGCGGGACGCGGTGCGGGTCAGTGCCTCCACATTAGTCTGGGTAATGGTCAGCCGGCCGGTGTACACGAAGTCCACCAGCTGTTCTGCCGCAGCCGGCTCTACGTCTCGCAGCTCCACACGTGCCGAAAAGCTCTCGGCAAAGTCTCCCGCAAACATGGCGTGGAAGTAGGGGCTACTCAGAGCCAGAAGGCTGCGGTGACAGGGCAGCTCCTGGTCACCAACCAGGAGTGTGACATCGGCCAGCTTGGGCAGGGAACGCAGACGCTGCAGGCCATCCAGCATGTCTTGGGCATGTGAAGGCAGCTGGAAGTCCAGGCTGTCTAGATTCCGCACCATGATACAGTGCCCACAGAGACCCGTGCGGCCCGCACGCTTTCCCGGAAGTGGTACCTGGGGTTCCCCTGAGTGCCTAAGTGGGAAAACAGGGTCAGTCATGAGAGCTACGGTCTCATCCACCTGTGATTCGCTGCTTGACTGTCTGGGCATCAGCCATCTCCACCCCTGGCAAGTGCCCACCTACTGTGTGTTGCCTGTGTGAGAGCCGCTTTGGGCATCTCACATCTGCTCTATCCCAGGTCCCTAAGGGCAAGCCAACTTGTCGCTCCCGCTTTATAGGGAGGAAACTTCAGGGAGGAAACTTCGGGCTACTTCTCACGGCTAACTAGTTAAGGTAATATTGGGCTATGTAGAAAACACAAGCCTTGGGCCTCCTGTCTTCCACAGTGAAGACCTCCAGGGCAAGGGAACCTCCCTCCTCCAAGCACCCAAGAGGCCTCATCTCTGCCTTCTTTCTTTCTGTCCATGTTGCTGGGCAGACCACGGGAGGCGTTCTGCACTGTTGCTTTTCACAGTCTGTCTGCATGACCTTTCTGGGTGACTTGGTTGAGCCACACCCTCTCTGGTCCTGTTTCCTCAGCTTCTGACGGAGAGACTAAGGGTGAAGAGGCTTTGGGCCATCCTCCTGGGCAGTTCTATGCACAGTCACTTCCCAGACACTTCTGCCAGGTGAGTGTCATTATCTCACAGATAATCTGACACAGAGAGTTTGAGTCATCTACCCAAGACCACAGAGCTAGGAAGTGGGGGAGCCAGCAATGGAATTCAGAGCCAAGCTTGCAACTCAGTTTTAACTACGGCAGGCTTCCCATTGGAATTGTGTTTGTGGCCTGCAGCAGACAGACTTCTAGACTTAACTACATACATGTCTGGTGTTTTGCCCCAAGGAAAACACCAAAGAAAGAATCAGTCACTGGTCATAGTGGGTCATGCCACAATCCATGGCACACGCCTTTAATCCCAGCACTCGGGAGGCAGAGGCAGGCGGATCTCTGAGTTCGAGGCCAGCCTGGTCTACAGAGCCAATTCCAGGACAGCCTTCAAAACAATACAGAGAAACCCTGTCTCGAAGATCCAACAAAACAAAGCAAAGCAAAACAAAACAAAAAATTGAGCCATAAGGGCCACCAGTAAGTTCAAGGTCTGCTTGGGTTACAATGTGAGACCTTGCCAAAAATATTCTTTTAGAAAGAAAGAAGGGAGGGGAGGAAAGAGAAAAGGAAGAGAGGGAGGGGAAGGGGGCATGAGGAAGAAGAGGAGGATCTATATGGAGGTGCCCACCAAGTTCCTCACAGCTGGAAGCTACACAATGCTTGTATATTGCCCCCGGGGGTACCTCACACAGCCGCCACAGTGCTAGAGGGTTAGCAAGTCTGGTGGGTGCCTGAGAGAATCCAGGGACAAGTCCTGTCCAGGGAACTGGCAAACCACAGGGCCTGTGACTGGGGCAGGCTGGGAGTTGAAGGCCCATGCCCCAACCCCTGATGCAATCTCTTTCCTACAGCACAGAGACCTAACCAGGGACCTACACAGGAGGATTTTCAAGGGACAGCCTTGGCTCAGGCCCACAGAGGGCAGCTCAGGAGACCAGTGGCGTCAAGACCCTCAGACCCACCAGGAATCTATCCTGTCTTAGGGAGGCCTCTGACTAGATTGCGATGTGTATCTGGGGCCCATGTCGGAAGGGCTAGGCCCAAGCCAGTGCCACAGCCCTTGCATTCCGGTCATTGCTGGTCTCTGGCTATGGACTAAAGCTACAGCCTGTGCACTCAGTGCCCATGAAGGGGCCTCCGAGATGCCTGCTGACACCTGCTGCAGCTCCACAGAGGCTGGAGGGTAAAGGGGTGTAGAGTCCTGCCAGGGCTGCCCATGGGAGAGAGGGCAGGATTAACCTAGTCTGGTTAATGTGGTCCCAGCTTCCCTCTCTGAACCCATCCAGTCCCAGGAGCCCCTTGCCTATAGAGAACTCTACTAAGCCTAGCTGGCCATCACCTCAATATGGTGCCAACCCCTGCTCTTACCTGTTAGTAGGCTTCCTTAGGACCCCTTGCTGAGATTATAGACCAAAGGGCAAGACTTAGGCTGAAGCGTGGCCCACAAAGGAGGCCTGTTGCGCTGGGCTAGGCTGGGCTGGGCTGAGCTGGGCTGGGCTGGCCACGTGGGAACTTAGGGGTATTTTTAACCTCTGTGTGGGAGGGGGGAGCTAAGTGGGAGGGAGTGAGGTCACAGCTCTTCGAAGACTGTCTCCTTTGAAAGCCCACACTGTCTACATCACACAGGAGACCTCTGGGTACCTGAATGCTAGCATGGACAGTAGGGAGCTTCTTGGGCGAGCAGGTGCTTTGATTCATATCCCAGGCAGTCAGGCTGAACGGGGGAGCCAAGAATGACATGGAGACAGCAGAAGCCTGCGTGGGGCCTGTGGGGCCCACAGAAAGCTGCTCCGGGCTGACACTAAGGACAGTCTAGTCCTGCTTCACCACTGTACTGGTAGGGACGCAGGAAGCCACAGTCCCTCTGTGGAGTGGGACAGTCACATCATGAGTAAGCACAGGTTGGTCAGTCTCTAAGCTTGAGGTCCACCGTGGTGGCGGGGAGCCTTCAGCAACAAAAGCAGAGCTCAGGAGACTCTGACACTTGGGTGCATGGGTGGGAGAGACTGAGATTCTACCCACACAATAAAGGAAGCCTTGGCCTTGGGCTTCCCCAGGGGTTCCCTCCATCCTGGGTGCTTCAGGCAGCTAAGAAACAGGGGTCACCTGAAAACAAAGCAGCCGAGGTTTGCAACCTTCCAGGCAGTGCTTGGTTCGTGGAGACACACTTCACCTTCCGAGTCTAGGATGCTTATGTTAGCCAGGGTCAGGTTGGGTCGGGGACCCGAGGAAGGGTGAGAGACAAACTTGGAAGGTAAGGGGCTTCAGTGCACAGGTGGGACAGGTGGGCGACCAGCCTAGGCCTTGCCACCCGGTCCCTCCTTCCTTCTTACCTGGGCCGTGGTAACATGATCAACTGTGTGCCACTTTGGGAGGGGTGGAATTGATGCTCTCACAGACGGGTCCCAGATGGTACCTTGAGTGACACGACAGCCTTCCTGGCAAAGTTAGATAATTAGAGTGCTGGGGGGGGGGTGCACGGCTCCTATGTGGCCAGCATAGCAGCTGGGGAAGTTCAGCTTTGCACCAGGAGAAACAGGTCACCATCAGGGGAGCCCCGCAAGGCCTGCCCAGCTCCTCACATCTGCTTCTGTGTCCAGAGGGTCCCTGGCTCTGTGATTCCCTCCTTCTCTCTCTCTCTCTTCTCTCTGTCTCTCTCTGTGTGTGTGTCTGGCTTTGGTATTTAGCTTCATATGGTATAGGGAACCCTCATGAATGTTCTCATCTGCTGTGCATTTGGGGCCTCCATGGGGAAGGTACTGAAGCTAGGTGAAAGTTTTGCTCACTGCTCCATTTGCAGGGTCAGTGCTTGGCTGCTCTGTCTGGAGGGAATGAAGGACGGGAACTGTACCATGGGCTCTGTCACAGGGAGCTGGCTGTGCCAACCGAGCAGGTCTCCCAGCAGACCATGTGGGCATTAGAGGCCCAGAGTATTATTGGATGACAGACCTGGCAGGAGACACAACACTAAGCTCAAAATGACAGGCTGCTTCCAAGAGCTGGGACTTGAAGTAGGCGCATGAAAACTATAAAGATATAAAGCAGAACTCTCCAGTAGTAAATGACAATATCCCTCACAGACTGTCAACCGTGAGTCTGGAGGTGTACAAATGTCTGTCTGTCTGTCTGTCTGTCTGTCTGTCTGTCTGACTGTCTGTCTGTCTGTCTAGCTGTCTATCTGTCTGTCTGACTGTCTGTCTGTCTGACTTGCTGTCTGTCTGTCTAGCTGTCTATCTGGATGTCTGACCGTCTGTCTGGCTGTCTGACTGATTGTCTGTCTGACTGTCTGTCTGTCTATCTAACTGTCTGGCTGTCTGGCTGTCTGACTGGCTGGCTGGATCTGTGCATGTCACTGCCTTGCTCACTTGATGCTGAATCATGAGTTTTGAGGAGACTGATTTGAAAACATGGGTTTAAGTTTCATTTTGACAGGGAGTCGCCTTCCTTCCTAAGGCGGGATGTGACACCAGGCACAGCTCCTATTCATGGGCTTTCAGGTCACTTCCCGTTTTGGACGCTGTGATGAAGTGTATCAGCTATGCAGTTATTTCCCCAGACCAGACTCCGAGTGTGAATTCACCAAACTAAAATGTGCCACTAGAATATTTCAAAGGTGCAGGTCACACCAGAGGGACCAGGCCTGGAGAAGCCGCACTTGCTTTTGTTGGTGTGTGGACATGGTGCATGGCTACGAGGCTAACCCAGGATAGGGTCCCACGGGCCAGACTGCTTCCTCCAGGGTTTATGTTCCGCTGGTGCACAGCCTCCGGCTAACCCAGGATAGGGTCCCACGGGCCAGACTGCTTCCTCCAGGGTTTATGTTCCGCTGGTGCACAGCCTCCAGCGCATGTGAGGTTGACTTGGGGAGGGGGTCACCGCGAACATATTCTCTTCTCTTTCCACAGTTAGCCATTGCGCTCCATGCTGTTGCTGCCCTGCGTCAGTCCCTGTGGAGTGGCTGCAGCACTTTTGTCTCAGGCCATGCGTGAACAGTCAGGCTTTGTCGTGTGGGAATCAAGATTCACTAGACTCAGTACAGGTTAAATGAGGTTTATTTGGAGAGCTAACACTCACACAAGAGGCTGCCACAGGTTCCAGCTCCAAGGATCCTCCCAGGCTGTTTCCCGTGATCCGGCTTGCAGCAAGCGAGCTCTGGCTTCTGAGACCCCAGATCAGGTATGGGCAAGGTGTATATCTCACTACAAGGCTTCTCTGTTCTAGGGTCAGAACCACCTTGCTGGATTGATGCTGCCCTGTTAACAGTGACACCCCAGTCAGAATCAAACTCCTTTTCTATGCTCCCTTGCGGCGTCTGTCAGCTATTGCTGTGGAACAATTTGTCCCCAAGTCTAGTGTCTCAGAATGTCCCATCAGGCTGTACTAAGGGTTCTTCAAGCTTTGGAACTCTAAAGGCTGCTTTGGGGCAGGGACCTGCTGGGCTATATGGAGGAAGTCTGGATCCCCCCAACACACCTCTCAGGTCTCCACAAGGTCTCTCCTCACCTGGCTACTGGCTTCCCTGAGGGGCAGAGAGAAGTAGCCATAGAATTGGAGTCACACTGCCTTCCATAGTCTAATCATAAATGACACCCTCAGTGTCTGCTGTATTCTGGGGAGGTATGAGCTGTGACTCCCAGAGGGCAGGGCCACTGGGGGCCTTCTTGGAGGCTTCATAGCTTCTTAGAGGCTCTACAGCTTCTGTATCAGTTTTCATGTTATGGTGAAGCCACTTAAAGGATGAGAGCTTACTTTGGCTCACAGTTTGAGGGGACACAGCCCATCATGGTAGGATAAGCGCGGCAGTAGGAACATCAGACAGCTGGTCATATTGGGTCAGAACCAGGAAACAGAAAGCAGAGTCACTAGACCTTGGCTATGAAGCCTCAAGGCCCTATCCCAGTGGTCTACTTCCTCTGGTCGGCTTCTACTTTAGTGGGTTCCACATCCTACTAAACCAGGACCATTGACTGGCCTACCTCCAATGGGTTCCACATCCTACCAAAACAGGATCACCAACTGGTCTACCTCCAATGGGTTCCATAGCCTACCAAAACAGGACCACCAACTGGTCTACCTCTAAAGGGTTCCACATCCTACTGAAACAGAACCACCAACTGGGGACCAAGAGTTCAAATACATGAGCTTATGTGCAAACCCTTGTCTGTGCATCTCTGAAATGAACTTTACAGTTGTTGATTTTTGTTTGTTTTTTGTCTTTTTAAGATTTTATTTATTTATTATGTATACAACATTTTGCTTCCATGTATATCTGCACACCAGAAGAGGGCACCAGATCTCATAACAGATGGTTGTGAGATACCATGTGATTGCTGGGAATTGAACTCAGGACTTCTGGAAGAGCAGTCAGTGCTCTTAACCTCTGAGCCATCTCTCCAGCCCGTTTTGTTTTTTGAAACAAGGTGTCTCTATGTAACAGTTTGACTATCCTGGAACTCATCTTGTAGACCAGGCTGGCCTTGAATTCACAGAGATCCTTCTGTCTCTGCCTCCCTGATTGCTGGGATTAAAGGCGTATGCCACCACCACCTGGTCTTTACAGTTGCTGTTGTTGTTTTAATCTCAACTTTGCATTAAGCCCTCATTGACTGGGGGTACTGACATCTTACTATGCATGCTCTGGTTACCAAGGGGGATAATAGTCTTTTTTGGAGGGGGTGGGAGGGTTCGAGGCAGGGTTTCTCTGTGGCTTTGGAGGCTGTCCTGGAACTAGCTCTTTTAGACCAGTCTGGTCTCGAACTCACAGAGGTCTGCCTGCATCTGCTGAGTGCTGGGATTATAGGCATGTGCCACTGTTGCCCGGCAAGGGGTAGTATTCTTTTATTCAGCTTGGCATGGTTTCTACTTCTCTGTATATTCTTTCTGCACACATTTACACACTGACAAAAGAGCTCTGACTCTCCTGAAAGCCTTGTTCTGTGGCTTCAACCTCCAGGGCGTACATGAAGGGGTTCTGAGTCCTCTGTGGGGTTTTGCCAGCAGGACAACAGACTTATGTGTCCATAAGTGAGTGTGGCCTTGAGGGGCCAACCTCTGCCTATATGGGCATCTGTTCCTCACAGGTGAGCTGTTAGAGGGTCAGTGTTTGCTAGCCTGATAGGTAAGGCATCAGAACTATCCAGAATGTCTTTGAAAATCATCTACCCTCTGTGAGTTCGAGACCAGCTTGGTCTACAAGAGCTAGTTCCAGGACAGTCTCCAAAGCCACAGAGAAGCCCTATCTCGGGAAAAAAAATCAGCTACCTGTCCTCACCCAGGCCAGAGAATCAGAATCTCTAGGTAGCTTCCTGGTAGAGTGATGTGTCTGCAGAAGTTGCCTTGCCTGTGGGCCACAAGCCTAGGTTTGCGTTTCCACTGCCTCTCTCACCTGGCATCCAATCTAGCTCCAGGCCCCTCAAATCGTCTTTGGTGTCCCAAGGGCTATGAGGATTGGGTATACCCATTTCTTGACTGGGAGACACACGGCTGGGCTCTGTGACTTCTACCCTCCCACCCCCAAACCCAGCCTCCTTTGTTACACTCAAAAGAGATGACAGTAACTGCCTTACAGTTACCCTGCCTACTAGTGTCTGCTCATGGAATACCACAGGCTAGTGAGCATCTGAGTTTATGGGGAGTCTCTGGGCAGAAGCCCTCATCCACCAACCCTTCAATCCCACCAGGACCTAGGCTGGGCAAGCCAGTATCAGCACCACATCCCTGATCCCATGATGTAGGGAGGACACTGGATCCTCTTGGGGTTGATAGCTTCCCTGACGTGGCAGCTGCTCTGAGTGTCCACTCAGTGGCCAGGCTCTGGGGGCACAGGCAGCTTTCCCAGGGACTGGAGTGATAAGCAAGTGTGCGCCAGCCAGGAACAGGAACTTTATTTAGCAAACACACATCCAGCTTCAGCTAAGGGCTGGGTAGGGGGAACCACCAGTCACCTCAGAGCAGGTCCCAGGGCTGGAGGCAACTTGTAGCCAGGACCTTTGCTACTGACCTCTGTGGCTCTTCCGGCACCAACACCCATTATTCACACCAATTTTATCTCCTTGGAGGTCCCTTTCCGTGGGACCTCTACCTAGTCTTGAGTCTGTGCAGGCTCTGTTCCAGCCAACAGCCTATCTATCCAAGAGCCCCAAGGTTAGGGCTCCCTGCTCCCCCCAGTGGTGATGCAGGGACACTGCAGGAGACTCTTGGCGATGGCCGGTCCCATTGGGCATCCTTTGCTCCAAGGGGGCTTGGCTGCAGATCCCTTTCGCAGGGCCTGTTGGGGTCTCCTCACAAAACCCCTATTCCTGAATCCCCATGGGTTCACGAGCTGGGCGGTGCCTCATCCCGTATGCCACCGAAGTTGAAGATGAGCCGTTCTAACAGCCGTCTGAAGGCCCCTTCTCTAGCACCTGACTCCTGTGGTTCTCTACGGTATCTGGAATCCCCAGGGGTGTTTGGCTCCTCTCTCTATACCTAAGTGGAAAACAACATTATGTGGGCAACACCCAAATGAACACACGAGCACCCTCAGTGTGTCCCACCCTTGCTGTATGCTATTCCCAAGTTCAGAAGCTCAATTTACCTCCAGAGGGTGCCAACCTCTCTGCTCAGAGAACTCCTCACCTCTTGGTGGATAGGCTTGGTATCCCAGCTCCTAGGGACACCTGTGGCCCTGTCACTGCCTCCAGCTGAGGATCTGGGAGGGGCTGAGCAGTTGACAGACAAAGGCCTAACCGGGAACCTTCCCTCAGGGAATCTGGCAGTACCAGAGGAGAGCCTTGCTTACATGACCGACCAGCGGGAGAGTCAGGGCAAGGGCACTTGTCTGCCTTGGGGCCTGGGGGTCACCTCCTGCCCTCCTCCCCACTCCTGCCAGAGACTGTTCACTCTAGACACAGCGCCCCTCTCCGGTTTTACAGAGGAGGTTGTCAGGGGAAGAGAAGCAGAAGCAGAGGCAGGCCCAGGACCGAGGCCCAAAGGGAGATGTACAGAGGCTGTTGCTGTGATTGCCCCATGGAAACAGGAGTGGGACATCCAGGTATCAAGGTGACTGCTGGAACCAGGACTGGCAGGGGGACCCTGGTACCGTGATGCCAGCTCCTTGACTACTGGGCCACCGCACCCACACGGCCTCCTGAGGACCTGAACCCCGTGCTCACAAAGGACAAGAATTTTGACGCTGAAGTCACTGCTCAGATGAGATGGACACCGTGGCTTAAGAGATCTCTGACCTCCGTGGAGACAGACTGGAGTCAGCCAACACCATGCCTACTTCATCTGACCCCCAGGGGGCGCAGACAATGAAAAAGAGGAAACCCATATCCTATCCCCAACCCCAGAATTCCATTCACCAGAACTGTCATTCTCCAAAATTAAACATTTCAGCCTCTTTTGCCTTCCAGAAGGCGAAGCTGCGGTCGATGTAGCCACAGATGTCCCCGCTGTTGAAGCTGCCCCGCTGGGAGTCAGACCCAAGCTTCGGGGCGACAGGTTTGGAGCCACTGTCCGGGAGGGCAGTGTGGGGCAAGGACCCTAGTGGTGTCAGGCCCAGTTTGCGTCCAGGCTCCATGTCCCAGGCTGGACCCTGGCTGGAGCCAAAGAAGCGGGCTTTGATGTCCTCGAAGCCGTCAGTCCAGGTACGGCGGCCCGCGGCCACCTCGTCGGTCACCGCCTTGTGGAAGGCGCGCACAGCCTCCCAGCCGTGCGCACCCAGGTTCTCGAAGACCTCGAAGCACAGCAGGTGGCGCATCTTGCGCTCCTCGGCCGGCAGGTCGCATTCCAGGAGCTGGAAGTAGCCGAGCATGAAGAGGTCCAGCGAGAGGCTGTTGTAGGGTACCGGCGCCCCGTCCACGTGCGGCAAGAACTGCTCTGGGGACAGGGGTCCGCGCGCCCTGCGGCTCAGCCTCCGCAGTTGCCGGGCCGGCACGTGCGCCATGATGGCCTTCCAGGTGCCCAGCAGGTGGGTGATGATGCCGCGCTGCTGCCACAGGTGGCTGAGCCGGGGGCCGTCGCTGGGCGGCGGGGAGGGTGGCCGGGGGCTACCGGTGGCCTCGGCGCCCCTGGATCGCGCACGCTGGGCCTCCAAGGTCCTGCAGGCGGCGGTCTTGAGCGCGGGCGTGTAGGCGGACTTCTTCCAGTGGCCGAGGAACAGCATGACGATACGCTCCTTGCGCAGACTGGCCAGGTCCAAGCCCGGCCCCACGCCAGCCTCTGATGCGGCCTCCTCGCAGCTGATGCCAGAATCGCTGGCCTCCTCCGTGTCGCCCGGCCGGGGCTCCCCGCCCATCGGGTCGCCTTGGGGCTGTGGAGGCGCTGACCAGCAGCCTCGAAGACACTGGCCGCGCTGAGCCCCCATCTCACAGGGACCTGAGTTTGAGGCGCAGGGCAGATGCCGGGCAGACTCGAAGTTCCCCCGTAGCGTCCTCACCGACACCCCGCACTCCTGGATCTCACGCTGAGCCTCGCTTCGAAGTGGGCCGACCATGGTGGCCTCCTTGCCCGGGTCCCGTGGGTCCCGTGGGTCCCGTGCAGGCGCTTTCTCCTCTCCTTGCGCTAGCCCATTCATGCCCTTCAGCAGCAGGGACATACTGCGCACCAGGCGACCGATGTGGCTGCACCAGAAGGGCAGCGGCTGCCCGCTGGGCTTGGCCTTCCCAGGCTCCACCGAGGCTTCGAGTTCTGGTACCAGAGCCTGGGCTTCCTCGTCTTCCAGGCCTGGAGCCCGGGGTAGAAAGTGACTGTTGACAGTGATGCTGACCAGGGGCTCGGGCAGGAGGGCTTGCAGCTGCGCTGCCAACCGGCCCAGCTCGCTCTCGTACTCCTGGCAGCGGCGCCGGAGCTGCAGGTCGTTGATCTGCTTCTCCAGGTAGACCAGGTCGTCCTCTGTCAGCAGCTCCCCAAAGGGGCCCAGGATGGCCTGGTGCGTCTGCGAATACCTCCAAGTCGCCTGTTCTGCGGGCGTGGGACCTGAATTTCGGCTCTGACTCTGATCCTGGACACAGAAAAGCTGGGTCAGAAGTCACCACAGAGCACACTCGTTAGCGTTCTGCCTGGTTCCCCACAGCCTAGCCATTGGACACCAGCTGGCCCTCTCCTGGCTTTCCAAAGTAAAGCCAGTGTCTGACCAGCAAGGTCCAGAGTGGGAGCCTAGGGGAAGCTTACCCCAAAGCAGATAGAGAACGGCCTGCTCCCCATAGCCTCCTAACACCTCCTGGTGCTGGCTGTCAAGATGCCCAGGCCCTTCTCTTAACCCTAAGTTGCCTCCTCACAAGCCTCGGGATGGATGCCATTGTTCTAAGCAGATAGTTTGCAAGGGGCCAGCAAGCAGGCCTCGGCCTTGTGCACGGTATCACTACGAACCCTTTAGCAACCCTTCTTCATATCACAGAACTTTGCAGAACCTGGAGCCCACTCTTGGACCCCAAGGGATTTCCCGGCTGCAGCCCCCTCCCCCCCCCCCCCCCGCCACTGCCCTGCCGTGCCCCCGGTTCCTGAAGATGGGGTGGGACGCAGACACGTTTGTTGGAGACAGGCTGCAGCAGGCAGGACTCCTTAGCGCCTGTGGCTGTAAGAGGGGTGACTGATGCAATGGAGCGTTTCTACTTTGACTGGCTTTAGAACCGTTGCCCAGTTGACCCCAAGGTCAGTGCTGTATGGTGTTGAGAGAAGCCTTTCCAACAGCCTGGTCCCCGAGCCTCATCAGTCCCAAATGAACACACAGGAGGCTATATTAATTATGATGCTGTTGGCCTTGCTTGTTTCTTATTGGCTAGCTCTGACTTAAGTAATTACCCCATAATTGTTAATCTAAGTATTTCTCTTACCGGAGAAAAGGGTCCGGACTTCTTACCCCTATGGCAGCTACATGATGACTCCCTGTGTTTCTCCTCCCCAGAGTTCTCCTCGACTCCTAGTCCCACCTATCTTTCTTCCCTATTGGCCAACAGTGCTTTATTGACATATACACAGGACTTCCCCATCAGTATGGACAGTTCGGCTCTAAACCTGGACACAGTGCAATCCACACGCTTTTAGGGCACGGTTGCAGTTCTGCTCAGCTAGTCAGCCTAGGGCAAGTCACAGTCCCTCTTCTCTGCTCACTCACGGATGCCTTCTGGACAACTGCAATCTCCTCAGGCCTCCTCTTCCCCCCCACACCACCCACTCACTCCACTCCAGGCCCGGTCTCTGCCATTCAGCCCCAGGGCCTGCCCACCACACTCAGGACCACACCCTGTCCCCTCTGCCTGGAATGCAGAAAACCCTCGACCCAAACTCCCCCGGCCCTTCCTCATTTCCTGCTGGCTCCAGGTCAGGGTCACGTGCCCAGAGAGGGGCCTCACTTGAGCACGCCCTAAGCCCCCACTTCACGATGCCTTGCCCTTCCCCATGGTTTGCCCCACCCCACCCTCGGTGAACTGCTGTCCCACTGGTGTCTCTGCAATAACTAAGCCCCAGGAAGGTAGGGCTGGCCCAATCTAATAGGTGACAGAACCCATGGGGCCTACCCCTCTGAAGCCATAAATGCCTTGCTTGCAGCCCTGTGACCCAGTTTTGAACCATAGCATGGCCAAAGAGGAAGCTGGGACCGTGTGGTGTCAGGAGGAAGACATCTGTTTTGGATTCCAGGTTCGGCTGGAGCATCCCAACCTTCTACTGGCAGCTTCCACTCCCGCTTGGACTTTACTCAGTGGCCTTGTCCCTACCTCCTCACCCCACTCTGCCACCTCCCACTCTCCCACTCCACACTGCACCTCTACCCCACTCTACCCCGCACCCTACCTCCAGTCTCCAGCTCAAATCCCCACCTCCCTCTGAGCCCCAGCCTCTTCCTGGAGCCTTGCCCTCCTCCTCCTCAAGGCTCTGCCCCTTGCTCTGGATTGCCTCTCCTCCTCTGGCTCCTCCCCTTTCCCTCCTAGCAGCATCTCTGGCCCCTCCCCTTCCCCCTCCCTGCAGCACCTGATCTTCTGGTAGATGGTCTGCACCCAGGCGTGCCTGCAGCTTCCGAACCATCACCTGCCGCTTCCACTCGGGGATGGGTCGGCCATGCTCGTCCTGAGTGGGTACCAGCACGTCTAGGTCTCCTGAAGGCAACCCATCCAGCAGCAGAGTGGCCAGGCCGTCACTGGAGTCCTGGGCTTCCATCCCAGGCCCCTATAGAGACAGGCAGATCACATGTCCGGAGAGGACCTAAGCTTTAGCAAGGTGAGCTTCCCGACCCCTGACTAACAAAGGCGAGGCTCTGAGGGTGAGGATGTGGTGCCCTCCCTCCCCGGAGGGGCAACAGGGGGCAGGTATGATCTTACATGGCCTCCATACAGTTACCTAAGTCATGCCGTGTGGAAGGGTAAGAAACAACTGTGCTTAAAAAACAAACAACAGTGCTGGGCATTGGTGGCACACAACTTTAATATCTCTGTGAGTTCGAGGCCAGCCTGGTCTACAGAGCGAGTTCCAGGACAGCCTCCAAAACAATACAGAGAAACCCTGTCTCTAAAAACAAAAACAAAAGCAAAAAAAAAAAAAAACAACAAAAACAACAACAACAAAGACCTGTGCTGACAAAGCTTGGTCACCAGTTCTGTAGAGCAAGACTTATCAGAGCCTTTACGGAACTGTGTTCTCTGAGAGGACCAGCACCATTTGGCAATTTCCAGAGTCCTCTGAGACTCAGGGAAAGGCAGGGCTGGAAAAGTGGGGGTGGGCAGGGAGGACTCGCTGGAAGCAACAGAGGAGCAGGCTCCAGAACCTTCTTAGGTGTGTCTGGTTGCCTTTTGCAGCAGTAGCTTCTAACCCTGAGTCCAGAGGTCAGGACTCTGGGATGACAGAGAATGGTATTTCCTGTAATGGGGCCTGGCTGCCGCCGCCTAAGATTCTCATCTCCCAAAAACAGGGTGTGTTCAGAGCTGTCTGGGCTGAGAGAACATGAGGGTGTGTTAGCCTTGAGGTGGAGAGATGGAGAGTGAAGGGCGGACACTCACCTTAAGGGCAGCTGGGAGACTGGTGGTCACCCTCAGAGGGGCTGCACAGGCCATTGGCTCCCTTGGCACAGGCTGAGCAGGACAGGCTGGGCTGAGAGTTACAGCTGCCGAAGATGGCGGGAGTCAGAGGGGCGTCAGAAGGGCAAGAGTAGGGGAGAGCAGATTCCAAGCCTGGAGCTCTTGGACCCAAGACAGCCCTGCTCTTCCAGGAACACTAGGCTTGGAGCCCAAGGCCCTGCAGTCCTGCCCCAAAGTCCCCCGGGGGTCACAGCAAAATGCTTATCACTGGGATTCTCAGAGGCCTTAAGAAGGCTTGCCCCAACCTGGCCTCTGGGAAAGCTTGTATGCCACCTAATTCTATCTACCGTAGCTCTTCCCAACCTCTCTGCAGCCTGGGCACATCTGAGGGTCCGGGGGCCTAAACCAGTCCTGTCAGACCCCCAGATCTGTCCTTTGACTACCTCTGTCCCTATGCACCACACCATGACCCTGAGCAAGAAACCTCTGTGCCCCCCCCCCCCGCCCCGCCAGGCAGGCAGACAGAATCATTCACTTAGGTAGACAAACACACAGGCATGCTCTCACACACAGACATGCTTAGACACTCATGTGCAGATACACAGACATACATAGCAACATACATGCACACTCATGTAGAGACGTGCACTCAGACACAGACACACTTGCCCACACAGACAGACAAACTCCCACATGTGAGCATGTAGCTTTATCTTGACTGTGGGTTAAAATGAAACCTCCCTGCTGCATGGGCATTTTCATATCATCCCGTCGTTTTGATAAGGGTTGGTCACAGTCCTCTAAGGGTGCTAGCTGCAGTTGGCAGGCCCTTCCCATCTCCTGATGCCCAAGATGCTTACTGGCCTGCTGAGGGCTCTGGCCTGGGTCCCACCCAAGACCACCTGCTTTCACTTCTGCTCAGATTACTGTGATAATGGTACCCAAGATAGAGGATGTCAACCTCGGAGACTTCAAGGGAAGCCTGGGAGGAGTTCTGGGAAGGGAAGACCCTATGTGCCCAGCTGCCCGAGCCCAGCTTCTCCAAGCTCCTCCCACTTGTCCTCCACACCTTGCCCAGACCTGTTCTTCTGCAGCCCAGCACTCACACGGGGGACTCCTGAGTCCTGAGTCCACTCTCCTTCCATCCTCCATGGAGAGCCTTTCCGTCAACAGTGGAGGAGGTGGAAACGGCGGGGGTGGGGGTGTCATCAGGACTGGTGGCACCTGGGGGTGGACAGACCTGGTCAGTGGAAACTCGGGTGAGTCTAGACTTACGTCTGTCCCAGCAATGCTGGACAAGCATAGGGGGCCTAACGGGGCATGGGCAGCTCAGAGAGGACCTGAAGAGAAGTATGCAAGAGGGAACAGGACGCTGTCACTCTTGTGTCTCCCTGCCTACCCATGCAGGGTGGCTGGGTTTTCTAACAGTCTGTACCCTCCCATTTCCAGCTCAGGATCCCCTGAGCAGCCTTCCTTCAGTCCCACACAGATGGGAGTATGTACACATGCAGGCACACATGTCTCCCTGTGACTGAGATTGACTCCTGAGACTCAAGACTCCCTCCTTGACATGGGCCTGAGGATAACTGGGGGGGGGATTAGAGGATTCAGTAGGAGTCGGTTAGGAGGTGTAGGACAGTGGCAGGTCCCTGCAAGCCCAGCAGCCCCTTTTCAAGTGATGTCAGTGCTTGAACTCAGGCCACATAGAGCCTAGGAAACCTGAGCAAGACCCCTAGGTTGTGTCCAGGGATGCTCTGCTGTCTCAGGGAGCCTGGCCTTGGAGATCAGGCAGAGGGGCAAGCCAGGACCTGCCCTCAGTGACCAAACCAAAAGTGGACCATCAACGACTGCTCAGGTTGGGTAGTCAATTGTCCCTGGCCACCTCTACTGTCCTCAGGTTCCCACCACGGGATGAGCCATTGACAAGAATGCGCTGTCCAGCACGGCCCTGCTCAGCCTCGGCTGCAGCACCTGACCCGGAGAAGCTGGGGGATTCGTGTTCCTACTGGCTCTGGCTGGGGATAAGTGATGTGAGGCCCTGACCACCTCCCCGTGGGCTTCCAAGCCCTTCAAGCCTGGCTTGGTGTCTTTTGGCTGAGAGCTGATATGGAAGGATTCTTGACCTTGTGTCTAGGATGGCGGGCACCCGAGCTCTGTGGGCCAACATTACATCAATGTCTTCTGTCATGCTGATGCCCAACTCCTGCCTGCAGCTAACAGGGCACACGGCACACGTGGCATTCCCTCTGGGCACCCACCCCACAGTCACACCTAAGCCCCAGAACTTCCTTCCAGGGAACAGAGGAAGCCAACATAACTGTCAGGCCCTTAAGATGGTGCTATGGAGACCCCACACCCTGCCTTCATGAACAGGACAGGGGCTGTGGCTTGAGCCAGCCCTGACTCAGAACACATGGCCCTCAGCCAGGTCAGTGTCAGGAGCTGTGCCTGCCTTCAGAGTTCACCCACGTCTGCAGGGTGGCCTTCTGCTCGCGCCCCGCGGTGTGCTGGCAGCCTGCGCTGCCCAGGCAAACCCTTGAGCCACTTCTCACCCACGGCCAAGGCGGATCTGGCCTGCCCTTCAGTCCCACGCCGCCCGAGACCCTCAGCTCACCAGGTCACAGGGAAATGGAAGCAGCACGAATCCCCATGTGCCCTCTTGTGCACCTCATTTATCCTGGGGCTCTGCAAAGCCCAGGAGCCCACACGTGGGGCTGCAGGACTGGAACATCTGTCTCCTTCCACCCGGGAGGTTCTCAGAAGCAAATGCTGGGCAGCCGAGCACAGGGAGCCGTGGGTGTCCCCGTCCCTGCTGTCGGGGGCTGTCGAAGCTGTACCCCCCAGAGTAAGAGGTATCGCATGAATATTTGAAGGCCCAGGTGTCAGGTGGCCAGCAGGCTGGGGCCGGGTGTGGGATCCCTTACTACAGAGCCGTACGCCCCACAGTGGAGGTCTAGGGGATGGACCTCTGGGAGGTAGAGAGCCTGAGGTTACCCAGAGGGGCCCTGCTTGCAGTGAGGAACAGGGGCTTTCCAAGGCCTCACAGCTGCAGGGCACAGTTGAGGGAGGGGCAGCGGAAGCCCTGGGGCAGCTCCTGAGCCTGACGATCTCTCTCCAGAGCCTGAGCTTGAGCCTCGAGGGCTGTTACAGGGGTGACCCTGTGGGACAGGGGCAACTGAATGCTCTGATATGGGGTGCTCAGGTTTAGGGGTCCTTGGCTGAAACACAAGCCCACTGAGGACATGGAAGTCATCTGGGCCTCATCAACTCGGGTGGGACCTGGGGACAAGGGAACCCTCGCCTGGGAGCCTCAGCTCCCATCTCTGCCATTAAATCTACTGTCAAAAGGATGGGCAAGAAGCATCCTTGCCCACCTGACCCAGGAAAGATGGGGAGGGGCTCAGTGGGGCTAGTAGCAGCCTCCGCAGGCTGGGAGGACAGAACAGGTGGGATGCTGGCCTGGGCTGGGAGACGGGGCCTCCAACTTCAGAACAGCCCCACAGCTTGAGGACTTCAGGACCTGGGGCTCACTGGGCACTGGGCCCTCCTCACAACTGCACAAGAAAGAGAAGCCCATGTCATGGCTACAGACAGGTCACCGAAGTGAGGCATCATGGGGAGCATCCATTGGACCTAGACAGGGAGCCACTAGAGCTGACCCCTCTGAACCTGGGCAGGAGGGAACCTAACTATGGTGCCCTCCAGGCCTCGGGATCCTCCACATCCTTGCCTCGCAGTCTTGTCCATGGACCTCCAGGGAATCCTTGTATAGGAGCAGGGGTAGGTGCCCGGCTCCGCCCTTTAATCCTACTGGCTGGCATACCCTGTCCTAGACAGCTGTTGTGAGGATCACGGTCCCTCTGGCTCCACCGCCTGCCATCTCTTCCTTGGTTTTGGTGAGATTTGAGCATTACTGAGCCTGCCATGCATTAATCATGGAGGGCAGCTGTGTCGAGCTGGGTTACAGGCCTGTAATGCCACCCGGACTGAGAAAATCATGACCTCGGACGGAGCTGGACACCATTCACCACGGCTGAGATTCCATTACTGCAGGCAGCCTCCTCCACTGCGCCCCGAGACAAGACTCTGGGAACATTTCCAGCCCTCCCTGGTTCCCGTTTTCCCGCCTGTCTATGAAGGGGCCCTGGGACCCTCTGCAGTGAGAAGAGGGGGACTGAGCTGAGGCCATCGCGACAGAGCAAGAGAGGAACATTGCTTCTGGCCCCAGACACGGTCTTCAGACCTGCTTTAAGAATGAGGACGTCAAGGCTGGTGCCATGCGCCCAAGAGGACCCGACATCACGCTGGTGGGAGTGAGTATAAGGTAGGCGAGCAGCCGGGCGGTGGTGGCACACGCCTTTAATCCCCGCACCTGGGAGGCAGAGACAGGCGGATCTCGGTGAGTTTGAGGCTAGGCTGGACTGACAGCCTCCAAAACAATACAGAGAAACCCTGTCTCGTAAAACCAAAAAAAAAAAAAAAAAAAAAAAAAAAAAAAAGGTAGGCGAGCAGGGAAACCTAGACCATAAGGGATGAGGGCAGCATTCCGTGAGCTTGGAGGTCTGCACACATATCATCAAGGACTGCCTCAGTGGCTAACGCCTCTAGAACAGTCTTCAGACTTCCACACTAGGGAGTCAGGCGATCAGCCAACCGAGAGACGGGTGGGCAGCAGGCTACTGCCTCAAGAGCTGTCTCACCTAGGAAAGGAGACCCAACCTCTCACTGTGCAGAGGGACACGGAGGTCCAGGGAGAAGGCCTGAATTTCCCCAGAGCTCCGTGCAGGCCCCACACCCAGCAGAGGGTGTACCAAGGTCCCACAGAGCCCTTACGTGAAGTGGTCATTGAAGGTGCACCCCTCAGGGAGCAGCTCTGGGTACTGACAACCTAGCACTCAAGTTGCCTCTCCTGGGCCCACGGTTGCCCCGAGAGCAGCTCGGGACAGTGGCGTCTGGGGAATAATGGATTTCACCATCTCAGGTCCACACAGGAGAGGGCCGGTGCAGACAACCTCTGCATATTGCATTTCCATCAATATTGCATCAGGAGCACTCCCCTGCTGCCGGCCTGCAGCTGACAGCCTGTCCTCCCACACGGGGTGGGAGGCCTAGAGAACAACCTTGCAGTGGTGGAGTCAGGCTTCCCTAGTGTTACCAGGCTCCGTCAGAAGACACCATGGTGACCAAGCTCTAACCCTAACTGTGAAAGAAATGGTTCCCACAAAGTCAAGGGTCAGGCTTTCAGGGACTGGGTGGGTACCCACATATGAACAAGAAGGAAGACATTGGGTACAGGAAGTGGATGGACCATATTAGGCCTGTGGGGGAATTCCATGAAGACTCAGGAGTGCCAGGTACCATAGTCCCCAGGCAAGATGATGCCTTGTTGCCTTGGGTCCCATGTAACTTCTCAGACACAGCTAGAGCCAAATCAACCCCAGTAAGGCAAGATGGGCTTGTTACCCTCAATCTAGAGGGACTATGTAGAGACCCTCTCCCTGAGGTGGAGTATGGTCCAGGCTATAGAAATGGACGGTCAAGAGTTTGCATGGACAGAGATTTCTGGCCTTGGAATTCACACCATGCCTGGGGTGGGGGCTAGTCAGGGATTTTTGGAAGCTGGATGGGGCCTGGCCCATGTGAGGAGGTACTCCTGCTATGGGGGCACAGGAGCAGCCACCCCCTAATGTCAGCTGCTACCCAGGACAGGGAAGATCCCAGTGAGGAGAGGAACCTCGTGTTTTCAGTGGCTGGGGTGTCCCCGGGTGCAGAGTGTACAGCCTTGCTCATTTTCCAGAAATCAGCATGTCACCACTTACTCAGCCCCAACCAGGGCAGGGACCTTGCATCGACAGACACAGCCTAGTGTTTAGTCACTGGCCCATTTCCAAAACTGCTGAATGCCGGGTTTTGAGATTTCCACCCCAGGAGGACCCCCACCTGAGTCTTGTGGCCCACTTGAACTGCACCACACTGAGTCAGGCTTGCTGTAGTGAGATTTGGCTGTGACCCCGTGAGGTCCCTCGCACAGGCCAAGGGGCCAAGGAAAGCTCTGCCTCAGTTGGCTCCTGACGTTCTGAGGGGTCACCATAAGAGGAGAAATGTGGTCTCCTTCCAGGTGAACCCCAGTGGGGCCTCACCACCTGGGCCTCAGTGCCCCGCCCACACATGGGTGGGACAGGTCATCTTCCTGAAGGGGTGACACCATTGAGAACTGATGGAACTCCTCAGGGTCACCAGCTTGGGCTGGATAGGGAGGGAGGGATCGAGGCAGGGAATGCATTGGGAAGAGTTGGATCCAAGTCACCAAACCACACCCACAAGGGACACCCTCCAACCTGCCCGGCTCCCCTGTCTTCTCCCTCTGGCCATCTGCCCACACCAACCCACTCCTCTGTGAATCCCCTCATCTGTTCAGTCAGCAAATTGTTGGGCAACGGGGACCAGCTGGAATAGTGAAGGACCCTGGCTCCAAGAGATGGGGACCTGGAGAGCCACACAACGAGCAGAGTGGGCCTGCTACCTCTGGAGAATGACGGGCTGCATGAGGGTCCCTCAGCCATGGTAGGGTCTCGCTTCCATCCCTGAGCACGCTCAGCCTGAAGTAACATCTCCAAGACACAGGCACAGTTTCTGTGGCCCACATGACAGGCATGGCTTGTCCAGTCCTGCCTCAGCCTGACCTCTGTCACAGGACCCATGCATGACAGTTCCTGCCCTGGCCAGTGTTGCAGCCTGGCCTCTGCTTACTACTGGCCTCTGGCTTACTGAGTCACAGGCTGGGTCCTTCCAACGCCCTTGTCCCTGGCAAGCGTTTGAGGTGAGAGAACTATGTTAAATGAGCACTGTAGCCAGCTGCCAAGCCCTCCTCCCCAGTCCTCCAGGGCCCCCGAGGCCAGTCCCCCCCCGGGATAGACAGGGCCCCCAAGGCTTTACCGGTCGAGTCATTTCCCTCAGGTACTGGGCGCAATCTTGGTGTCCGTGATAGTCTGCCAGGTCCATTGGTGTATAGCCATCCTCATCCCGCAGGAAGGGGTCTACGCGGTGGGAGAGCAGGGTCTGGCAGCACTGTGGGAATGGAATATTCCATGACACGCGGCTCACTGGGTGCCAATAGGAACATACAGGCCGCTTCCCCGGCTGCGGGCTTGGTCGCTCAATATCCTGCCGGTGACTCTGTCCTTTTCCTCACAGACTAATGTCGGCCACTGGCACCTGTGGTCCAGCTGACTGCCTCAGGCTTCATGGCCAGGAACCTCTAGCTGGCAGTGAAGATTAAAATAGACCCAGGCTTGTAGCTCTCACTCCTGCCTGGTAAAGGTGACAAGAAATCACTCCAAGTACACCTATTACATTCCCCAACTATAACGTCCAGCCCACAGTCAGTAAAAGTGAAGAGAAACGATTGACTCCAACCAATGGGTCCAGCAAAACCACCATGATCGTGACTTTCAAAGAAATAAAGCCGGAGTGTAAAGACTTAGATGTGTATTACAGACAATAAAAGTAACGTGGGGCTTGAGATGCGGCTCAGGTGGCAGAGCACTTGCCCGGCATGCACAAAGCCCTAGGCTCCATCCCTAACATCTCATGAACAGGCGTGCTGGTACACACCCGCAATACCAGAGTACGGAGCTGGAGGCAGGAAGGTCAGAGGTTCAAGGTCATCCTCAGCTACACAGGAAGCACAAGGCCAGCCTGGGATACGTGAGCCCTTGCCTCAAAACTTAAAAAAAAAAAAAACCAGATACAGTGGATTGCAAATGATAAACGGGCATAAATAGATGGACACAACTAAGAGGCTGAATAACTAGACAGAGAACATTGGTCAGAACAAACCCATGGAAATAAATTACACTGAATGAGGTCACCAGGGCCCAGGAAGACAAATGCCACATGGTCTCTTAAACACGGACCCGGCTTCAAATCTGTGTGTGTCCAACTTGAAGCACAAGCAGGAGCCCGGCAGCTTGAAGGAGCCAGGAGGGTCCACATGAAGGGAAGGTGGGTGGGGTGGCTGAGTAAGCAGAGCATTGCAGCCCTGAGAGCTGAAAGACAAGCAGGGAGGCGTGTCGGGCTAAGAGGGAAAGGGTGGGCGGTGGATGGAAAGCCGCGGGGAAGCCGCCTCACAATCCAGTTGAAAACGCAATTGCAGGGACAGCAGAATGCATGTGGCAACAACAAGACACAAGGACCATGGGCTGAAAACTCCGAAACTGTGAGTCAAACAACTTTTCCTCCTTATAAGCTCTGCAGACTCTGTGATTGACGCTGACTAACACAAGACTGCAAAGTCCAATATACGTGTAATGTGAGGAGAGACAGAACGGGGCAGAGGTACTGTCTGAGAGATCATGGCTGAGGGTTATAACAGACGGCAAATGCACAAATCCAGGAGTTCCAGCGAATCCCAGGTGGTCTAAATAAAGGTCGGCCTGCCTACTGTCACCTCACGGTAGATAGGACGCAGAAAGGACAAGTGAGGAGAGGATAGCGTCAGGACACAGGCCCCTGGTCTTCTAGTGGCCAAGGATGAGGAAGCAACGGATGATTTTTTTTCTTTTTTTTTTTTTTTTGGTTTTACAAGACAGGGTTTCTCTGTATTGTTTTGGAGGCTGTCGGTCCAGCCCGGCCTCGAACTCACAGAGATCCTCCTGCGTCTGCCTCCCGAGTGCTGGGATTAAAGGCGTGCGCCACCACCGCCTGGCAACGGATGATTATTTTGAACCACAAAAAACAAGAAAGGTTAGAAATCACAAAATTTTGGGTTTGTTTGTTTGTCTGTCTGTCTGTTTTTCCTTCCCTCAGACAGGGTCTCCTATAGCCCTGGCTGACTTCACCTTTGTTAGGTAGCTGAGTCTGGCTTTGAACTCCTGATCTTCCTGCTTCCACCTCCCAAGTCCTAGGACTGCAGGTGTGCAGCTCACCTCAGCACACCAGAGCCGGCTTCCAGCTACCAGTTTATTTCTGGCAATGGTATCTCTCACTACGATGAGGACAAAACATCTGGAGGCAAGCACACAAAAAGAACAGAGGATTCCCAGTCACAAAGCCTCAACAGACACACTGGGCTGCGGAACAGCGATTCCACATGCGAGCTCCATCTGCAAGGGGTGGGAAGGAGACGTAGACACTCGGGTTTGTTTTACTTAAAAAGAGAAAGCCTGTGGGGTTTTAAGAGCTGAAGAAACAGAATTGTTGAAGATGGCCTTCCCCAAGTCTCCCACAACCCGTTTTCTCTCGCCCTCCCAGCTTCTCACCCTGGTCTCCACCCTCTTTCAGAAAAGCTGGCAAAGCCACCGTGTCCCCAGCTGGAGGCCATGTCCAAGCTGGGAGCAGGGAGCACACAAGGCCTTCCTGAGAACCCCATGGCCCCAGGCTCCAGCCCTGTCTCCCAGTCACTGTAGGAGCCTTGGCATCTCCAGGTTTGCAGAAGAGGAATGAGGAAGCTAAGCATTCTTCCAAGGTCATAACGAGGACCACAAAACCTCCATCCCCCCCCCCGGGTAGCTCCAAGGCTGCCCTGTGGACAAGCAGGAGCTCTGGGTCGCTGAAGACAACCGTTTGAATCCTCAGCCCCAGCACACCCTGGGCCCTCTGACCCCAGCTCTTCTTAATTCCTCACTCACTATTCTAACACAAACACTGTGTGCGATACCATCGACTTGTACACGTCGTTTCTAAATAATTAAAAATCCTGCACTGGAAACCGGAGGGGCAGATGGCTGAATCAGACGCAGCTAAGAAAGGCAGAGAAAGGGAGGGAGGCCCCAGATGCCCCCTTGGACTTCGTGAGGGGTTCCCTGCTCTGTTGGGACTCTGGCCTCCAGCTCTAATGGCCCGCACAGGACTCCTGCCCACAGGAAGGCCAGGGAGTGGGCAGAGAAAGACTAGTGGTCAGCTTTACCCAGCTGCGAAGGCTCTCAGCATTGCGTATCTGTGCACACAGGGTCACCTGGAATTATGGATTAATTAATAGCAATCTTTGCCACAGGCTTACTTCAGAGTTGTGTCAAGATTACATGAAAGGTGTTTTTTGCTGTCACTGTTGGGTTTTGTTGTTTACTTGTTTGTTTAGCTTTTCCTTTTTGGGACAGGGTCTCCCTAAGAGGATGTCCTCAAACTTGTGACTCTTGTTTCTGTCCCCCAGGTTCTGGGGTTATTAGGTCTGCACCATCATGCCCAGGTGTGGCGATATTTTGTTTATGATCTAATAAATGAAGCTTGCCTGAAGATCAGAGTGCAATGCTAGCCACACCAGTTAACCACAGAGGCCAGGCAGTGGCGGTACACACCTTTAATTCCAGCTCTCAGGAGACAGAGGCAGATGGACCTCTGTGAGTTCAAGGCCACCCTGGGATACACGAGAGTGACTCATTCTAAAAGAAAAACAGAGCTCACATAAAGGTGACCCTAGCGCTTGGATCTCAGGTCTTTAACCCCAGCAATGGAGATGAACATAAGGCCAGGGGACACAGGAGCCCGGGCAGTCTGAGGTTCGGTGGATCTCCCCTGCAATCTGAGCCTCGGTAGAGGTAAGAACTCTCCAGTGGTTGGCTGCCTTGCTTTTCTGATCTTCAGCCTGAACCCCAATATCTGTCTCTGTGTTTTTGTCATCCAAGCTACACCCAGGTTATAGGTGACGGTTTGATTTACCTGTATGCAGAATCATGGCACACCTAACCATCAGAAAGTCAGGCTGTTGTGGCCGGGGATGTGGTTCAGTCGGCAGAGGCCTTGTCTAGCGTGCATGAAGCCCTGGGTTCAGTTGCCAGGACCATGAAAACCAGGTTTGGTAGTGCACCCCCAAGGCCCCAGTGCTCAGGAGACAGAAACAGGAGGATTAGAAGCCCAAGGCAGCCCTCGGCTACTTAGTGAGTTTTAGGCTACACAAGACTGTTTTAGAAACAAAGGCCTGCTCCCGGTGTTTTGACTGAGAACAATGGTAGTGCCAAAACAATAAAAATAAGGGTCAAATCAGTGGAGCTCCAACATCAGGCCCAGCAATCGGCATCATTTTTAAAGCTGGGATGAAACAAAATGCCTGCCCCCTCTATGTGTACTGTGGAGTCATTCCTGGAGGGGACTGTGAAGCCCAGTCTGGTCACAAGCGAGTCAGATGTGTGCACGCGCACTCATTTCTGAGGGGGTGAGGCGTGGTGAGGAGGTTCCTGGCTCAGATGGTCACTAGGTTTTCACACCTGCATACTGAGCCCTGAGCCCTGAGGAGGTTCACCGGGTGCAAGTGAGCCCTTCACTGAGCAGGGCCGTTCTGGCAGAGACACCATTCCTGTCCAAGTCACAAGCCTAGAAGCACCCCAATCAACGTAACCAACCCAGTCAGTCACCGTAACCAACTAAGCCAGACCCAAGTTTCCGGGACCCACAGAAGGATGACCCCCACGGAACCTACTGACAGCGACAAACACTTCTCGTGTGTGCCTGCTGAGAGAATGACTGTGAGCAAGGGAGGGTGCAGGTCACCAGACCGGGACGATGGCTGACCCTCCGCAGGATAGTGCACTAGGGAGTGGGTGCCCCCGGGCCTTCTAAACGATCTTTCTGGAGTTAGTTGGGTAGAGAGCTAGCAGTCCTTCCCAGCCACACATCTGGCCTGCGGCAGCCTCATACACACTTGTCCGCTGTCCTACCACACAGTGCCCTCCTTCAGACATGAAACACACCCGTCCTCATATCCTACAGCAGCTGGCGGTGGCCTTCCTACCCCGAGGTACAGCCTTGCTTCACCCTGCTCTCTCCCCAGCCTCCCCCTGCCACGCTGACCTCACCCAGCTCTCCTTCTCCTTCTCATGAGTGTCCAAGTCTTTGTGGTTCTTTGTAGACGAGTTCACTGATTCTGTTCATTCATAGTCCTCCCGCTGGGCGCAGGGGAGCACCCTCAAGGGAGTCTGTACTAGCCTCCTCAGGCTTCACCCAGGCCCAGTTAAAACCAGAATGGGGTGGCTGAAGTGAGCTGCCGGCATATTTTGAACTTCTCTGGAGGTTAAGCTAAGCTGGAGAAACACGACTCACCTTCCCCTAAAAAGGAGCTGGGGTGCTTGGGACCTGCTAACCAGTGTCTGTCACCAGCTGCCTGTAGGCCCTACAGATTCCCACAGGGTGAGGTGGAAGTGACTCCCTTCTTCTAGAACACTGCCCCCTGTCACCCTGTCATTCTACCCAGAGAGAACAGAGAGGGTCTCCAAGGACTCTGGCAGGCTCCTCTGTCCTCCAGGCTCACCCTGCCCAGGACAGAGCTGGAGTGACCTGAGCAGGGATTGTGGGAACGTGAGGTGAGCAGAAGGAAGTCTCTGCCCGGAAGGCAGGAGAGTAGAGGAAAGCCCCTGGATAGCTGCCGTGGGCAGGGCCAGCTGCCTTCAGTGACTCTGTGGCTGCACTGTGTGGGGTTCTCTTGCTTGGCATTGCTGAGGTGGTTCCTTAAATATTTGAGTTCCTGCTAGGAACAGTTATCCAAACTCTGACCCATGCTGGGACACTGGGCCCACTGGACACGTGCTGTCTCCAGTGACAACCCCCATAGATTAGTCCAGTCTGCCTGGAGAGTTGCAGGGAAACCTAGGCAAAAATCGAAAACCCATGAGGCATCCAGGAAGCAGGAAGGGACCAAACAGGGCTCACGTTTCTCAGGGCAGGAAGGGTGGTGGAGAAGAAATCTGCATGGGACCAGACACAGACAGGCCTCCAGCTGCCTCAGCCCTCAGAGCTTGGCACCTCTGACCTATGGCACTTCAACTGTAGCGGGTTCTGGAGATTCTTTCCTGACAACTGGGCCACCTGGACCAGCAGGCCTAAGTTATGCATTCTCCGTTAGCCTTTAGCCACACGTCACCAAGCCTAGCCTAGAACAGGGACCGGGGGTTTCCTGAGCCATCTCACGACCTAGGGCATGTGCTCTGCCGGCTGCACCCCCTCCATGCCCCACAGAAGGGTGGCGCCGGCACATGTTTCAAAGGACGTGTGGGAGGGCTCGATGGCACACTGACGAAGGGCCAGCTCGGAGTCCCAGGCCTCCACGGAATGTACCTCCACGTGCCCGTTCTCAGCTGCGTCGTGCAGGGGAGTTCCTCCCCAGGAGTCTCTCTCGATGGGGGCACCCATGAGCAGCAGCCGGTCAAGAACAGGTGTGTGGCCACCGCGGGCTGCGAAGTGCAGGGCAGTGGCTCCTTCGTTGTCCCGTGCTGTCAGGCCGATGTCTGTGAATGTGACCTGGTGACAGAACCCAGGAAGACAGCCGTCAGCTGAGGAAGGACCTGGGGTAGCCAGCCTCGGGGAGGAGGGACAGGGACACTCAGAGCAGAGACGGGACTCCCAGATGTGGTCAGCAGTGGGCAGTGGAGACGTTCCCAGGAAGCCCTGAGGCACAGCTGGCTCGTCCCACGTGCCCTGTGACCCATGCGGCAGCATCTCACGTGCCCGTGACCCATGCGGCCTCCCAGGCCAGGGCAGGGTATGTGAGCACAGGGCTTGAACTTTGGAGGCTCACCAGCCACAGCAAGAGAGGAGCACCACGTGGGCATTCAGCAATAGGAGGGGTAGAGAGGGAGACGGCACAGGCAGCCACTGCAGTCTCAGCTCCTCTGGGAGGGTGCTGTTAGAGGCCTGGGTGCTATGGCACCTTCCCCCATAGCTCTGGTCCAGAGCTGTTCACATTGCCTGGAGTTTGTCCTGTTGGTTGGGGCCTTGAGTGAGGCCTGCATTGGTCTCTGACCTCATCCGCACCAAGGGGTCTGCCCCACAGCACCCGGCTGGGGTCCTCTCAGGCTGTCCAGCCAGAATCTATGTCCACCCTCTCGTGGGCTTGCCTACGAACTCCTGGGGTTGCCTTTGTCTGTGTTCTGTGGGGTCTGCAGGAAGCTTCTTGGAGGGGGTGCTCCGAACTGTGATGCTTCTGCTCTTTCTGCTGCTGGGGACGGGGTTAGTATTTTCCACAAAGACGGGGTTCCCTTGCCATAGAAAGAACTCTTCCCACTGAGCTGTCCTAAGGCCTACAGAGTTTGTCAAAGGTCTCGGAACAAACGCCCTGTGCCCTGCCACAAGCCACCACAAGCCACCACAAGCCGCCACAAGCGGCCACAAGTGTCTCCAATCGCACCCCACTGGCTCACATCCAAGTTGCAGGGTAGCCAGCTGGAGACTCAGACTGGGACACAGCACAGGTGAGGGGCACGGTCTCAAGTGACTGAGTTAGATCTACAAGAAAGGCCATGGCCAGAGCCTCGAGGACCAAAGGTATTGGGGAACTGGGCAGCCTGGAGCTGAGGCTTTCTCCTGGGGGAGCTGAGGTAGTGAGGAAACAGGTGACACACTAGGGGTCGGGCAGGTGCAGCAAGGAAAGTGAGAGCAAATGACAGCCCCTGGGACCTGCAGCAGGTTGGTTGTCAAACCAAGGTTGGGGAACATTGCTCGTTGGGCCTCCTCACATCAACTGCCAGGCCCAGGGAACCCAGCTGACGGACAGGACCGAACCTCCAGATGGTGTGCGGAAACAGCTGCTATGGTGCCAGCCAGATGTTGGCAGGTGCTAATACCAGGGACACCCAGGGATCTCAGGAGGGCACAAGGCACAGGAAGTACAAGGCCTTGGGAGGAGGCTGGAAGGAGTGTTACAGGAAGAGAGAGAGAGAGAGAGAGAGAGAGAGAGAGAGAGAGAGAGAGAGAGAGAGAGAGAGAGTTACAGGAAGGAGAGAGAGAGAGAGTTACAGCAAGAGAGAGAGAGAGAGAGAGAGAGCTACAGGAAGAGAGAGAGAGCGCGCTACAGGAAGGGACAGCCCCATCCCCTCCTTCACTGGTACACAGCATGTCTTTCTGCCGTGCAGGTGGATTTTGTCATAGAGCCCTTGTCCACGACCCAGGCCTTTCCTACTCCACCCCAGGCCCAGAGGCCAGGACTTCCTGCCTTTGAGCGTAATGCGCTCTCTTCTGAGAAATGGCCTCATGGGCTGCTCCCCACCACGGTGCACATCAAACTACCTACATCCTGCCTATCCGTAGCTGCTCTTCCTCCTCTGCCCCCTCCTTCTCCCCTCCAAATCATGGACACTATGGGATCTCTAGTGAACTCTTGAAATGCCTACCTCCTCTGGGAGTGGCTGTTTTTATGTTGTAAAGGTGAGAAGTCCCCGGCCCACCCTGGCCCAACTCCAGTCACTCTGGAGTTTAGGATTTCCTTCCTGGGAAAAGCGAGGTGCGAGCCCGGAGCTCCGAGGCAACCGGGCTTGAATGTGGTTGAGTGGCTCAGGCCAGGTGCTGGCATCTGTGGCAGGGCACCTGGGCACCTGGACAATCACCAACAGCAAGTGAACTCCAGAGAGGCACCCAGCTCCTAGGAAGGGGTCCTGAGAGCCCCGGGGGCTGCCAAGTCTCCTATGGTTCCATGGGCACCCCAGAGACCCGCCTCATACTCTGGTGATTTGAGTGACCTCAGTGCCTCGGCGTCGCCCTTCCAGGCCTTCTAGGATCTGGGGATGTCCTGTTCCCCATGGTGCCCCCTTACCAGCCAGACAACCAGAGAGTAGTGGCCGCGGGCAGCTGCAGCGTGCAGCGAGCTCATGCCATCCAGGGCACGCAGGCGCACGTCGGCCCCGCAGTCTTTCACCAGGAACTGTGCCAGATGCAGGTGGCCCTCTTGGCAGGCCAGGTAGAGTGGAGAGGCGCCGCTGAGGGTCTGCTGGTTCACACCACTGTGACAGACAGAGGGAGGCTCATGAGGCCTGCACCGGAACTGCCCAAGGAGGCTGAGCTGGGGAAGCATGTGGGGGACTTTGTTCTCGGTGAATCCTTGGTTCCCAGTGACCAGCTGCAGGGAGCTCCAGTGTCCTACCCCAAGCTGACATCATCCTCGGATGACACAGACTTGTCCCTGATCCGTGACCCCTGATCATATGAGTTTCCCTAATTCCTTCCAGCTTCTGCCTCGATGGCCTCTGTGACCCCATTTCCATAACCAGTGTCCTTTCTTTCCCTCTTTCCTTGCCTGGGTCGCGCTTACTCATGTCAGTCATTTTAGACGGGGGACGTCACAGCCATCCCTGTAGACACAGAATTGACCGCCCCCTAACTCCGGAGGGCCCCCTCTGCCTCTGAGACACTATGTGTGTCTGCTGCCGCCGCCAAGCAACCCTGCCAGACACAGCTCTGTATCCACTGAGCAGAGCCTCCGCTTTGCCTCAGTGCTGCGCTCACCGGGGCTGCATGCGGTACCCTCCCTTAGGAGTAAGGCTTGGCTCTTAACTGCTCCGGGTCAAGCGTGTGTCTCCTAAGGTCTGACATCCTCACCTCTGCGGCCCTTGAGCCAGTGTGGCCACAGGCAGGGGAGGCAGGGAAGTAATGGCATGTTTCCACAGACACCCCGCAACTCACTGAGCAACTGTGGATCCACCCCAGAGGGCACTATACTCCATCATGGAGAGGCCACTATAAGCTTCAACCTGCAGAAGGGGAAACTGAGGCTGAGAGCTGGCTGATTTCAGGTCTCTTTCCTCTCAAAGCCCCTCGGCCTCACTTTGTTCTAAAAAGGTGAGCGTTGTATAGACCGGAACACAACGAAGGTGGGAAGAGAAATTTGGAAGCTGCTTGCTTCCGTGGGTCTGGCCCTATTTCCCCCCATCCTCCAACCCTGGAGGGCGGGGCACAAGGCCTTGGATTTGAGGAGGCTGGTCCGGTCAAGGTGTTCCCGATGTGGAGGGTGACTGAAGGCAGTTGCTTTTCCCAGACACCATTGGGTGCAATCCTTGCAGCCCCCCCGACTGGTGCAATGTTTAAAGATCCCCCCTCTCCCGTGCACAGCCTGCACCCACGCCTTCTGCCCCTGCTTATCCTTGGGCTCTGGAATCACAGGGCCTGCCTCTAAGGCCACCAGCCACATATGTGGCCTTTGCCTCTCCTCTGTGCGGGCTCCCTCGGTGGCCAGTCACTACGGGCAGAACGACCGGGTTCTCACCTGCCGTGGGCAGCTGTCAGGAGCTTCACACAGGTCAGGTCGCCACTGACGGCAGCATGGTGCAGAGGCAAGGCCCCCTCCAGCGTCTCCAGCGTGGCCGCATGGCCCTCCAGGAGAAGCCACTCCACCAGAGCCGGATGGCCAAACCTGGCAGCCAGGTGTAGCGGGGAGACGCCTGAGGCGTCTTGGTCCTGCCGGGACACAAGCAGGACACTGAGCCTATGCAGGTCCCGGTGCAGCCTGGCGGGGCAGTACCAACATGGCCAGAAACACCTGCCCGAGGCTGGTCTCTTGGAAGACCCCTTAAGGCATGCAGCGGGCTCCTTTCCCGCCTCCTCTGCCTCCTACTGAATGAGGAGCTTGACTGGGGAAGAAGCTGGGCGAGGCCCCTGGGATCCCTCCCCACCCAGGCTGCTTACCTCTCTGATCAATTGAGTGCTCCCCCCCCCCCGCACATTCTGCACATGCTCAGAAAGGCTTCCATTAGCACAGTGACTCTCAACACAGGTGTTCCAGGACTGAGACCTCTAGACCTCTGCCCCTCAGCCCTCCTCAGGATGGTCCCCAGGGCATTTCTCCTGAAGGTGTCAAGCAACTGGCAGACCTGGGCATTCCCTGAGGGTGCCATAATCCAGAGAGAGTCTGGAAACAGGCTAGTGCCTGTTCTCTGCCCTTGGGGGCCATCGGAAGAGTCAGCGACGTGGAGGTTGGAGCAGCTCCATCCACGCCATGTGCTGGTGTCTCTGTCTCCATCCAACTCTTGTGCTCCCAAGAGGGCAGCCTGGCTGAAGATGTGTAAGTCTCTTGTCTGCAGCAGCTCAAGGCATGCAGCAGGAAGGAGGCTGGTAGCTCTGATAAGACATGTTCCAGCAGGATGATCACCTGACTTGAGAGTCTTCTCACTAGGTCGGCTGTCAGCCTAGGGCTCCAAGATCCTGAGAGCCCAAGGTGCCTCTTTACAACTCCACCTCCTGACCTTTGGGGTCAAGGTTCATTGATCAGGTCTAATCAGAGGTGGGATCCTGAACATAGGCAAGGCCATCATAGGTGCTCTTTGCTGGGGCTGGGGTGGAGAAGCCCAGACGACTTTTCTGGATACCTATGAGGGTGACTGATGTAGCCTTGGTGTTCAAGGGTTTGGGGGGAGGGGTGAGAGACAGAGACAGAGCTTAGGACCTTCCGGGGACCAGATGTTTTGGATTTGCCCCAGCCAGGTTCACGGACAGCAGGCCTAGAGCCTCCTATCCTAGCTTACCTGCAGCCCGCAGCCCCCGTCACGGACCAGCCAGCACAGCTCCGCCAGGTTGCCAGTGGCCGCCGCATCGTGCACTGGTGTGGCCCCGTTGTGTGCCTGCTGGTTGCCCGGCAGCTTGGCTCTCTGCACCAGGAACTTGACACAGTCCAGGTGGCCAGCCCGGGTGGCATGATGCACCAGGCCGGCCCCCAACTCATCAGTGATGCCTGGGCTCAGGGCACCTGCCTCGAACAGCCGCTCCAAGGTGGCTACATCTCCGTCCTTGGAGGCCACCAGCGCCTGCTGCTCCTCCATCCTCAAGGCGGATTCTCAGTGGTGGTGGCTCCTATGCAGGCCCAGCAGGGCTTCCTGTTTCAGGCGTGGACGTTGCTGAGGGCTCTAATTACCTGATAAGCAGCTCACTGGGCAGATGGGAGACAGCAACAGGGGGGCAGGCCGCGGGAACTGGCCCGCAAAGCCTGGCCCAAGCAACTTGGGCTCAGTGCCTGGAGTTTTGAGCATGGAGAGTGCGGCCCAGGAGGGAGGGATATGCAAGTCAGGTGGCACTCAGCCGCTGGAGTCCTGCCACCTACGGAGTGAAGCAAGAGGATCCTTAGCAGGGCTCTTGGCTTGGGATGGGTCTCCAGCACCCAGAGTGTGTTCACAACTACAGTCAACTCCGGCTCAGAAACCTGTGTCAGCAAATACTTCAGTGTGAGAATAGCAGGCTACGCAGAAGGTTTCTCAGTTCTCCTTGAAGAAAGTAGACCCACTGGGATAACCTTAGGGTCTAAATGCCATCACCAGAGGCCCCCAGGTCTCCCCTTTCTCTCTCCCCCCTCTCTCTGTCTCTCTCTCTTTGTCTGTCTGTCTCTCTCTGTATGTGAGTGTACCTTAGACAGGGTCTCATTAGGGGTCTGGAACTCACAGAGAACAGAGTTCTGCCTTCCTCTACCTCACAGTGCTAGGATTAAGGTGTGCACCACTATATCCTGCTGAACTCTATATTTGAACCCTGGTCCTTAGCTGTTCTCAGCAATGACTCTGGGTGATCTTCCAGTGGCTGCTGGATGGTAAGGCCTCTAAGGTGAGGATGACGTCACAGCCCCACACTGAAGGTGAGGGTGACGTCACAGCCCCACACTGAAGGTGAGGTGACGTCACAGCCCCACACTGAAGGTGAGGTGACGTCACAGCCCCACACTGAAGGTGAGGATGACGTCACAGCCCCACACTGAAGGTGAGGATGATGTCACAGCCCACACTGAAGGTGAGGTGATGTCACAGCCCCACACTGAAGGTGAGGATGATGTCACAGCCCACACTGAAGGTGAGGTGATGTCACAGCCCCACACTGAAGGTGAGGTGACGTCACAGCTCCACAATGAAGGTGACATGATGTCCTCATAGTTCCACACTGCCCTCTCGGGCCCAGCATTCTTAGGATCTGCACCATCCTTGGTCATTGCTAGGGAAGTGAGGACGAGCAAGGCCTCTCCCTGGTGCCACAGGTAGATGCTGATCAGGGACCTCTCTCAGTCTATCAGAAGTCCCTTCCAAGTACTAGGTGTCATTTCACAATGATACACAAGGAACCTCCTTCCCTTCAGCTCAGACAGACAGACAGACAGACAGGTATACATCAGCCTTGTGAGCAGAAAAACAGAGAACCTCCCACCACCAACAGAAAAAGCCCAAGACGTCTCAGCAAGTGCAGACATATTTTATTCGTTCATTTAGTCTCTGACAATTGTTTCCACATGTTGTGTCATCCTTTGGACCATAGACCCACATGCTAAAATCATTCTTCAAAAAGATATACCTATATAAGTATTGGTACAATGTGTGCCACACATCCTCAGGATGACAGAAACCTTTGCAAAGAAAATTACAATTAAAGCTCAGTGAGAAATGATCAGATTTCCCACTATGACAAAGACTAAGAACAGACGGATACCAGTCTCCCATCAGCCACACTGGAGTTGAATCCCTGAGCAGAAGGGAGGGAGAAGACATGGGGTGGGGTGACCTATGACCTCCAGGAACGAGAAGGGCCTGCCGGGCATGAAGCCTCATCTGGGGGACCAGGAGGGAGCCAGGAGGGAGGCAGGGCTGCACTCGGCGGTGGGGGAGGCTCTGTAAGGAGCACATGGGAGGCCATGGGTGAAGACAAAACCAAGTTTCCTATTTTCACAATAGCAGCTAAGTGACAATGGACAAAGACTGGATTTTATCTTCTGGCCAAAGTGGCTCCTGGGCCCGGTGTTCCTGACAGGCTGCCCCATACGTGGAACATTTCCATTCCCACATAGCCTTTGGCAGAAGGTGACAGGGGAGTCCTATGTCACACTGGTGTCCTGAGTCTGTAAGGGTGAGGGCTGGAGTGGGATTCTGTGTGACAGGCAGCCCTCATCACTCTGACCCCAGAGAGAGACAGTCATCTCAGGGCAGCTCTTGAGAGGGACAGCTTAGGGGCCGGGAACCTTCACAGGGGTTTCCTATGGAGAGAGTGGCCAAAGTTGAGCTGGCCACTGAGGGAAGAGTGGCTGCTGGCCCTAGGCCTCCAGCTGGGCCACAGCCTCCTTCAGGTCCTGCACGATGAGGTCTACTTCAGCCCTGGTGGTACTACGGCCAACACTGAGCCGGAGTGCATTCCGGGCCACGTCCACGGGGACACCACAGCTCAGCAGCACTGGGGATGGCCTGCAAGGGAGGGACAGTACCAGCGGCAGCTGAGAGCTTGCCTTCTTTTGTGCTCCCTCCTCAGACAGCCCCTCAAGCTTAGGGTGTGCTGTGTCCCCTCAGGGCCTATCTACATGGTCTGCTGACACTTACCTCTTGGAGCCCTCCAAGCCTACTCAAAGGTAAGTTCCCCTAAAATTCTGCCATTTGTGCTCCAGATGGGGAAGCACACTGCTTCCTGACCCTAGTACCTTCCTCCCATGCACCCACCATCCATGCTGAGCTCTGCACTGAGCCCTGGCTCCTGGGGCTTCCCTGTACTGGGGTCGTGGAGAATGTTCCCTGAACGATGCGCTCTAGCCCCTCTGCCCTTCCTGTCTGTACTGCCCACTTGCCCTTGCTCTCCAGCTGGCCTCAGTCTCCCTGTTCCTCATGGAGCCTCCGCCACCAGGTGCTGGAATCCAGGCGTTGTCTGCCCTCCATAGATCCTCTCTCCTGTGATGTGCTGACTCCCTGAGAGCCTGGCCCTTGTCCCCCTCTGCTGGCTGGCACAGGGACCCTCTGTGTCTCCCTTCACACGCTCATGTCCCATCCCACCTGCTCTGGATCTGGTACGGATTTCTGGCTGCTGTCCCAGAGCCAAGCCCATCCGCCCAGCTCCGCCGCGCCCACCCCATACTGCTTGATGCCAGGAGCAGAGCGGCAGCTCAGCAGCTAGGCCCTGAGTTGTCACCACCTCCGCTTGAGAGCTGTGTGCAGCTAAGAGTACTCACCGGTCTTCATGGTCTGAGTGGCATGAAGCTCCCACGCTGGCCAGCAGGGTTTGGCACTGTGCGAGCACCATGTACCCTGTGAAGACAGCATGTGTCCCTAGATGCAGGACTTGGGTCATCTCCCATGTCTCCCAGCCTTCTGGGTCTGGTTTCCTGCCACCACCCAGGAAATTGGCTTCCTTTTCCCTCCAGTGACAGAAATGCCAGCCCTCTTCTGCCTCCTGAGACTGGCTTTGAAAAGGGCCTAACCATCCTCCTCACTGGGACTCTGACACAGGCTTGGTACCAGGTAGCGCTGAGGTCAGCTCCCTGCTGCTGTGTTCACACGGCACATGGCCCTCTCCTCACAAGCCTGGGACTAAACCCTCAAAGCCCGGGGCTGCTAGTGTAGCCAAACCAAGAACCTCTGTCACACTGTAATGAACACAGGTCCTCACTGGGCACTGGTGCCCTGGAAAAGGGGAGATGGTTTCCTCCACAAGGGTCTGTGAGGAGGGCAAGCAAGTCCACTTCCAGCCAGCAAGCTATGCCTCAGCTGCCATCATGTCCCATCAGCACAGCAGGCTTCTCTGTGACACAGGAAAATGAGGGGTGATACCCTCTTTGAGAAAGTCAAAAGCCAAGGGCTGGAGAGATGGCTCAGCAGTTAAGAGCACTGGCTGTTTGCTCTTCCAAAGGGTCTGGGTTCAATTCCCAGCACCCACATGGTGTCTCACAACCATGTATAATGGGATCTGATACCCTCTTGTAGCCTGTAGGCATCATGTAGACAGGACCCTCAAATACGTTTAAACAAACAAACAAGTAAGTCTTTGCTGGACAGTTGTGGTGGCCTGTGCCTTTAATCCCAGCACTCGAGAGGCAAAGATCAGCCTGTTCTACAGAATGAGTTCCAGGACAGTCAGGACTGTAGATAAGCTGACTCAAAAAACAAAACACAGGTCTGGGGCCCTGGCCTGAGGCTCTCAGGGAACTGACACCTCACCTGAGCTCCTGAACTTTCCCTTCAACCAGCTGTCACAGCGGCCTCTGAATTCTCTTCCCTCACAACCCTGAGCAGAAAGGGCTGGTCTAGCCTAGACTGATTTTCCTTCTTTCTTAAGACAGGTTGGCCTGCGCAGTCTGCTCTCAGCCCTGAGCTGAGCAGTCACCCAGGAAAATGCCCCGCTAACGTCAGCTGCTCTGTGCTGGGAGTGCTCAAGGGCAGGGCAGCTCCTGGCTCAGACACACAGGGGCCAGGTTCAGACTGGTAGTCACCTTGAAGCTTGGAACCCTGGATGGAAAAGTTGCAGGTGTTGGGAAGCCTCTCCACTCCTGGAAACCGGCTGTTCAGATGTATTCTCTTGCCAAATTCAGCCTAAAAACCAAACCAAACCAAACCAAACCACACACATACACACACACACACACACACACACACACACACACACACACACACACACCCCGTGAAATGGCCAGTGAGTACTTCACACAATCACCCTCTCCCAGCCACTATTTATATCTAGCCTTTTTTGGAAACAGGATCTCATGTGTTTATCCTGTTGTAACAGCTATGGGGACAGACTGTGGACCCCAAAGCTAGGACAAGTAAACACACTAAACACATTGACCCTTCACACACAGCCATGTAACTGTGAGAAAGATACACACTCCTGCTCGCTTGGTCCAAAGGCCCTCTTTAGAGGATTTCTGATGCCAGCTAACTTCCAGTACCCTGTTCTGTCCCCTCCCCCAGGACCTGCTGTGCTTTCCAGGTCCCCAAACTGAGTTTCCCTCACAGGGAGATAGTGTCTGGTCCCAGCTCTGCCACCTGCACTCACCCACGCTAGGGAGGTCCCTCTCACCTGCAGCCTCTCCTCCAGGTAATCTCGGACGTCCCTCATGTGGGCCTCATAAGCCTCACAGTTTTCCGTCACCAGCTCAGCAGCCTGGGAACACAGAAGTGTGAGCATCAAGTGACCAGACACTTGAAAAGACCCTTTCCCGGTCACTGCTGTGCCTCTGTAGGTGTGCCGACTAGCGGCAAGCGCTACCAAGCTGCCCCACGTGCTCAGCGAGATCACCAGGGACTCCCTACAGGCTCCAGGTAGCATAGACAACATAGCAAATGAGCCCTGAGCGAACCTCAGGTCCTAAGGGGTGTCATTCCATGGAAGGACAAGACTAGGAGACTAGGACAGCAGGATCACTCCTAACCAGCGAACACAACAGGTCCCCAGGTTCCTAAGGAGATAGTCACCAAAGACTAGGAAGGGTGTTTCCACCTTTAGGGAGAAGACAGTGTGTGTGTGTGTCTCTCTCTCTCTTTTTTCAAGGTAGGGTTTCTCTGTGGCTTTGGAGGCTGTCCTGGAGCTAGCTCTTGTAGACCAGGCTGGTCTCGAACTTACAGAGAGATCCGCCTGCTTCTGCCTCCCTAGTGCTGGGATTAAAGGTGTGTGCCACCACTGCCCAACTCGACAGTGTGTCTCTTGGATGGCTGCCTACCTTGGTGAAGGTGACGCCTGCAGGCCCTGGACAGGCAGGATAAGAATATAAGTGCCTGGTGTAAATGTAATTAGATCTCATAAGGGCACAGAAGACCCGCTGTGACATGTTAGGGTCATGCTAACTGCTATACAACGAGCCCACAGAAGCCATGGCAGATGCCCAACAAAAGAAAAGGTCTACTTGTTCAGTGCTGTGAGCCATGAAGATGCGCAAGAGACGCCTCGGCATTCTGGCGGAGGAAGTGACAGTCACAGTTGCCGCCTCAGATGCACGCGGCAGTCAGAGGACAAAGGGCTTCAGGGATCAAACTGGGTCATCAGGCTGGCTGCCTTTACCACAGGGACACTCCACTGGCCTAGCTTTTCCCCTTTTAACTGCTAAGCAGCAGCAACTCACCCTACCACAAAAAACAAAGGTCCTTCCTAAGCCTCCTGCCTCGACTTCCCAAGTACCGAGACTACGTAAGCACACCACGTGTGGCTCTAGTTCTCCAGCCACACCAGGGAATTCTGGACTTCAATTAATCAGGGCACTTGTGGGGTCAGTGGGGTCATGCTTCCTGCCCAAGGTCACCAGCCTTACCTTCCCCAAGCCAGCAATCATGGGTGTGTTCTCGGTCCTGCAGGAGACAAGGCATGGTAATAATGTAAGTGGATGTCCTAGGAGGGGACATGAGCCATTTTCTAAAGCGCCTCACATTGTCCTTCCTAAACATATGACATGTGCCTCTAGGTACTCAGGAGCAGCCTTGGACCCCATTGCACGTGCACATGCACACATGTGTGCTCACACACACACACACACACACGCACACACACACTCACACACACCACAGAACCTGTACAGCCGTGGTCCACTGTAGGCACCATGTGCTTGCTAGCCACAGTGACAATTCCACTTGGACACTTTTCCAACACAGAGAGCATGCCCCACCTCCTCCAATGTCTAATGTGGGGTGGGACTATCCCTTATCCTAGAGAGCTTAGGGACCAATGGGAGAAAGGGGTGTGTAGGCACACACAGACACAGAGGCAGCAGGGAGCAATGCCTAAGCTCTCAGTAGCTGATCTGCCAAACTGAGAGTCTAACCCTCAATGTGCAGGGAAAACCAATGCTAACTTAATACTTTTGTTGAGGTTTTGGCTGAATAAAATTTTCTTACCTTTTCGTAAGTATGTGTTACAGCTGTGATCTGCCAGCCTTTTATCACCAGAGGACACTCAGTTGCACCCTCACCAGTATTCCTCGTCACTTTTTATCCTAGCTCTGACAGGTAAGGGACACAGGGGCATCTCAAATAGTCTTAATTTGCATTTCCCTAAACCTAGCACCTGAATACTTCCTTGCATACTTAGAAGCTGACTAACCTCGTGGGGAGATTGCCCATTATTTTTTTTGGCCCATTTTCTGACTAGGGAGCTCCTTTTATTCTTGTGATGGTTAAATTGTCAACTTATTTAGAGGAGGTTGGCCTGTGGGCATGTCTGTGGGAGGGATTGTCTTTATTATGCTAATAGCTTGGGAAAACTCTGTCCACCATGGGTGACACCATTCCCTGGATTTGGGTCCTGGACTGTAAGAGTGGAGGTGGTAGAGCATGCCTGTAATCCCAGCACTCAGAAGGCAGAGGCAGGTGTGAGTTCGAGGTCAGCCTGCTCTACAAGCAAGTTCCAGAACAGCCAGAACCGACATTATAAAATGAACCAGAAGCATGGTTTTATAATGAAATAGCTCCGTCAAACGCTGGCTTGCCACCACTGCCCTCATGTGCTTCTATGGTACGTGGGTGTGTCTACAGTGTCACTGATCCATGGTGCTAGGCATTTGACAAGAGCTGAGGGAGGCTTGTATACGTCTGTCTTTACCACATCAGATCTTTTCATTCATTTCCTGTGGTTCTGGCCTCAGCACACAATTCCTAAACATTCTAGTGGATTTACACCTGAATGTTTTTCATAGTAAATGGCCTGTAATATCCACCTGTTCCCTAGCACACACACGTAACATTCTGGAAACTTGGTCTTATGCTGTGATCTTATTTGGTCTAGAAGTGCTGTACACAGGCAGCCTCATGCCCTGATCTTCGTGGCTTCCAGCGTTTTCTCTTCCTGCCTGCCTCAGGAGCCAGAAGAGAGCACTGGACCTCTTGGAGTTGGAGTCACAGGTGGTTGTGATCCAGCCAATGTGGGTGCTGGGATCAGAACTTGGGTCTTCTTCAAGAACAGCAAGTGCCCTTCACAGATGAGCATCTCTACAGCCCATGACATTTCCTTTATGTGTGGTATTTAAACCATTTATATTTGATGTCATAATCGAAATGGCAGCTGTGATGGATAGTGTCAACTGTCACCTTGATTGGGTCTAGAGTCTCCTTGGAGATATGACTTTGGACATACCTGGAGAGATTATCTTGATTACATTAATTGAGGTGTGAAGATATGCCCACTGTGGGCAACACCATTCCCTTGGCTGGGATCCTGGACTGTAAAAGTGGAGAGAAGGGTTTGAGCAGCAGCACGAAGTCATCGCTCTCTGCTTCCTGGTTGAGGGTGCGCTACAAGTTCCTGCTGCCTGGACTTCCCACTGTGATAGACTGCATGTACCCCTGAACTGTGAGCCAGCAGAAACCATCCCTCCCTCCGTCCATCCGTCCCTTTCTCCCTCCCGTTGCTTTTGCCAGAGTGTTTTATCATGGCAACAGTTAAATAAACTAAGGCAGCAGGGCTTGAACCTGCTTTCTACCAATTTTTTTTGTGGTGCCACCAAAACCACAGCCTTGTGTCCTCTAGTTAGGAGTTCCACCATTGAGCTACGCTTCTAGCCCCTCCTGCTTTTTAAGTCTGCTTTTGTGGGGTACTGCATACTTTTTAAATTTTAATTTGGGGGTATACCTATTCATCTCTTTGAAAAGTTTTTTTCAGAGGCTCTGGGTATTAACTATATGCGTTATATTAATATATTATATTGTGCTGGCTTGTCTTGTGTTAACTTGACACACACACACTAGAGTTATCTGAAAGAAAGGGACCCAACTGAGAAAATGCCTACATAAGATTCAGCTGTAGGGCATTTTCTTAATTAGTCATTAATGGGAGAGGGCCCAGCCCGTTGTGAATGGTGTCACCCCTGGGCTGGCGGTCCTGGGCTGTGTAAGAAAGCAGGTTGAGAAAGTCATGAGGAATGTGAAGGCCTGTTCATCAGGTGTGGGGTCCCAGCTTGAAGGTTTTCTCTCAGCACTGTGCAAACCCCTTCTCTGGTCTCCATAGCTTCCAATGCGAAATCCCTGTCACTCAAAATGTTTTCCTCCTGCCCATCGGGTGTTGTCTTTCACTGTTCGCTTTCAAGACTTTCTTCCATTGTTCCACTTTGAAATGTCTTTGGGTTTATCTTGGGCTGTGCAAGCATTGCCTATTGTTTCTTCTTCTTGCTGGCTGGCTGGCCGGCTGCAGGCTTTCGATGGAGGCAGCTCTCGCCTTCCCTGGCCACTGTTTCCAGATGGCTGGTTCTGGGTGTGGAACACTTACTTGCCAAGGAGCCGCCATTACGTTGTTTCTGTCCACCGCCCCCATCTCTTCTTAGACATTCTAACAGAGGTGGTGCTGGCATTGGGGTTAAAACCCCACATATGCAATGGAGACCTGGGGTTCTCACAAAGGAAAACAGGGCACCTTTTGTCCCTGCTGAGCCCCTACTGAAGAGAACAGCAGCGCGTGCACACAGCACACGGGAAACCCAGCACCTTGAAGTATTTGTGAGAGAGGGGGATGCCTATCACGTGCTCTGAGTCACCTGAGACACTGCAGGACTGACACCCACTGTAGCAATCAGCAGCAATTCTGACTTGGGGTCATGTGGACTGTGTTTCTGAGAGACAGAAACGGCCAAGAAACCGGACAGTGTGGCCAGCCGGGCAGAAGCTTGTAGGCTTTCAACCTTACCCTGGCCTGAAATTCCGCTCTTGTCCACCTCCAAACAGCATGGGGTACAGGGGGGTAAGTTTACCGACCCCTCGTACATACAGAGCACCAATCCTGGGGCCGTAGAACTGGAAGGAAAAGCCAGTCATTTACTCACTGGGAACTGCCTGGTGACCTGTTCCCTTTGTGTCTGAGTGCTAGAGGCTCCGAAGTGTCCACGGAGTGTGGCCCTGCCGTTTCCTTGTGGCCTGGGCTGTCTATATGCTACCACTTCGGTGTATGAGAGTCACAAGAACCCCCAGGTGCAGGGCAGAGCCCCAGCCTGAGGAAGGGCAGGTGCTGGACTCATGGTCCAGCCCTGTGTCGAGAGAGCCCTACCCAAAATACAACTGGCTTGTGAAGGAAAGGGGCCAGCACAGACAGGGGAGAGGGCTTTTCCGCCACGTGCTACGAGGCAGAGTTCAGTGTCACAGTGTCAGGCCAGCTCGTGTGCTCCTTTAGGGATCAGCTAAGAACTATGCTGCTAAACAGCACAGAATGTCTTGGTCCTAGCAGCTGCTGGAAAGCCAAGGTCTTTGCTATGACCTTGTCCCTGAACTGTACCTTCAAGAGTCACTGAGACCAAACCTTCCTGCTGGGAAGTCCTAGTTTAACCAGACTAAAGGAGGCCACAGTTTCCACCTCTTCTGCAACTAGCACTCTGTGTGTTCCAAACCCACTGCTCTCCATCCTCCACAGAGCCCGCTATGTCCTCCCTTGGCTCCACGTGATTGGGCTGTCTTGCCATCCGTGTCATGACTTGCCAGATGTCATCCTAGTTGTTCCTGGTCCCGCCCCACACATGCACTGAAAGCTCACAAGGACAAAGCCCTTCCTGAGTTGTAGTCACAGCATCTCAGTGCCTGGTCCTTGACAGCACCCGGCGCTCCCTAGACGAATCAGTGATGGACAGCAGTGCTGGGGGTCGCACTCTGCTGTGGCTGCTAAGGAGCAGGGAAGGCGGCCCCTGCACATGTACCTTGTGCCCCACGATGGTCAGGAAGTCCACACCCAGGTCCTCTACATCCACTCGCCTCTTTCCCAGTGCCTGAGCCGCATCCGTGTGCACGAGGATTTGAGGCAGGCCCGAGGCAGCCCGGCTCTGGTTCAAGGCCTTAATGCGCCGACTGATCTCAGGGACAGGCTGAAGTGGGAAGAGAGGAAAGCAGCTGAACGAATGTGTGCTTCTGATTGGATGGGGACAGAGTGAATGACAGGAGCTGCGGAGGGCAAAACAAAGCCACAGAGCTCAAGGATGGAGACACGGGAATGCCCCTGTCAAGCGCCTTCTTCCCTAGGGCCTCCTTGAAAAGAAACGGCTGACTCACCATGATGACACCAGTCTCGTTATTGGCCAGCATGATGGTCACAAGGCATGTGGTGGGGCGGACAGCTGCCAGGACTTCCTCAACCTCTGCCTGCCCAGTCACCTTTGACACTGGGACAAAAGTGACCTCTGAGATAAAACACATATACCAGGGTTAACCATGCAAATAGCTCCATAATTATATATTTTTTTAAAGAAAGAATGTGTCATCAAAGTTCAGAAAACATTAGAAGAGAAATTTAAGGGACTGTCCATTGAGAAACCAGGCCTCAGGCTATTCTTGCAACTGCAGGGTTTGGGTGGTGAGTAGCTGCAGGAGGCTGGAGGCGCCATGGCAACAGACAAAACCTTTGGTGACACATTAGCAGACACACCCAGGGAGAGATAGCAAAGAGTGGCTTTTCCAGGGACAAACGACAAAGGGCCCACAGAGAACTGGAATAGACTCTGTCCATATTGTGCCCACAGTCAGTGGAGTCTAACTGCTGGCTGTCCCACCAGCAGACAGACCCTCTTCAGAGACACCCAGACAGAGACAGTCATCCTGAGCCCCTGCTCTAGCCTCTGCCTCTTGGGATGGATTTATGCATGGCCACGACTGTGTGCAAGATATGAGACCAACGAAGCCCCCCCCCCCAAAAAAAAAACAGAGAAAACACATGCCTTTATTCCCATCACTTTATTCCCAGGAAGCAGGTAGGTAGATCTCTGTGCATTCAAAGCTAGCTAGGTCTACAGAGCTAATTCCAGGACAGCTAGGGCTATACAGAAAAACCATGTCTAAAAAAATCAAAAAAGAAAAAGAAAGAAAAAAGAAAATGCAAATCCTCTTCAAAATGTTCTGTTCTTTCACATGGCACATTCACTAAATTTCCTTTGGCTGAATTTGTAGGAAAATTCACTCATGTTTTGGAAAATTGTTTAAAAGATAACTAACATTGGGAAAACTAATTCTTGTACACTGTGTTAAAAAGACAGTCAGACAGCAGACCAGTGCTCATGGACCAGATATAGTCAGGCATCATACTAAACCCAACAAAGGAATCCATCTGAAGGCGACTCTCTGAGGCCGGAGCTGCCTCCCTTCTATTCCCATCTGGGGCAGCTGATGGGTGCTCTCACAGGGCAGTCTTGGCTTTAGAGCCTGGAGAAAGTCACCATATCATGCTGCGGTGTCCTTGGCCCCTGGAACTCCGTGAACCAAAGTTGGGAATACCCAAGTCAGTTTCTATCACACTAGAGGGACACACAGGTGGGTCCTGTAAGATGTCTGGGTGGGCGTTATGACTGTCACTAATTATGATCACCACCCATCTCTGAGCAACAGGTCAGATTCAAGGACACAAAGATTGGAAGCAAGGAGTTAACTAAAACTGTATCAAACCATTCTATTACAGTGCTATTTAATAAGCAAATTGTATTGCTGCATATAGAATATAGTTTTCAAAATAGAAAACAAAAAGTCAATCTCATACAAAGAAATGAATTCTTCCTCCTAGGTCACTGTGCACCACAGATTTAATTGTGAGAGCCAAAGCTGAAAACATCCTAGGTGATGACACAGGACTAAATCTTCATGATTGGCATAGAATGAAGTTTTCTTAGATATGACATGAGAGGCAAAAAAAAAAGACATCATCAAAACTTGGTGTCGAGCCGGGCGGTGGTGGTGCACAGCAATCCCAGCACTCGGGAGACAGAGGCAGGTGGATCTCAGTGAGCTTGAGGCCAGCTTGGTCTACAGAGTGAGTTCCAGACAGGCTCCAAAGCCACAGAGAAACCCTGTCTCAAAAAAACAAACAAACAAAAAGACCCTTTGTGTCAACTATATGTATAATTCTTGTAAGTCAACAAAAAGCACTCCAATAAAAATTAGGGCAAGGGAATAAAGGCGCCCTGCTCATCAGTGGCAGAGCACTGGCCTAGCCCTTGAGGCCCTTGGATCAATCTCCAGCAACTACTAAACACCAAACTTAGAACCAAAAGAAGGCAAGAATATGAGTAGATATTCCTACAATGGAGATCTGTACAGACAGCCAAGACAATATGTGAAGATGCTAGACCAGGAAAAACCACAGTCATGATGATGACCACGGCAGAAGAGACAGACAAGAAGCTGGGACAGGGACAGGGACAGGGACAGCTGATGGTGGTGCCAGATGGTGACACTGACCTGGAAAGCAAAGGTTGATCACGTCTATCCAAGAATCTGTCAATTCCGTTCTGTATGGCCCAGCAATTCTGCTCCTAGGTGTAAGGCCAAGAATAGGAACTGCCCATACAAACACTCACAGAGCGGCTCACGGAAGCATCAGCTTCTGATGGGCTAATCAAGTGTGGTACACACCCCGATCAGAATACTACTTATCCACAGGGCGAGGGAGGCCTCTCTGTCCTCCTCAGTGAGTTCCAGGCCAGTCCCCATGTCACTGACCTGCCATGTGTTCCTCCATCAGATGCTCCAGGGGCAGTCGGATAGAGTCATGTTCCACCGTGCAAGTAATAAAATGGGGCCTGGCCCCCTCCTCAGGGCCGTACTGGTCAATCGCGTGCCCCTTCAGGGTCTGCTGTTCGTGGAAATATCTCACCATAGAGTGGATTACTAAATTATTTGACTGTGGAGACACAAGAGAGAGCCATCACCAAAGCTCCCAGAGGAGATGACAACAGAGAGAGCCGTCAGCAAAGCTACCATGGAGACAATGAACCTCTCACTTACTTCCCTTTTATGCCTTCAGAAGGAGACTTCAGAAGGAAAAGGCCAGAGCATCACCCTCCTGACAGGCCTGCACCTGTGGAGAGCCTCCAAACTCTAAATACTCTAAAACTTACTTCAAGTGTGCCTGTTTGTTAGTAAGCATGAACATTTATATCACACAAACCTATGAGGAAGGAGAATTCCATCCCTGGTTGGAGGAATACAAATTGGAGGACATACATGCACAAACATAAATAAGATGAAAGAAAAACATTTAAAAATCAAAAGTCAAATTAAAATTACAATACACCACTGCCTCCTGAGCTCGTGTCATTCCACATCGGGGCCCTGCTGACGAGCAGGGCAAGGGTGAACTGGCAGTGACCCGCAGGGACCCAGGGCCTGGCAGCACACGCAGCTTCCCTTCGTCTGTCTTTGGTCAGCCACCATCGGCCAAACTCGGGGTACATTAGTCCTAGTGACTAACATTTAGGGGGTGTAGCTCTGAAGATGGTTGGGTTCCCCAGATTTGGACTAATTAAGAACACTACTGCTGTGAATGCTTTGCAAGTCCCTATGTTGGTACAGTGCCTCAGTTTCTCAGGGGGCTCACCTCCAGGTGCAATGACGGATTTACAGGGCATGCAGTTTAACCTTAGTGGGCTGAGTTCTCGTAGTAATTTCCAACTTCCACACGTGATGTCAGCACACTCTGGGAATATTTGGCACAGTGGCCCCCTTGGTGTGTGCTGGCTGCTGGTGGCTGAGGCCTTGGCGCAATGGCCCCTTGGCGTGTGCTGGCTGCTAGTCGCAGGAGTGCAATGCTGTTCATACCTCTGCACTGGTCACTTGAGACCCTGGATGGCTTCCAGGGCAAAGCCCTGGGCTTCTCTTGTGCTCTGTGTGTTCAAATCGCTGCCTCGTTTGCTGACTGTATTATCTACCTGTGAGTAAGCAGTGCGGGTCCCCAATTGTCCTGGGCGCCTGTCACTCGTAAGCGCTGTGTGATAAACACCTTTTCCCAATGTCCTTTCACTTTCCTCTGTGTTCTTTCATGATTCAAAGTTTATTTGTTATTTTTGTTGGGACAGAACTCGGCTCCCCAAGCAAACATTCTGCTTTAAGGTAAATGCTATCCACATTTGCGTTAAGAAACCCTTCACTATCAGATACTGCAGGGTGCCGAGGCACAGCTGGAAATGGTCTACTGTCACTCCTCAAGCCTGTCTCTGCAGGCTGGGAATCAGAAGTTGTCACCTGGTCCCTGTGACTGAGCAGTCCAGCAGAGTTCCCCAAGATCACACTTTCTTTAGTCCTGCACTCTGCCCACTCAGTCACATGACAATCTCATACCCTACTATTATGGCAACGACAGCTGTTCAAGCCTATCCTGAGCAGGCAGGGTGTGTGGCCACCTAGTTCCATGACAAGTGCAGTTTCTGACACTGTTTCTGACCACCTGCCTGATCTTGCCCAAACTGTCTGCCTAGTAACCGGAGCTCTTACAGACTTGGTTTGGAGACTATCCAGTCTTCCAGAAGTCTTGACTCTTAGTTTCCATGTGAGTTACTTTCAGACAGTCCACTGACCGGTGTCAGAGTTTTTGCAGAGGCTGTACTGAGTCTACAGCTCACTTTGAAAAGAAGCCATGTGTGTCCTCCAGTCTGCAAGCGTGACACACCGTCCCTCACTCAGAAGGCCTTAAAGGCCCCAGGTAACATCTCTAACCTCCCTGGGAGGCCTGACCAGCTCTTTGCTACTCCATCTATTTCTTAAGAGGTGAACTTTTCTTTTAAGTCCCAGAAAAAGCCCATTACTGGCATCACAAAACCCAATTCACTTTTAATCTAAGACCTGCTATGGCTGAAACAAACTGTGATCCACAGCCAACAACTGTCCCTGTCCCTTGCAGTGTCTTCTTTTTAGGTTTCTTTCGAGTTCGTTCTATCAACTTAAAATGAGTTCCTTTGGGACAGGTGAAACCACAAACTCAGTGAGACAAACAACTTGGTAGGAAATCACAGGAGAGTCCCAGAACAATGAGAAAGAGAAAGCCTGAGCATTACTGATTCTAAAATGATGACGAGAGCAAACCCTTCCCATACTTCACTGCACCTTTAGGCTAAGAAGGCAGAGGCTGCAGCTTTACCTCAGTGCCCCCGGAAGTGAAGACGATGTCCTGAGGCTTCCCACCTATCATCTTGGCCAGGCTCGCCCGAGCTGCATTTATAATGTCCTTGGCCTTCCTACCTTGAGAGACAAAAAAAAATCCCAAGTTCATTACTATCAATTACATGTTTAACAGGGCAATCACACACAGGGGAGCTGAGAAGTGGGGTGATTCTAGAAGGAAACCATCCATCCGGGCGAGTACATATCCTACCACCTGGCAGGGCCTCAGCAAAGAGGTCACCTTGAGACTTAGCAAGTCAGTGGGCTCCAGGAGAGAGCCAGGGACAGCCTGGGTGGGAGTAAGGGACCTATGAGTTCTCCCAGCATAGCTATGCTTTCTTACTGGATGTTAGAGGTGGGGCTGTGGCTCTCTGGCCACCTTCCCATTCAAGACGGGACAAGGGGAGGAAATGCAAAGCAACAGAAGTAAGCAAAACTGAACTCAAGACTTCACACCCCAAGCCAGCCAGTGCCTTCTCTCATACTGCCGGTCAGCCTTGGGGGACCAGGAGGAAGGCTGAGGACATCTGCCTTCGGTACGGTGTCCCAGGTGCCACCCAGTTTCATTGGACAGTGTGACAGGAAAGGTATCTATGGGACTCTCAGCCAACACACCAGTGGTTCTGGGATCTGATGCTGGATCCATGCCAGCTTCCCCAGGCTGTACAGTCATTTGGCCAAAACCACTCCCCACTTCCCCAGGCCATCTCCAGCTGTTGTTGGCTGTTACAAGCAAGGCTATGGTACATCTGCAGCACTCAAACTCTTCCCACAGAGCCTCAGTGAAAGCTGCTCTAGATTTTTAACACCTAATACTGTGAAACATTGAACATCTGTGATGAGTCGGAGGTAGTGCAGCCTGGTCTACAGTGAGTTCCAGGACAGCCAGGGCTACCCAGAGGAAACTCTGTCTTGAAATCAAACAAACCAACAAAAATCTGTGATGAGCCGGGCGTTGGTGGCACACGCCTTTAATACCAGCACTCAGGAGGCAGAGGCAGGCGGATCTCTGTGAGTTCGAGGCCAGCTTGGTCTACAGAGCCAATTCCAGGACAGCCTCCAAAACATTACAGGAAACCCTGTCTAGAAAAACAAAACAAACAAAAAAAATCTGTGATGAATGGTCTTCACTTTTCTTTCCCTTTTTAGCATTTCTACTCGAATGAGAACAGAAAGCAGTTGGGATGTCACTAAGGCCAAGAAAAGTCTCCCAACTGCTTGCCCAGCTCCCTCTCCCCTTCTCATTTTGGCCTTCTCCAGTGTATCCTATCAGAAGTCTGACTACATCACAGGAGACACTAGTCTAGAAATGAGCCAACAGGTAAGTTAATGAGTGGCTAGTCTCGGACTTGGGAGTCTGTGTCACCAAGTTCCTGGTAAGCTATTAGTAAGTACAGGTATGGAAACCACCAAACCCCCTTAGGAGGAACAGAGTGCTTGTAAGACCTGGAGCTGGTCCACCTGTGTGACAGAGTCAGCATGGGCCATCTTAAGTCCCCTACATGGTATTCAGTTCGGAATAAACCACCATTAGTATGTTTCATCTTAGTTACTCTAATACACAGCACAGGCAGGGCTGGGTGCAGGGTCCTGGCCATCCCACTGATAAACATTAACTAGGAAGGCAAGGCATTAGCCTCCACGTCTATAAAAAATTGTGGAATGCTGTCTTCTAACTACTGACTTGAAGCAAATTATTATTCAAATTTAAAACTTCAAATTTAAAACTCTGTATTACAATGACAAACTAGAATACAACCCAAGCAAAAAATTCAAACTTCCCTTTTTGTCTTTATTTTTTTCAAAATATTTTACTTCATTTTGCACGTGTGTGCACGTGTTTGCATATGTATGGGTGTACATTCATGTGGAAGCCAGAGTTAAGTATCTTCCTTGATGTTTTCTGTTTTACTTGGGGGGCTCCTGCTGAGCTTGAGGTAGGGTCTGGAGCCTGCAGACTCAGCTAATGTAGCTAATCAGCTTGCCCTGTTCCTGCCTCCTGAGTGCTGGGATTACAGGCATGCTGCTACGCCTGCCTGGTTTTCCTACGCCCTGCAATTTTCCTTTCTGACAAAGGTCAAGATATGTACCCTTGATGGCCGAAAAGCATATTCCCAAAACGCACAGGGATAGATAGACTGCTAGTTGTGTAAAAGGTGTTTGATAGGCACAGGCTTACAAACAGATCTCGGTGAGACCTTAATGTGGGGAAGGGTGGCAGAGGAACACATGAAAGCCTGAAAGGTTATAGCCCTCAGGGTGACAGCAGGGCTCATGATACACTCAGGGACTTTTCAGGAAAAAAAAATGGCTGCTCAAGATATGTGTCTCCTCTTGGGAAGAACCGACTCCAGCAACTTGTCCTCTGACCTCAAGTGTGCAATGTAGAATGTACATATGAATGAACGAAGGAATGAGTGAATGAATGTAAAAAACTGTCCTGTGTGTGGTGGCTCCTGGCCTAGATATCATACTGGGGCAGAAGACATTAACAATCAGATAGGGGCCAGGTAATGGTGGTGCACGCCTTTAATCCAGTCACTCAGGAGATAGAAGCAGGCAGATCTCTGAGTTCAAGGCCAGCCAGGTCTACAGAGCCAGTTCCAGGACAGTCGGGGCTACACAGAGAAATCCTGTCTCAAAAACCAGAAGGAAAAAAAAAAAAAAAAAAAAAAAGAAGAAGGAATAAGATCGGAGAGGCTGGAGAAATGGCTCAGCTGTTAACATTGGCTGCTCTTCCAGAAGACCCTGGTTCAATTCCCAGCAGCAACCACATGGCAGTTTACATCTGTCTTTAACTCCAGTTCCAGGGCTTTTGATGCCCTTACACAGACATACATGGGGACAAACACCAATGAACATAAAATAAAATAAATTATAAAGAAAAAACAAAGAATCAGATCAGAGCACACATTTAATCTTAGCACTTGAGAGGTAGAGGCAGGTGGGTAATGGTGAGTTTAAGGTTAGCCTAGTCTATAGAAAAACCCTGTTTGTGGGGGTGGGGAGAAAAAACAATAAATAAATAAACAACCAAATAAATAAGAATTCGATTAGATATATTATTGTAACACGGTGCTGGTTTACATAGAAGACACTATGTCGATGTTAGTGACACGTTTGAAGATTATAATGTAATTAAGTTTTTTATTTGTTTGTTTGGTTTTTTGAGACAGGGTTTTCCTGTGGAACAGCCTTGGTTGCCTTGGAACTCACTCTGTAGACCAGGTTAGCCTTGAACTCACAGAGACCTGCCTGCCCCTGCCTCCTGAATGCTTGGATTAAAGATTAAAGGTGTGTGCCATCATACCGGGCTTTTGCTAATTCTTGGGAATTCTGTTAAGCAATGTAGGCATTGTATTAACTAGATTTTGCATAACACATGGGGAAATATGCTCTTTAAAGTGAGAGCTCTGAATCGCTTTACTGTCATGGATTCTTCTAGAATTACCTGCCACATAGGAGCTGCTGGGGTTGCCCCAGGCTTCCTGCATGGCTTCTGTCACAGCCTGGATGACTGCGGGCTCCAGAGGTGTGGTGGCATTGTAGTCCATATAGACCTTCCTGGAAGAAAAAGAACAGCCCGTGAAGGAAGGGGAGGCAGAGTGTGGGCAGCATCACTCTAGGGGGATGGAAGACACCATGGTTTCCAGTAACCTAGTTCCTGGCCCTCACTAGATGGGCATAAATCCCCCAGCACAAGGCTAACTGCTGGAGGGCAGCCGATCAGCAGCTCCCCTCCAGGAAGGAACTGCACTGGCTGGGGGCCACACATTCCCTGGGAATTTCCTGAGGACTTCCAACGACTCCTGTCCTTACTCCTGGAATGGCCTCTGAGAGCAGCAGGTGCCCATGTCCTCTGGCTGTCCCCTTGCTGGCTTTCACCAGGCAGTCTCTCCCTGGAGCAGGGCTGCCCTTTGTCCACCCCACTCTCCACCCCTATCTAACTGGTTAAAGTCTTTCCTTCAGTAGATCTGCTCCACTGTTCTACTGGAAGCTCAGGCCCCAGCTTGGCCCTCGGTGCTCCCCCACTTCCCTTGTAGCCCCAGCCATCATCTGAGTCGTGAGCCACATGCTTGGTGTCATCTCTAGGGACTAAGAGAAGGGTGGCTCCAGGAACAAGGGCCTTCGTCATCTGAGCCCTGGCGAGACTGCCACACAGCAGAGGCTTCATTCACAGGATGATGCAGAGTGCAAAGTCCCAGAGACCCTAAGAAGAGTCACCTGCTGTGCTCTTACCAGGGTCACCAAGCTTCAGAAATCTCTATGGTAAGCTATCAGGCCTGAAAGTATTATTCCACATGATTTAAACATCAAAACTGTGCTCAAGCCAATGTGTTCGTGAACCCAAACACATTAACTACCTGTGCCCACTAAACCAACGGGAAATCAGAACAGGTAGTTTGATCCTCTGTCTCTGCTTTAAGTCCTACAGAGTTGCCAAACCCTGCAAGGCTTAGAGCCTTGGAAAGTGTGACTGATCACCCAGGGACTGGAATAAGTGGGCTTTCCATTGCTTCAGGGACTTTGCCTGTGCCCCAAGCCTGTTCCTTCCTATAGATAAAGACCCCAAAAGTACTGTACACCCATTGGTCTGCCAAGTGACTGGCTTTTCCATCTGTAGCTTGGCTGAATTATTTGATGCCTCACATTTTGTCCAGTGAGGCTGCTTCCTAGAGAAAGGAAAGCGAAACTGCTTAATGAATGTCTAGGGAAGGCTGACGCCACGCTTAGGCCTTTATGAGACAGGTTCTCACTGTCTAAACCAGGTTGACCTCCAAATCACAATCTGCCTGTCTCAGTTCCCAGCGCTGGTATTATAGGCATGTTCTACCACATCCAGGGAGGCTCAAATTTTGAAGGAGAGACAGATATCTTACATCCTTGGCATAGGCACATTAGTCGAGAACAAATAAACCAGAGAGCAAGCCTGTAGTCCCAGCGGGAGGAGACAGGAAATAGCAAGAGGTAGGGAAAGGAAAAGAAAGAGGAAGAAAAGGAGATGGGGAGGGGGAGGAGGAAAGAGGAGGCTTATGGTATGACACATTCCTGGGTGGGAGATTGAACCAGAGCCTGCACAGCACCCCTGCTACTTGCGCTCAAGGGGCGGAGGTCTCCACAGCACTGCACAGTCCAGAAGCCTCCAGGGCTCACCCCTCAAGGTTCACTTTTCACTTCGGGGCGGCCATCCCCAAAGTCCTCCCCTGTCCCTCACCCATGCTGCCCTACTCTCTAAGCAGCAGCGATTCTTTTTAGATGCAGATAATTAAGATTCGGCTGCCCGCTCCAGTCCCAAGACCCCATGTTGTGGGAAGGAGGCTGAAACCCACTCTGGCACAGCTGTTGTCCGCGGGCCCCCTTCTCTCCTAGCGTCGGCGGTGACCGACGCGTCCTCTCTCGGATCGCGCGGGCCCGACTTATCTGCGTGTCCCTCGACCCTCCGACCTCGCCAGTCCCTCACTGAGGTCCCCCAGGTGTCCCCTGACTCCACGGGCTCCCAGGAGGGGACGCACCTGTCGGGTGGGCTCTCTGCGCGGCCCCGCGCGCTTCTCCGGACCGCGTCCATCTCTTGATCATCAGCGCGTTGGGTCACCCAAAGCCTGAGTGCTCGGGGGCGGAGCCTCGAGTCCCCGGGTATCCGCATTGGCTGCGCGCCATGCCCCGGCCAATCCGCGAGCCTCACGGGGCCTCCGCCCCTGACTGATTGGCTGTGTGGGGTCAGGTGGCAGTGAGGCGGAGCTGGGGACAGTTATGTGGACACCCGGCAGCCTGTGTGTCTAACCGGCCTCCTCAAAGAGCAGCGCTGCTCCGTTCCTGGGATCTGGGTGGGGCTACTGGCACAGTGCCTCGGGAACCTACCTTCCCTGGATTGTCAGCCAATGACAGAAGGACTGTAGCTTCACCTGTCGCCGCAAAGTTGGTGGAACAAAAAGTTCTAGGATGAGCCAAGCAACTAGGGATCCCACAGGAGCCGAGACTGCGCCCGGAAGGGTTGGCGGTCAGTGCTAGCAGACCTAACTTGCCCCCTAGACATCGGATTCCCCAGCTCCTCCTTCCCGGATGATTTGATTGAGTGAAATTGGAAAGCCGTTAGCTAAGGGGAGGGGGAAGGGGGTGTTAAAATTCTGGAAGGAGATGAAGGCAGAGGAACCAGATTCAGTTCCCAGAACCCACAGGATACTCACAATCATCTGCTTTTAACTCCAATTCCAGGGGATCTGATGGCCTCTTTTAACCCTTACAGCTGCTACTGGGTATGCACATGGTGCACTTACCTACAGGCAGACAAAACACTCAAACACATTTGAAAAATTAAAAAGGAATGGAATGACAGTGACAAACAGGACATTATTACTAGTGGGTATCTGGAAGTTACTATAGTACCTGATCTTTGAAACTCAGGAGGGGAACAAGTGCTCCAAACTAGATACAGAAGCCCCAAACCGAAGGTAGGTTGTTTTTTGTTGTTTATTTCAAAACAGGGTTTCACTGCGTAACAGCTCTGATTGTCCTGGAACTCACTTTGTAGACCAGGCTGGCCTAGAACTCAGAGATGCACTTGCCTCTACCTCCTGTGCTGGGATTAATGGCACACAAAATCACCTCCCAGCTTGAAGCACATTCATTCTGAAACCCATCCATCCGTGTCAGCGCCTCAGAACTGAACGCCAGTCTGCTTAGCTGAGTGTAAGGTGGTATACACGCTTAACAGCATCCCAGAGCAGTCTGCTATAAAACTAGACTGGATGCAGCTCTCCCTTTCTCTCAGGATGAGCTTGACCATCCTGGGAAGGTCTCGCCTTTACTTTCTGTCCTTAACATTCAATTTGTCACAACAGTGATATTTTCATACACCTGTACCAGGTCTTGGAGCCAGTTTGACACATTCTTAGAACTTGTGATGTTACATCAGATATTATAATGGCTACATCACAGCCCTTTAGCCATCCCTCAAGCTCCAAACTCCTCCTCTTTGGTGTTGTCCCACACCTGCAGGCCTAAGAGTATTTACAAACTTTTAGAACTCCCTGCTGAGGCAGGGCTTCAACACCATCCCTGTGGGCTGTCAGTGGCTTCACCTGTTGCTGCAGTTGGTGGGAGAAAAGTGCTGGGGTGCCACAGCAGCTGAGACTGCCTCAGGAAGAGCTGAAGCTACCGCTGTGCTTGCCTGCTAGGAAGAGACTGAGCTGGACCGGCAGCTCTCCGTCTTGCTGATCTTGCAGGAGAGTGTGGATGAGGTTAAGTGCTCCCCACAAAGGCTCAGGAGGTGGGACCGAGCAGTGAGGATGGCTAACAGGGGGTTACCTCTCCACTACCTTCCAGAGCCATGGGCACAGGATGGCTTTTCACTTTTTATTTTGTTTTGCAAGACAAGGTCTCTCTATACCACAGTCCTGGCTGTCCTGGAACTCCCCCTGTAGACCAGGCCGTCTCCAAACTTAGAGACCTGCTTGCCTCTGCCTTCTTAGTGGCTTTTTCCTTATAGTTATCTTTCAGGGCACAAGACTTGTGCTTCTTTCGACTGTTTGAGATGCCAGGAATGCACATACTAAGAAAGCTCCAGTGTTTATCAAATGGACCACTATTTTATCCCACTCTTTAACACTGCTATGCGATTGTTATTTCATGTTTATTGGTAGTGTACAATGACGGCTTGGTGCCTTGTATATTGGTCAGTCATGTGTTTTGCAACACAGGGAAAACATCAGTGTCCTTACTGAATTCTCATTCAAACCAACAAGAGCCATGCACATGGACTCATCAAGGGAATGACCAGACTTGATATGGAATGACACATTCCTTTGGGAAAGAAAGCTTCAAAGAGCACCCACCGTGTTCTGTCCTCTGGTGACTGTAAGTGTGCTGCATGTTTTTAACAAAATTGTGTTTCAAAGTGAGAGAAACACCTTTGTTCTCACCGAGGTCCGTGGAATCCTCTGGTTTGCCAAAGCCTTTGCCTCTCCTTTTTTCTTTTGCCAGTTTTTTTTTTCTTTTTTCCCCCGAGACAGGATTTCTTTATGGTCTTTTGCCAGTTTTGTTGCATTCATGGAGCATGGTCTCAATTCTTTGCAAATGAGTAATACTGAGAGCATCCTTTCAGGTGCTTTATAGACATCTGCTTACCTGAGAAAAGGCCTACTCAGCCAGATGTGGTAGCAAGCAACTGTAGTTGTGGTCACATCTGTTCTGGCTGTCACTTAGTGTATCTTCGTATGTAACATTCAGCGTCTGCTATGGGTATCATGATACACACATATGAATAAAGTCTGCTAGTACCAACATTAAAACCATTTATTTTTTAAGTATGTGTATATGTGCATAGGTATGGATACAGGAGTACAGTTATCCATGGATTCCAGAAAAGGGCTTTGCATCCTCTGAAGCTGGAGTTACAGGTGCTTTGTGAGTCACCCACGTGAGTGCTTGGAATTGAACTTGGGTCTTCCAGAAGAGTTCATGTACTTAGCTGCTGAGCCACCTCTCTCCAGTTCCCTAGCAACAATTTTACCACTTCTGATGAAGTGAGGGAGTCCTACCTGAATATGAGAGGGTGGGAGTACTAGAGATAATCCCAGGGCATTACACATGCTAGGTTAAGAACTACATTCCAATCCCTCCCTCCCTTTTTAAATTACAATTTGAGAATATTTGAGTATTTTCAAGTTTTTACAGCAGTACAGTATTTACATTTTCTGTCTTCTCCAACAGCTCCTGCTTCCTCACATGCTGACTTCCAGCATCACTATGCTTGAGCATCAGGTGGATAATTTCTACTTAACCATCATCTATGACTTCTGAAGGCTCCATCATTTCCTGTTATTGAAGAACGTTTGAGTCTCCCTGCCTGTCTCTCGAGTGCTGGGGTTAAAGGCATGTCCCACTGCACCTGTACTGAAGGTTTTAGTTAACCTTTAAAAAGAGGTCAGTAATTCTGTCTTACAGCATCTGAAGAATCAGGCTGGATTCTCTTTCTTTCCAGAAACAAGGTTTTGCTGAATATAGACTTTGCCACATGCTTTCAGTATTTTGTATCATGCATCTTCCTTCTGGCCTGGTTTCCAAGGAGACCAGCTGTCATTCAAGTTGGAGTCCCCTATAGGCAATGCCCATTTTCTCTCAGTCTTTACATTGTTACAATCTCATCGGGGCCAGAGAGTGGAATGTAGTAGTTAGGATGTAATTGGCTCCCATAATCTCATAGGAAGTGGCACTATTAGGAGGTGTGACTTTGTTGGAGTAGATATGGCCTTGTTGGAGGAAGTGTATCACTATGGGAGCTGGCTTTGAGGTTTCCTATGCTTAGGATACTGCTGTCAGTTGACTTCCTGTTGCCTGCAAGATATAAGACTCTCAGCTACTCCAGTACCATGTCTGCCTGTAAGACACAATGCTCCCTGTCTTGATACTGAACTGAACCTCTGAAAGTGTAAGCCACACCAATGAAATGTTTTAAGAGTTGCCATGGTTACAGAGCCTCTTCACAGCAATAAAAACATTAACTATGACATATGTTTTATTAGGAGACTGTGAGAGCTTAAGCCTGGGTTTCAGCTCAAAACACATACTATAATAGTGTTGGAGTTGCTTTGGCTGGTTGCCCATTCTGTCTCTTGCAGGAGAGCAACTTTAGGTCTGCATGATGAAAGCAAGAGCTATGACTGGCGGGGAGTCACTCTGGAGGGTTCCTTTCCATCCCTGAGTTTGAGAGACTGCTGTTTAAGATAGTAGTACATTCCTTTTCCAGGATAGTTTTGTAGCCACCCTAAAGATGTCAGCAGGCCTGGTGGCTTGTGGTGGCCTGGTATGGATCTTTTATTGCTACAATCATTTAAAAGGTTTATTCTGGGTGTTACCTGCATGTGCACCACGCATACTTGACAGCCAGCTGATCCCCCACCCCCATCTAGAGTCCCAAGGGGTCACCAGGCTTGGCATGTACCTTCACCTGCTCAGCCACCTTGCCAACATTTCCGGGCAGGGCCAGCATAGCCCTTAGATTCATTTTCCTATTGCAGAGCAAGTAGTAGCCATTAGCCTCCGCCCAGTGTGCTCAAAGGCAAGGTTTTTCTATTCCACCAATTCATGGAAACATGGCCTTTTCCTGGGCCTGTGTGAACTCCAGTGGCATATTCTCTACTCTTCTTGGCTAGTTCTTTCCCAGCTTTAGTGATCCCAGGGACAGATACGGCAGGAAAAGCTAAGACAAAATGACCCTCTGGGTGGGCTGGGCTTGTACTCTGTGTGGGCTCTGCTCTGAGTACCACAACCTAATACTCAGTTCCCTTGCAAGTAGAGAAGCTATGGATGCCATGAGCCAGAACCTGTTGGGTCTCACTAAGGGCACCATCACAATGCCTGGCAATTTGTGTGCCATGGCTAGGTGTCTGCTTAACTTGGCCAAGTGGTCCATCAAGTCTGTTTCTCCAGCTACTGAGCAGGAACCCAGTCTTCACTGCAACCTTCATCTGGAGGGCCTGTGTTGTCTGCTGCATTCTCCTGGGCCTGACTGGTCTCCACGTCACTAATTCCACCCTTACCACGTGGATTGTCATTTTGGCTTTCACTTTAGCCTATTTTTCCCTAACAATTTTGGTCGGAGTCAACATTTTATTTTTTTCAGTCCTACACTTCACTTCTATTCACACTGACTGGTAGCTCTGGTTATTGCAAATGACCAAGGTGAGGCTCCAGGTGCTCACTAGCTTCTAGAGGAACAGGAACACTTAAGGTCAAGTGGCATTCCCACTCTGTGTTTCCTGACACCTGGAAGAGATGAGGCCCCTTACAAGTGCCTATCTTCATCTAAGAGCACTCAGAGCTCTTAAGAATATGTGCACTAGATCTGGACAGAGTGGCAAGAGGAAAGCTGAGACTTGACCAAAAAGACTAGGTGGCATCTCAGGACACGAGGGTAACTATTTTGAGGCCAGGGTCCTCAATGGCTGTTTCCTGTAAGGTTGGTACAGTGGACAGAGGCCCAATCACAAGAGAATCTGTATGCCAGGTATAGGAGGACTTATTTTGAAGAACAGGAGAGGCTGTGGGATAGCCAAGGGTGTGTCAGAACCTCTCCTACAGGCGATATAAAGAATGCAGAAAGGCTGCTCCTGTACCTGATGTCCACGTAGCATGGACATCAGGCTTGCTCTTTTAGTCTACCAACGCAACTCCATTACCAGTCTGACATGCCCACATTGAGGGCAACGGGAGTCATGGACTCACTGAAACTTGCCTATGTCCCCAGTCCATCTAGAACTCTTTACCAGTTCTCCCAGGGACATAGCCCTATCTTTTTAGATACTAGTATAAGGAAAGCTTCTGGAATGGGAGAAAGGCTGTTCACCACAGCTCTGCCGAACACGGACCCTTAGTTCCCGTAATTCAGAAAGGAAGGGCATGGGTCTATTAGAACTGGTGTTTTCTCCTCTAAAGAGAAATTTTTGCAAACACAAATGTCTGCTTTGATACCAATCACCCAATATCATGAATTGCATGTGGCTAGGAAGTGCAACAAAGATGAAAAGAGGTGATTAAAAACTCAAGTGTGGGCCAGGCATTGGTGGCACACACCTATAGTCCCAGCACTCGGGAGGCAGAGGCAGAGGCAGGTAGATCTCCGTGAGTTCGAGGCCAGCCTGGTCTACAGAGTGAGTTCCAGGAAGCCTCCAAAACAATACAGAGAAACCCTGTCTCAAAAAACCAAAAAAACCTCAGTGTAGAGAACTGTGACACACAGACAAGCCTAGATCTTCCAGAGGCCACTGCTTGAACATGAACATACATGATATTAGTTACAGACCAAGTCCTATAGAATTAAGTCACCTTGGCTCCTTTCTTTTCTGTAGGGACACTTGCCTGGCAAGTGCTCCTGTCTAAGGATGTGCAAGAGGCCCTGTTCGCAATAATCCTGCAGCACCCACAGGGCAGGCACTGTTCCAATGGTTTTAACAAGCTAAAAAACCTAGTAAATTTTTTGGAAAAACTCTGGCTCAGGAAATTTGAAAGCGAGAGCAAATGAGTCCAAAGCTGAAATTTGAGAGAATTTAAGTCTTTATGCCACTTAGCATGTACAAACGCATTCTTAACAAAGGCCTCCTCCACCATGTGCTTTCAACCCATAATTCTTTCAAGCACAGACAGGCAGTGTGGCCTCAGCATCAACCCCTGTGCAGTCTAGTGTCTGATACAGGTCATGGGAGGGAGGAGAAAGTTACAGGCTTTATTTTTCAAATTATTCTTTGGCAAAAGCATTCCTTGCAATGTTATCATACTAAGCACATTTAGAACAGTGTAACTGTAGTAGTCTGGATCTCTTATGGGATATTTGTAAGCAGGTGAAGGTGAAGATCAATGAGGAAGTGCCTACTAGAGACTGCAGCAACTGGCTTCTAGCCTGCTTCTGATTTAAAATCTGCTTACTTACAATGTGTGTGAGCATATGCCATAGCACATGTGGAGATCAGACTTATCACTGTGTGTGAGCTTGTGCCATAGCACGTGTGGAGATCAGAGGACAACTCTGTGGAGTCAATTCTCTTTTTACTTTTACATGGGTTCCAGGGATCAAGCTCAGGTCGCCAAGCTTGTCCACAAGCACCTTTGCCATTTTGGCAGCCCATTAATAGTATTTTTACAATAAATCTGCTGGGCTGTCAGCAAAAACCCTGATGTCAGGCTAGAGAGATGGCTCAGAGGTTAAGAGTACTGGCTGCTCTTCCAGAGGTCCTAAGTTCAATTCCCAGAAAACTCAGTGGCTCACGATTATCTGTAATGGGATCTGACTCCTTCTGGCAAGCATGAGTTCATGCAGACAGAGCACTCAAAATACTTAAAATGAATAAATCTAAACAAACAAACAACAAACACCCTGTTGTCTGTCCATGGGAATCTTGATTTTTAAGGTTTAGAGATTCAAATAAAGGTTAACCAGAGCATGGCCCCGTCAGATTCACAGGGGAGGAAATACGAAGGGTGGCTTTAGGTTGATCAGAGCTCTCATCCAAGTGCATTTGCACGAGAGTGGAGTAAAACCGTGGCACTCCCTGGGAAGAAGTTCCACGGAGATTCTCTATAGTGCTCTTTCAAGTGCTGACTGCTCAGCAGGAACTAGAGAGTCTGTAAGGTTCTCAGTGCTTGAACAGGATGAAAAGGGAAGTCACCCACATCCAAAGACCCTGCTCTCTGGGAAACAGTAAGTAAAAAATCAAGATGAGCTGGGTGTTGTGGTACATCATCCTAGAACTTAGGAGACGGAGGCAGAAGGCCAGTTTGGACCACACAAAATAAATAGAAAGCAGAGCAAACAAATGAGCAAGCCAGGGCTGGGAGGAGAGGCACAGTGGTGCACAGCTAAGACTAGACTCTGCTTAATGGAGCCCTCAGCTGCTTAGAAATGAAGTCACCCGCTGGGGTGAGGTGTTTAAGGAACAACCAGAGATGTGACCCACCCACAAGTTCTTCGTTCTCTGAGCTCTTGCGAACACACAACTTACACTCAAGTCTGAGCAGCGGTGTCCAGAGCAGAACAAGACCCAGGAGGCAGAGGTTTGATAGCCAGTGTATTCAAGTTGCCCAAGAGCTTCCCTTCCTTCCCCAGGCTAGACCTCTGCTACCAGTTTCCCAGAGAGGTCTGGCCCTACCTTCTCAAGGTTGGGGATCACACTGCCTTGGCAGAACTAAGATTAACAGCTTGTTGGGGTCCCAGGGACTGTTAAAATGCTGTTTTGGACAGGGTGGGGAGATCAAGAAGCTAGCCGTCTGGAGGTCAGGCACAAGCTACTGCTCACTATGAGAGGTGAGGCGAAGGGTTCTGTGAGTTAGGGAGAGAACTATTTCTAAGGGACTTCTACTTAACAGAATGAGACAGTATTGGTTACCTGGAAAAATCATGTCACAAATTACCTGACCTCTAAAAAATGCTACTGTATAATGCCCTGAGGTTAGCACCATTCTCAGTGCAGTCGGAGGGAGGCTGGTCTCCCTTACTGCGCACATGTGCCTGTCAGAATGACAGGGACTAGTGTCATTTCTTCCACTCAAGTAGCCTTGTGAGGAAGTCCTATCTTTGATGCTAGGCACCTCGATATCTGGGCAACAAGAGTGCCAACAAATGGCGGCACCTAGTGTCTGACAGCTGAGTACCTAGTAACACCAGCACTGGCAGGGGTTAAGTCACACCATTCTCCCAGGGTTTGAAAGGAAGATGATGGGGCTCCTATTCAGGTCCTGGGTCACTGGGGTACTACCACTCACTCTGTTGGGCCACATTGTGACCGCTCTGTTCATCTAGGTATGTGACCTGCCAGATGAGGCCACCCCTTGTGGCTGGCTAATTGGCCCAATTCCTGATGCTAAGTGGGAAGCAAGACTAACCTTGCAAAGTACACCAAATCCAGATAACAGGCAGGAAAACTGACAGTTAAGTGTGAATGCTAGACAGGCAGTGAATAAAACCAGACATGCATTTATTTTGCATTAGATCTCACTGGTTTAAATGCCTAAAGCTGAATAAATCCACCAGTCTCTCTACGGGGCGGACCGGACCCTGAAGTGCTCTACCCTGCTGCTGCTCCTGCTGCCTAGGCCTATGAGACTCCCCTTGTAGGGCTTGGAACCATGGGCAAGTCAGAGGACAGTCACAGTGCAGTCTCGGCAGCACTGAGACTGAGCTGATTCCCCAGGCATTTCCTTTTGCTGGAAAGCAAAGACAGAGCTCTGTTAAGGAAGCCCTGGCTCATGCTATGACAAGTGCAGAATCAGCCACTGCCCTTGCTTAGGAAGTCCAGCCTGCTGTGTCTGGGTAGCATGTGAGGGAAGCCTCCCTGCCTTTGGTTTTGATCATCCAGATCTAGGTTATAAGTCTCCAAAACATCCTTGTCACATGTGGACCTGAAGGAAGAGCTGATGACTAGGAGCCAGATTCCTGCTGCATCTGGAGAAACTGAGTAATGGGCCTTTCATGGTCTCTTTAAAATTTCTCTTCAAGAGTTGCTTGACCCAATATCTTTGTGTCTGCTCTGTACAATGAAAATACAAACTAAATGAGAATAGAAAAAATAATCAAAGCATCAAATTGTACAAATTACAAATCTGTTCCAAAATATACTTACATTAAATAAAATACGCATTTCAGTAAGATCTACAGTGAATGACTATGCATTCTGGGAAACTTCACATCTAGGCAGGGCCAACATTCATGGAAGAAGCTAAGAGAATGTGCATCCAATCACAGCTTATAGCGGGTTTCTTATTGCCAATCTGCCAGTCACACCGAACATGTCATTATATCACTTGTGCAGGACACCGATTATGTTGGGGGAAGGGAAGCAAGCGCTATCCTCAATGGTGAGTTCATTACAACTTCGGAGGAATCCCACAGCCTAGACAGTAGAGTTTCAGTAAACATGTTAAGAGAAGCAGACAACGCTCTCGAGGCCCAGACACATTTTCTTGCTGTATTGTGTAGTCAGGAGGATGGTCTTCTTCAGGACAACATGGTCGCAAGACTGGGACAATCCCAAGGGGCTGACAGGGACTATGAGGATGGGGAGGAGGGCTACCTCGAGCTGTTCACATCAGAGACAATGGTGACAGTCCTCAGACCTGCAATTTCTCCTCTTATCATCTGGCATAGCGTTTGATGTATTCATCCACTTTGTCCCGGAAATCCTCCTGTAGAGGGAGAAGATACAGCAGAGAAGAGAGAGAGAGCAAAGTGACACTTCAGGAACACAGCAAATCTCCCCCAGGAGGACTCTGTGGAGAAGCCTGGCTTCATGTCACCAATGGTGCCATCTTTCCATGACCCTAGTGAAACTGTGCAGGGGACAGTGTGGTGGTGATGGTGAGGGCCACAGCACAGGCCAGAGCAGTGGAGATCCTACAAGCACCTCATCCCACACCCTCACTTGTGCCAATAGGAACATCAAGTCTGGTAAAGCATGTTCATGCTCCCAATGCCAGCACTCTTCTGTAAGCAGTATAAGCAACCTAGCTGCTCTTTTGCTGGGAGGCCCTGCTGGTCAGAGGTTGCAGTCTACCGTGGCCTGGCAGCTCTCTCTGAGCTCAGCAACATTCCATCTTCCTGGTAGAAGGCGCCCTCCCTATTCTCTACCTGACCTTATTTGGAGACTGCCTGTAGGCCTGGACACAGTCCCCTGTGCTAAGAGCATTATGCTAGGACCGTGCTTCCACAGACGATAACTAAGACTTGTACTAGGAGCTTTATAATAGGAGTGTGCTTTTAATGTAAATTAGGTGATTGCCCCATGTACTGTACTATATGAAGACCATGGATGCCAAGAGTATAGCCCCAATGACTATTAAAGTGGATATAACCAGTTGGAGGAGGTAATGAAGTGAGGATACACAATAGCCATATTGGTCACCAAAGGATCAGACAAGCCTTCCTAGTCAGGTATGGCAGCATGTGCCTACAGTCTTAGCTAGTTTGGAAGTAGAGGCAGGAAGAAATCTTCAGCTCAGGATTTAAGGCTATCTTGGCAAGACCTCATTTCTAGTAAAAGGAAATGGAGATTTAGGAATGTTTGCCTAGAATGTACAAGGTCCCAGTTCAGCCCCTAGCATTGCAAAATGATCAAACAAATATCAGCTGTGTGTGGTGGTGCTCACCTTTAATCCTAGCACTTAGGAGGTAGAGGCAGTGGACCTCTGACTGTGAAGCCAGACTGGTTTACATAGAGAGTTCTAGGCCAGCCAGGGCTACCTAGTGAGCCCCTACCTCAAAAAGTAAGCAAATTAAGCAGATAAAACAACAGGGAGAGTCTCTTAGCTGCTTTCTGAGGCCAAACACCTTGGGCCACCTCAGCCCAGGTCATACTAGACGCTTCTCTACATTCCTGCTCAGGATACATGGGACTGCCTCTGGTCCTCAGTAGAAATCCCTCCAGCAGTCCAGTCGTTCCCTAGCAGAGCTCCATCCCTTGTCTTCCCTGAGGCTCTGATGCTCACAGTGCAGTCACAAGTGCAGTGATGCACTTATGCTGGCTCCTTCTCAGGGAGCCTGAGCGTTTGATTAACAGGCTTCTTATCAGAAGCACTCCACACCCATCTGAAGTAGGCAAGACAGAGACAGTGTTTGATGGACAAAACAAAGCGCGGTCCCTGCATATGCAAATGGCTAGCTAGAGTCAGGCTCTCAGCAGGCACATCAGAAAAAAATTTTTTAAATGCAAACACTCTTCTATGAAAATGACTCAAAAACAAAAGCAAACTGTTCAGAGGTCCAAAGCAAGCACACTGCCACACTTGATCTACCAAGATGATTACAAAGCAGAGGGCAAAAGCAGCCTTCCCAGGCAGTGTGCAGCCAAGTACACCAACCTATACAGGCATGGACTTGTGTCCTGGTGAGCCTCAAAGATAAACAGCCAGCCCACTAATCAAATTAAGGACATGTGATGTCTTTGACGCAGCAACCTGGCTATAGGACTAAACCAATTATCACTGTATTTAAGGATGTAGTATGTTTCCTGACTAGCTGCTTACAGCAGGGAAACATCTTGTGGGAGAAAAAAATCCCAGGAAGGAGCTTTTAATCTGATCAGAAAGAAAAAAAAATAATGAAGAATAAGTGTAACGGACAAGAGTCCATGTTTTCGGTAAAAGCAAACATCCATGATCTCAGTATAGGGTGTGGAAAAAGGCAGGTGGCCTGATGTGACCCATCCTTCCTAACCATTGTGGTAAGGTTTTGATGTTGTTCTTCAGTGCTGGGCAAGTGCTAGGCTCTACCACAAAGTTATACCCCAGCTCTACCTTATTGCTAATGAGGTAATATGCCTGTTGTATTACTCATACTGAAATTTTATTATGATTTTACCTGTAATAAAAGCCACTTTCACTGAGCAAACCACACATTTACACTAACAAATAAATTGCTTTAAACGGCTGTCCCACATCCACCATTTATGTCCTCACCCAATTGCGAGACTCATTTTACCTAATGTGTCTACCTAGAAAAAGCCTGTTTGCCAGCTCACCTTGTCTCGTAAATGATGTTCAGCAGCTTCAATATTCAGTGGATCATCAAAATTCAAAAGATCCTTAAAAAGAAAGCAACTCATGAGTGTGAGGAAGAACCTGCTTTCCCACTACAGCAACTCTTCACTTTACAGAGAGCCTGGGGGAGTCAGTGACTGGCACAGCAACCTAGAGAGTACTCCAAGTACTCCAAATCCCTCTCTGCAGAGTGCCAAGTGGCTTTCAAAATGGTGATGAGAACTGAGCAAAAGTCAAGGATATGCTTACACAACTACCCATACTCTGTGGAACTGAAGAAGATGGCAATCACATTAATTTGTTGCTTTCTGATAACTGGTGAAGGACAACCATTCTCTTAAAAAGACTTTTTAAAAAAATTTTATGTGTATGAGTGTTTTACCTGCATAGGAATGTGTATCATGTGGTGGTGTGTACTTGTGGAAGCCAGAGGAAGGCACTGAATCCCTTGGAACTAGTTATAGGAAGTTGTGAGCTGTCGTGTGGGTGTTAGAAATAGAGCGTGGGTCTTCTAGAAGAGTAGCCAGTACTTTTAAACACCAAATCATCTCTCTGGCATTGAATAACCATTCTAACAATGAGGTTCTTCAAACGGAAATGTCATTTTGTGTGTAAGCACACATGTTCAGGTTGTTGCCTGTGGGGGTACATGTGGGGAATTGGTATGTCTAGAGGCCAGGGGTCAATCTCAGGTATCACTCCTTAAGAGCCTTCCATCTTGCATTTTTGAAATAGGGTTTCTTACTGGGACCTGTCTCATTAATTAGGCAAAGATGGCTGGTCAGCAAGCTCCAGCAATCTTCCTATCTCCATATTTCCAGTGCTGGGATTACATGTACAACTTTTTTACATCAGTTCTTCAAACTGAACTCAGGTCCTCATGCATGTAAGGAAGCACTTTACTGTTTCAGCTATCTCTCTAGCCCCACTGCTTTCTTTCTTGCAGTACTTAAAAAGTATTTATTATTATCATGTATGAGGCAGTGTATGCACACATGTACATGTGGTTAAAGGACAACTTCTGAGAAATAGTGGGCTCTGGGGATTTAACTCAGATCATCAGGCTAGCGCCTCTATCTGCTAAGCTATCTCACTGGCTCTTCATTTCTTTCTTTTCTTTGAGTCAGGGTCTCTGGCTAGCCTCAATTCACTCTATAGACTAGGCTGGCCTCAAACTCAGAGATCCATCTGCCGCTGTAGCCAAGTGCTGGAACCAACACCAGCACACGCAGCTCCATTTCCTTTTAAAAGCATTAGTCTCTCTCTCCTACGTTAATATCCGCGGCATCTCCTCAGTATACAGTTTCTCTTCTGACCTTGCCTACTGTTCTTATTTCTGACTTTCCAAAGGTACTCACTCAAAAATCCAAAGGGAACAATACCTGGTATCCCCAAACTGAGGGGGGCACAGACTCTTTCCACCTCTCAATGAACACCCTGTCCTCTTGAAAATCAGCCCAGACAGACTGTTAGTATGGCAAGTCACTGCTTTGCAAAGAGCACCTGAAAACGGCTTATTACAGACAACCATATTCCTCTCCAGGAACATTACCTGCAGTGCAGTGTTCCTAACTAGGAAAAAACCTAACTGTGAATACGAAAATACGAAGTGGGGTAAGTGGTACATGCTAACTCCATGACACAGGAAGTTGAGAAAGGAGGATTGGCATGAGTTCATGGCTTGCCTGAAAGAGATACTAGATCAAGGCCTATAGAGTGAGCTCTTGTTCCGAAACAAAAAGAAAGACTGTGCTAGCCAACACACACACACAGCGTTTGTCGCCTGGGCAAACAAGATGCACTCCACAACAGCTCTGTTAAGGTTGAGGAAAGTGACAGGAGGAGGCCTGGTTAGCTGCTGTCCTCACTGGCTCAGTCAAACTGAAACCACGAAGGATCAACAGACAGTGAAGCCCAGAGGGAGGGGCTGAAGAGGAGCATTGGCTGCTCTTTCAGAGGACCGTTTGACTTCCATACCCACATGGTGGCTCCCAACCAGTTGTATCCTCAGTCCCACATAACTCAACAACCTCTTTTAGTCTCTGGACACATGACACACATGCAGTGCACAGACACAGATACAGACAAATTACCCAAACGCATAAAGATTAATAAATCCTTTTTTTTTTTTTTTTTGGTTTTACGAGACAGGGTTTCTCTGTTTTGGAGGCTGTCGGTCCAGCCTGGCCTCGAACTCACAGAGATCCGCCTGCCTCTGCCTCCCGAGTGCTGGGATTAAAGGCGTGCGCCACCAACGCCCAGCAATAAATCCTTTTAAAAGGCAGTGAAACCCAACTGCTGGCAAAATTTTTAATTAGGCTCTGGGGTTACACTGTGTTATGTCACCAAAGCCAGGACCCACATCAAAATAATTGAGCATGCCGGAAAAACTAAGTGGCAGAATTCAGGCCTGGCCCAAAGGTAGTGTTTTCACAGGGAGACAGGGAGAACCTGAAATGCCTGTACATGCTGGCTTCTCTGTAGGTGTGTACTGCCCAGAAACCCTGCAACATTGGGCAGGGCCTCACAGGTTAGTAGAAGTTTTGCTATTTGTCCTTTTGTTGATGACTGAATACAAGCATGCTGTGCCACAGGTGACAGGAGGAGGAGCAGATATGCTCTAGAAGGCAGAAAATCTCTGAATGTCATTCTAAAGTCCCCTAAGTTCCTGTGTCATGGTGCAAAATATCTGGCCATAAAACGGAAAGAAAGGGTAGCTTAAAAGACTCCATGCTTTTTAAGCTTGTGTTTCAAACCAACAGCCAGAAAAACAAGAAAAAGGAGGGGTGACTAATAATATACTTACAGTAAATAATGAGTTTAATCCCCAAACAACATCCTGAAAGAAGAAAACAATTCTCAGGTTTTTATGTACTAAGTCTTTGAAACATGTAACCAAGAAATATGCATTGTACACTATCAAATACACATCATAGTGCTTTTCTCAAGACTGAAAACAGGAACCCTTTCTTCAAGTCCTACCTCTGACCACCTTTATAACTGCCTTCCATGCTTGGAAAGATGCAGGGACCATGAGTCATGGGGTGAACCTGCAGCCATGCTCTACAGACCAGACTTCTGAAATTTACCTTCACAACAAAGCCTACTGCTTTCTAAAATTACTGCCTCTTGGGGTTTGGTGATAAATTACTCCATCTTCTTAATCTCCTCTAGAATTAAGGGAGACTCACACTTCAAGTTCACTAGTTCCCACTACAGTAACACTAAAAACCACTGTTTATCTACATTCACAGACCTGATCTTCAGATGGGAGCCATGGCAATCACAGATTCAACTCCAAAGTCTTGTTCTTTCAAACTGATTCTCAGGGACACTTCATAGTATCTGCTAGTGGCAATTTTATTTACTTGCTTTCTCCCACCTATATGTCTTGGCACATCTGACCTTCTGGTGTGAGTTGGCTAGTGACTGGCACTAGAGCTGAAGGTAAGTATTAACCCTGGGAGAAGGAGCTAGACATCTGAGCTGACAGCAAGCTACTGCCCCAGGCAGTAGAGACACTGCAGAGGAAATGGCAGCCATCCCAGAGACTTGCAGAAGGAGCAGATGTAGTGAGTGGAGGGCTGGAGGAGACTACCTCTAAGTAATGGGACATCTGGCAGAGCTAAATCCAGAGGACAGGACACAGGGAAAGACTGGGTGGTCCATGTGTCAGACCACAGTAGAGGAGGAACAGGGTGTAACTGTTCTACACAGTCTGACATGGATCAGGGTCAAATTGTTTTCCTATACTTTTCTTTCCTGTGGAGGCTATTCAGTAATAATCTACCCATCATTTCATAATCTTTTTGACTCAGGAAAAGAGAGCCCCACTGAATAACAAGACCACTATGCTTTCTCTTGTGGTGATGAAACCCATGGTTTGACTCTTTCAATGGAAAGGTATTGGTCAACAAGGACTCTGATCCAATTAGGACTGGCTAAGGCAATGCCTGATGGAGCAGACCCAGAAGGTGTGTGGTGGGGAGTGGCGGGAATAGGGCGCATTTCTTACAGGAGGGGTTGGTTACCTGAGAACTACAGAAGAAATGCTGACTCTCACCTTCAAAGTCCTAGTGGGAGCCCAGCCAGTGCCATCAATTGAATGTTCTCTTAGTAAACTGAAAGAGAGAAACACATGCTAATGAGGAATGAAGTTATTTACCATAAATGAACTACCATATAGATATGAAACCTATCTCTTCTCGGCTGTTCAGTCTTCTGCCCTACCAAGGACAGCTTTCACCTCCAAAGTTGTATTTCAGTTACAATGTCTCTTGCTATTTTGTCTATTGACTATATGTGTATTAATCTTTCACATGGAATTCTAATCAAAGGAACCCCCCCCCCCCACACACACACACAGAGTGTCTCAGATGTAGTCCTAGCTAGCCTGGAACTCACTATATACTCCAAGCTAACTCAAGCTTGTGTCAGTTCTCCTATCTCTGCCATCTGAGTGCTTGGGTTATAGGCATGTGCTACCAAACCCATCAAAAAAACATTAAAACAACACACACACACACACACACACACACACACACACACACACACACACACACACACACACACGTTGTTTAGTAGGCAGGAACAATGACAGCAACAAAAATGATAGAGGGCTAGAATCTTCATCTGTCAGGCATAATCCAAAAATTAATTACTCCAACGGGGGGAACTACTTTATCTGTGAAAGAAGGAGCTGTTCCCTCAAAGTGTGTAGCATCTATACCCTCCAATGCTGAGGCTAGGTCTCTCTTGTCTCCCACACACCCCAGCAGGGGAATAGCAAGTCACAACCTCACAGTGGTCCTGCATGTTTGCTGGTTGCCAGTGCAGCCATAGATCGATGAACAGAGCCCTCCTGTAGTCTGAGTCTTTTGTCCAGTGTAAGTGCTTCCGAAATGAATTCTTACACACAAGAATAGTAAGTAGTAGGGCTGGAGAGATGGCTCAGTGGTTAAGAGCACTGACTGTTCTTTCAAAGACCTGAGTTCAATTCCCAGCAACCACATGGTGGTTCACAACCACCTTGAATGAAATCTGATGTCCTCTGCTGGCGTGCAGGCAGAAGACTGTATACACAATAAATAAATAAAATATTTAAAAAAGAATAGTAAGTAGTAGTTCAGGGAACCTCTTTCAGTTGTGTGTTTATGGCTTCTTATCAATTGTTGGTGTATTTGTTTTGTTTTGAGACAGTGCCTCACTATGAAGCCCTGGTTGGCCTGGAACTCAGGCACTACCTCATCTGACAGTATTTTTAAAGCCTCTGTATGGGCTGATGGCACTGACTACATTTCTCAGACAAAAAAAGACCAGACAAGAAGCATCCAGGTACAGCTTGTCTTCCTTACCCAGTGGCTAATACTTACTGAGGAGAATGGAGAAATAGAGAGGTATACTAAGAACAGCCTCAGGGCCGGGCGTTGGTGGCGCATGCCTTTAATCCCAGCACTCGGGAGGCAGAGGCAGGCGATCTCTGTGAGTTCGAGGCCAGCCTGGTCTACAAGAGCTAGTTCTAGGACAGCCTCCAAAGCCACAGAGAAACCCTGTCTCGAAAAAACAAAACAAAAAAACAAAAACAAAAACAAAACAAAACAAAAAAGAACAGCCTCAGGTCCCAACATTTTACAACTAACATGAAAACCCTGTTTCCTAGGGTGGCTGAACATGAGGCAGTGCCTTGAGAGCCTCCCCAAGTCCTCCTGTCATAGAGGCTGCAATTGGTGTAGACCACACTATAGCACAAATTCTAATAGTCCTTAATAATGAAAACCTGGAGTCAGACATCAGAGGGGGGAAAGCTGAAAGATCAGAGAAGCGAAGCAGCCAGCCACCCAGACTGCTTCAGACTAACCGCTGCTCAGACTGCCTAGCCTGCAATAAGCTCCTGTCTCCTCCCGCCTTATATTCCTCTCTCCACTCGACCATATACCTTCCTGTCTCCATCTCCTTAGTGCTAGGATTAAAGGCGTGTGACTCCAAGTGCTGGGACCACCTTTGTGTGAGCTCTGTTTCTCTTTTAGACTGGATCAATTTTGTGTAGTTCAGGGTGGCCTTGAACTAACAGAGATGCCTCTGTCTCCTGAGATCAAAGGTGTGTGTCACCACTGCCTGCCTCTATGGCTAACTAGTGTGGTTAGCTTTGCACTCTGATCTTTAAGTTTTATTTGTTAGATCATAAACAAAACATCACTACACCAGACAGCGACCATTAACACCCTGGAATACTAGAACAAGGGTCCAAAACATGTAAAAAACAAACAAACAAAAAAAACCAGAAACCTCAATTGCTCTGTCCACTATGAAAAGCAGATCCCCTTTATATCTCCCAGTTCTTTTCCTCAGAGACCAGTGACCTTTTAGGACACTGGAAACTGCTAGGCCTTGACCTTGTGCCACCGTGAGAGCAGGACACAGTCTATAGCTGAAGAGACACGGGGAAGCTACCTACTCTGAAGGGCCATTCTGGAAAGTATCTTCAGTGCACGTGTCTAAGATCACTGAGGCCAGGCTCCTGTAGTTTCTCTTTCCCCACCACTATCCTCCTTGTTAGTTAACATCAGCCATAAATTGGGACTGCTGTTCACTAAAGGAGGCGGAAACAAAGAACACCTCACTGCTTAGTGAGGACTGGCAAGGCCCTGGCAATAATAAGGAGCTACTTCAGTTTGGCCCAGGCATTTCTGAATTGTAGCCAGAGATCCCCTTACAAGAGTGAATTTGAAGACATTCATACATGTACAGAAGGGAGGAGGAGACTTACCTTAGACATATTTCCCCTGTTTCAGTGATGTTGGGGTGCCAGATTTTAGTCAAGCATTTCACCTTGGGAGGCTGCAACACAGAGAGGTCACAAATCTCCCCAGTCCACACCTGCAGTGTGTGTGAGCACTTGTGTACACACCCCACCCCTCGGATTCAAACTCCAACCAGGAGCCTAAATTGCTATGCCTAAGTCACAGACCCACACCTGACCATTACTGCTCCAGACAGAACAAACCACCTTTTCAGTCAGGTGTGTCTGCAGATATTGGTGTTACAAATTCCTAGACCAAGCCGGACGGTGATGGCACATGCCTTTAATCCCAGCACTCAGTAGGCAGAGGCAGGTGGATCTCTGTGAGTTCGAGACCAAGCCTGGTCTACCGAGCAAGTTCCAGGACAGGCTCCAAAACAATACAGTGAAACTGTCTCGAAAAAACAAACAAACAAAAAAAATTCCTAGATCAGGGTTAGTCTACTTTATTTATTTACATTTTCTATATGTTCATGAATATATATGCACATTTGTGTGCAAGTGTGGTATGATAGTTCAGAGCTTGAGTTGTTGATACATGTTCTCTCATTTCACACCTTGGACCACAGTTCCAGACAGCCCATGGCCCTAATCCCTGGCTCTGAAACAAATGGGGTGGCTCAGGAGCTAACTGCCTCCCACCCCACTCCGTGTTCCAAAGGTGGTACCCTCACCTTCTTTTTGTAATCCCTACGAATTCACTTTCTATATTTATCCATCTGTCTAGCTACTTACCATTTTTTATCACTCTCTACACATTACCTTACTTCCCTACTGATCTATCCTCAAAAGTGAAGCTGTGTGTGACAACCTTTGGTATAATTATTATGTAATATAGTCTTTGTTGTTGGTTTTTCTTTGAGGGGGAGGTTTAGAGACAAGGTTTCTCTGTATAGCCATGCCTGTCCTGGAACTCACTCTAACTCAGAGATCTGCCTGCCTCTGCCTCTGCCTTCTGACTGATAGGATTAAAGATAGGTGCCACCACTACCCAGCTTGTAATATGATCTGAGGGACAAATATGTAGCTATAGGTTATTAAGTACCTGAAATTCTAAAATTATTGGCCTCTGGAGCTCTGTATTATACCAAAATAAAATTAGTCTAAAAACTTGTGCCCCCTCCCTCCATTAAAAAAAATTCATACGAAACACATAGGCAACACACCGCCACAAAGAACACCTGCTGGACAAATGAGTTTCTGTACTGAAATCTCATACTGCTGCTAATCCACAGGAGAAACACAAATGTGGTTGTGTTGAGAGCCCGGCTCCTGAGCCAGTGTCACCCACGTCTCCATGCTTTATCCCTGGTATGTGTGGGGGTGAGGTTTAGGCACATGCTACTTACCACCATGTTGTAGGCATCAGGAACTTCAGTTTCAAACTGAAATTTTCCACCCTGGTAGTAACCCTCATCTATTAAAAACACAAAACAAAACAAAAAAATCTTTAAATTAAAAAAAAAGGAAACAAAAGCAAACACAAAGTTAGGATAATGGCAAGCACAGAATGAAGAGGTTAAAAACAGGACCACAGAGTCCCCAGGTTCCTTCAGCAAAGCTACACACACAGAGCCTTGTCCTGTCCCAACACGGCCACCATTGCTACCTGCTCCACGACAAAGGTGCCCTCAGAGGAAGGACAAGGTGCCCTTTAGGAAGACTGGCTCTTTTTGCAGGGCACTACAGTTAGTGTGACCATCTTAACCCATCTCCTGCCTATGTGAGTTCCCTCTTTCCTGGCCAGCTCCCAGACTCCCATAAGGATGCCATTTCCGTGGGGAGGCTGATGAGATCTTACTGTTTTCCCAGCAACTGTGCACAACTTCCAATCACTCAGCACAAGCTTACTCAGCATCCATCTCCTGCTAGAGGGCTCAGGACTCGGCACAGTGAGAACTGGAACTAACACCACTGCCTTAGTGAGTACTTGGTGAGGCTTCCAGAAGAGAACAGGCCCTTAGGGAATGAGTGCTGGCAAGAACCCAGGAGGGATGTCTACAGATACAACACAGTATAGTCCCTCTTGCCTATTTGGACACAACCCAGCTTCAAGAAGAGGCTGCTGCCAGCAGAGGGTGCTGCAGCCTCTCCATCTAACTGTGGTGTGAATAGCACTGCCCTCATCTTGCAGATGCAATACTAAGGCCAACTGCTTCATTTATTTGTTTGCCTGTTTGTTTTTTTTACATAAAACAGAAACTCAGAGCAAGTTATGCCACTAAAAGCAGGCTTCTTTTAAGAACTTTGAGGCTGTAGTCTAGTGTGACAGCTCAACAAGCAAAGGTGATTGCTACCAAACTTGAGGATCTGAGTTCAATCACCAGGACCAACAAGATGGAAAGAACCAATTCCTGCAAGCTGTCCTCTGACCTCCACCTAAGAACTGCAGCACATGTACACACAAAACTAAATTAAACAAGCAAATAAACAGAAGCCAACTTTGAGGCCAGAACTCTGTTATCCAACAGTTAAAATAGCTATTACCGGATCTTAGCATTCAGACTCTGGCACTATTTGTCCTCTGTTTCATAGTCCTTGCTAAATGTTAGCATGGCTGAAACAGCTTGGATTATTGGTTCTTTCCACTTCTTCCCAAAGAATTGGTGTCCAGTTCTTGTTAGCAACTGGGCCACTGATGTAAAAAGCTCCTAGATTTGCCTTTGTTAATACTTCAGTTAATGTGTATGTTTGTGCAGGTGCCCACAGAAGGTCTTAAGAAGCCCCCTCCCCCAGCTGAAGTTACATGCAGTGTGTATAAGGATTCAGGCATTATGCTGACCCCACCCCCGGCAACCAACAAGGTACGTTCATTGGCATTCAGGCAGATAACTTAGACAGTTCAAAGGGCCCTGTGTTGTGGGACTACATCATGCGTTACATGGCTGTATAAGGACTCTGTACGCATGTGATGCTTTCCCTTTCAAGTGAGCACCTCCCATCTGCTTGTCCCTTCTTTCCCTTTCTTCCCCTTCCATCCCTGTTCCTGGCTGGCCAACAACTACCCTTCCCTTGGCTCCCTTTCCCAATAAGCTCCATGTGGGTTTGTTGAGTTTTGTGGTTCACTGCCCACAGCTGCAGTAAAACAACAGTATGAGCCCAAAGTAGTGCTGTGATTCTCTGGAAGAGCAGCAAGACCTCTGCACCATTCAACTGTTGGTCTCAAACACCTTTGCCATTTATTTATTTGGGGTGCATGCGTGCGTGTGCGTGTGTATTGAGAGAGGGGTTCTCTGCATAGCCATGGCTGTGCTGAACTCACTCTGTAGACCACACTGGTCTCAAACTCACAGCTTGGCCACCACTCCTGGCTAGGTTTCCATTCCTAAGAAGTCAGTTCTACTTCATGGATTCAGTCTCTGGTGTCGTGCTTTTAAAAGGTCTTTCACAACCAAGATTAGATGAATGCCTTAGTAATAAACAAGTTCAGTCACTTGGTTCACTGAATATTGTCTTTTGTTTTCTTCCCTCCCAATTGGTTGCTTAGCTAATCTCTTTCCTGTTTGATACATTAATGTGACGTCAGTTTCAGAGTTAAGAACAGCCTAGGTGACAGTAAGGTACAGTTTCAGGAGTGTCTGTGAACCTTTCCAGAAACAAATCATGAGGACTCAGACCTAAGGATCCATTCATTTCCAGGTGAGACGAGGAAGTGGGACCTGGCTGGAATAGACGAATTATGTGTGAGGCTCTGGGGTTGCTTCTTGCCTTGGCCTTTTCCTGTATTGCTTTTCTTCCTGTTTGGCATGATGTGAGATCTACGGTGCCCTCCCTACATAATGGACTGCCACCCCTAAAATGGTGAGCAAACCAAATCATTCCTCTTTTTTAGATCTCTGTTAGGTCATTTACTTTTTGTAAATATACCTGGATTTGTGACATAGCAACAAGTCCTGGGAAGACACTTGTTTGGTAAGTTTAGCTCCAAATACGAGGACTTTTCATGTAGACAGCATCTTTATGTACACTACAGTACATCCATGTGACCCAAAGGTTTGGCTGACTTTGTTCTCTTGTAATCTGATTTCAATCACCATGGTACAGACTCTTTATGTCAGGTTTTTCACTGCAGACCACATAGCCCACTCTAAATTCTCCCACAGTGATCCAGCACAAGGCTGTGCAGCAGCCAACCCCTCCTGCCATTCTGTCTTTTTTCTCTAGCTGGTGTTGGAGTTTCTTTCCTGCCAGGTCCCACCTAGCCCAGAGCCACTTTGCCTCAAATAAACACATGGATGCTGTATTAGTTATAAAATTGTTGGTCAATGTCTAGGGCTTCTTACTGGCTAGCTCTCTTAATTATTAACCCATTTCTATTAATCTATGTATTTCCACGTGGTCTTGGCTTACCAGAGAATGCCCGGTCTTGTTACTCCTTTGTGGTCTAGATGGCGCCTCTTCAGTCTCTCTGCCTACCTCTCCCATAATTCTGCTCGTCTCCTAGTTCTGCCCATCTTCCTGCCTCTATTGGCCAAACAGTGCTTTATTCACCAACCAATAAGAGAAACATATATACAGAAGGACATCCCCATCAAGCTGGCTTCTCATTTCATTGATTGCAATTATTCTGATTTTGTTGCCTACCAGTTACAAAAATGCTAGTGTTTCTAATGTGTTTCCTCTTCCATCATGTTCCTTCTGCCCCCAGTAAAGTTTGTGTTTAAGTAACTAAGAACTATGTCATTTTCCTTTCTAATGAACTCTTCTCTTAGGAAAATGATCTGCTTCTTAGTCAGCACTTCCCTATTCAAAGCTGCATTCAGACCTGACCCGCTTCACTTTACTGCTGGATTGGCATCATACAGTGCAGCCAAGGAGTGGATTACACTGCAGAAGGTCCAAGTTTCAGAATGACCACATTTGGTGAGATCCCTGACTCCCCCCCCACACCTAGCTCCAGAGCCCACACAGCCCAAGGATGAGGGAGCCTCCTCTCCTCTAGAGTCAAGACTGAAAACTAACTACACTGTATAGTGTACCCCATTGCCCATCATAGTGTGCCAACTCGTACTACTAGCCACAGTTGCTTCTTGGCAAATGGAACTGATGCTGAAATACAGTAAGAGAAAGCTCCTGGTTCCCCGCCCATTGTTACAGTTAGAGGACTTAACCCTTCCTTCCACTGGAGCTTTGCAACCTGCTACCTCTTGCCTTCAAGGAATCACACAGATGATGACTAATTCTGGAGAAGAAAGGTTCTAAGGTTTCATGGACACTAACAAGGAATCACACAGATGATGACTAATTCTGGAGAAGAAAGGTTCTAAGGTTTCATGGACACTAACATTTGGACAGCATCAACTTCCACACTATGTACTCTCAAGGCCCAGAGGTCACAGCAGCTGTACTTTGCTCCTCACATTTCACAACCTTTCCCTACTTTAAAACACACACACACACACACACACACACACACACACACACACACACACACACACACACACACACACACACACCCCACTCGGATAAACAGATTCAGGCTGGAAGAAGCAGCAGAAGCCCGCTGTGTCTCTCCATCTCCACAGTGCTTCTTCAAGGCAGAGTTGCACTGGATATACCATTATTCCAGTGCCTGCCTTGGGTTCAGACACTACGTAGAGATGATTAAAGTTTCATTTAGAAAATTCAGTCTCAAGCTGCAATCCCACCACTCAAAAGGTATAGACAAGTTGAACAGAAGTTTACCATCCTTGGCTTCATGGTAAAAGACCAGCCAAAGCAAGCCTTAAATAAACACAACAAAAAACAAAAAAAACAAATACTGGGTATCAGTTGCACATGTGAGGCATAGGCAGGAGGATCTCTGTGAGTTCAAGGTCAGCCTGGTCTACAGAGTGAGTTCCAGGACAGCTAGGACTACACAGAGAAACCCCATCTTGAAAAAAAGACAACTGATGGGGGAAGTCCTGTGTATATGTCAATAAAGCACTGTTGGCCAATAGGGAACCAAGATAGGTGGGACTAGTAGTCCAGGAGGACTCTCAGAAGGAGAAACAGAGAGAGTCAAGATGTGATGCCATGGGGTAGGAAGCCCGAAACCTCTCCGGTAAGAGAAATACTTAGATTGACAATTATGGGGTAAATACTTAAGTCAGAGCTAGCCAGTAAGAAACAAGCAAGGCCAACAGCTTCATAATTAATATAGCCTCCTGTGTGTTTATTTGGGACTGATGTGGCTCTGGAATCAGGCTGGCGGGAAGGCTTCCCTTTACAGACAACTCCAACCTTAAGCTACTGTAAGAGAATGCATTGCTTCCCCTTACAAGAAGCAAACAATGTGCCAATAAACAATCACCAGGGACTGTCTCAAACCTAGTGCCTCACTCTACACTCTCTACCCAGCACAAGGGCCACAAATCCAAAGTCACAAACTCTCAGAAGAGACTTGGAAGTGGACAGTGAAGGAAGATTTTCCCA